TGACTGTATTATTCTCATATAAACCTAAATTTACTTAATTTATAAAGCCGTACTCTTTAAACATAACATAGCATGTGTTTTATTCAACAGCCAATAACGTCTAACCATCATATTGTCATTAGGGTTAGTTATCAGTTACAGTTTCAATACAAACATACTGGAAACGAGCCAGTATGAGAACGTACATATCATTCACTGATGTTACTGGAGCCTGGAATAAAGAGCTTCTTTACTGTTAGAGGCAGAATGAGCAGTTGGTGAAGGAGGCGCCGGTGGAGGGTGAAGCAAGGGATCAGAGAAATAAAGTTGTTACGCTCTAAAGCACGATTAAATCCGGCCACACCTCCACACAACCCTGCAGGAGTGTGTGTGAATGCAGTCGCTGTACTTCATCCTGTGTGTGTGTGTGTGTGTGCTCGCTGTGTTTCTGTAGAGCAGTGGTTTCCAACCTTTTTCCTTTATTGGAGCTCTCTTCTATCAATAGTAAACTGATGAACTCTGACTCAGTGACCCATTTATATATATTTCATATTAAACCATGAACACAACAACTGCAGGTTAACAGCACAGTAACAGTCAACAATGAGTTCTCCTGATATTTTAGGAACTTTTTAAACAATTCTGTCAGTATTATGCATTGAAATGTTTAACAATCATTCAGACTTCACAGGCTTCTCTTTCTTCAGATTCACTGTTTATTCTCATTGTTCTATCAGCTCTTTGGTTTTCTAATGCAGGACGAGGCTGTTGATCAGAGACTGAAGCTCTGTCAGTGTTCACATCAAAGTTTACATCTTAGATAATAATATACACTTAAAAAATAACAGTTTCATATTGGTTTTCACATAAATAAACCAAATGCTGAGATATAGGCCTACTCTGTATATTTCTTTAAGTTTTCACACACCTTTATAATCAAACAGGACTTGCGACCCCCCATAAGATTTTGGCAGCCCCTAGTGGTGGCCCTAACCCACAGGTTGTGAACCACTGTTCTAGAGCACCCTGCGTGCTGCAGAGTGAATACACGTGCAGCTCTTGACCGTTGATTTGGATCTCGAATGTCAGCGTTAGGGTGTAGAACTGTTGGTTAGGTCCTGCTGTGAACTCTAAGGGGCAGTTATCAGGTTGATGGAGAGGCAGAAACCTGTTAATGATCCTGATGTAGTCTGTTAGAGAGTTTCAGTGTTCAGAAGCAGCAGGTGATTGAACTCATCAGTCCTGTCCTCACATGAACTCTGTAACTGCAGACGCAGGTTTTGGGACGACGGGAGGCTTTGGGACGTCCGCGTTCGGGACCACCACCAACGCTGGAGGACTGTTTGGTGCCACACAGAATAAACCTGGTTTGTCAGCTCTTGTCTCATTCGCTCTTGTGTCTCAGTCCAGCACATGTAAGTCCTTCCTGTCTGGGCAGGTTTCACCTGCTGAGGCCACATCTGCCTGCAACTTGTCTCAGTCCAGTCTGCAGTGAGGTTTTACATTGTTCAGACCTTCTGTTCTTTATTCAAGCAGTTAGCAGTTACTTAAAGCCAGCTCAGCTGTATCAGTGCTCAGGAATGTATATGGACACAGAAAAGAAGGTTGTGGAAATGAATGCTAATCTGTCCCTGTTCGTTGTCCTGCAGGCGGTCTGTTTGGGGCCAGTACGTTCAGCCAGCCAGCAACTTCCTCCACCAGCACCGGCTTCGGTTTCGGTGCAGCGAGCGGCACCACAACTAGCCTGTTTGGCAGCACTGGAACCGGCACCACCGGCGGACTCTTCTCCCAGCAGAACAATGCCTTCGGTGCCAGCAAACCCACCTCTTTCGGAAGTGAGAACCCTTCACACTTCACTGATCTCGCTTTACACTTCACTCCTTTATTGATCGGTTCGGTAGAGTCAACCTGGTTCTGGATTCATCCAGTAGGGACCTCAATAACAGCTGACTGTCATTAAGATATTAAATCTCAGTTTACGGCTGCAGTTACAGATTATTTTGGTAATCGAGTATTCTACTGATTATTCCAGCGATTCACCGTTAAGGAATACTTTTGCTTTATTAAAGAGTAATTGTAAATAGACAAAAGATAAAATAAAAATACATTTGTTTCAGTGTTTCAGAAAGGCTTCTGTTCCCCCACAAACTGTGGTACTGTGGATCTGATTGTTCCTCCACCCACAGCCGAACTGCCCCGTGTTAGTTACTGTAGTCAGCCATAGAGTGTGTCAATTCAGGTTGCTGTGTAATAGTGACTAAAAAGGCTGTGTGTGTGCTGTCCCAGTGTATGCAGCGTTATTACAACGCCCTCTGCCAACAGTTAGCTAGTTCGTTACGACATTGACCGTGTCTATCGTGCTAGGCTAGTTAAGGTTTAGTTTGACAGAGTTTTCATTTAGTTTCAGCTTGAACTTCGGACACTTTCTGTCCCTTCTCTTCACTCCTCACTATTTCAGAAGTATGAACTAACACCACAGAAACATGTGTCTACTTACCAAACAAATGTTAAATAACTCCAGTTGTATTTCCAACCCGCTCAGTCCAGCTGTCACTTTGATTTGTTTATCTAATGAAACGCCTGAACGGCCTGAAGAAGTCTCCCTCACATCGTGTCCTCCAGGCTTTGGGACAAGCACCAGCAGCGGCGGGCTGTTTGGGTCCACCAACACCGCCTCCAACCCCTTCGGTGGAACGCCCTCGCTGTTCGGAGGCTCCGGGTTCTCCGCTGCGCAGCAGCCAGGAACCACCGTAAAATTCAATGTGAGTACTTTAGCGGCAGTCAGTGTGGACACACGGTGGGATGCAGGGGCGCACTTCCTGCTGTGAGTCAGTGTGTCTGTCTGTGTGTGCTCGGTGGACATGGATCCCTCACAGTGGAGGAGCTGCTCAGACTACTGGACGGTGGTCAAACAGCTCAGAAAACAAAACCGTGTGAAAGTCTTTTAAGAAAACATTTTCTGTTTTTGAAGTTTTCTGAATTTACAATTTCCTCTTTGTATAAAAACATTAGTTTATTTCTGGTGTAGAAACATTGTACTGTAAACAAGTATACAGTGAGAATGTAGTCGTGTGACTGTGAATGATCGTTGACCATATATGTACGTTTTACACACCATACTTTTCTTATTTCCTTCATCAGCCTCCAACAGGAAGTGACACAATGGTGAAAGCAGGCGTGACCACGAGCATCAACACCAAGCACCAGTGCATCACAGCCATGAAGGAGTACGAGAATAAATCTCTGGAGGTGAGTTTGAAGGCCGACACAGACCGACGTGACAGCTGCTGTTCTTAGAGATTTGGTTGGTACAGATAGCTTACATTGCAGGTGATTGGATGATCAATGAATGTTTCTCCGTTCCTCTCACGTGTCCCCCTGCAGGAGTTGAGGCTCGAGGACTACCAGGCAGGCAGGAAGGGCCCGACCAATCCGATGGCTGCGGGGACAGGAAGTCTGTTCGGACCGGCCACAGCCACATCCAGCGCCACCACCGGCCTGTTCGGCTCCTCTGCCCCCAACACCAGCTTCTCCTTCGGACAGAACAAGAGCACCTTTGGAGCAGCAAGTAAGTGGAACAGAACCTGATCCAGAGTCAGCTGCTGATGTGATATATTGACTTTTATAATGTCAGTGAGAGCTAGTGAATAACATGCTGTATGTTGGTCCTCTGCAGCAGCAGCAGCCCCCGGTGGGTTCGGCACAGCCACAGGCGGTCTGTTCGGTCAGCCGACCCAGCAACAAGCCGGCAGCCTCTTCAAGCCGTTCGGTCAGGCCACGACCACACAGAGCACCGGCTTCTCCTTCGGCAACACCAACACTATGGGACAGGCCCCCGCCAGCAGCATGGTGAGTCTCTTTGTGAAGGTCTTCAGTGTTCTTTTAAATATCTTAAATTCAGTGTCAGAGTTTCGTGGACATCCTGTTGACAGCACTGTGCAGTTTGAAAACACAAACTAAACTAATGTGCTGTGAAAAGGTTGAAGAACAACGTGAGAGCTAAAAAGGAGTCTGAGTTGTTGTGTCTCACCGCTTCCTCTCCTGTGATTCAGGGTTTGTTTGGAAACACGGCGGCGTCTCAGACGAGCGGGTTGTTTGGCGCCGCTCAGACGAGCACTGCCACCGGCTTTGGGGCGGCCACCGGGCTGTTCGGCCAAACCAACACTGGATTTGGAAACGTCGGCACTCAGGTACAAACCAGAGTCCCAGTCAGTTTATCAGTAACAGACACTTCAGCAGCCACAGGAGGGCCAGTATAAGCTAGTGGCTCAGAGTATGTGTCAGATACAACAATCAGCGTTTAACATCAAACATGCAAACTAGATTTAATCGTCCAGTAACAAAGAACACTGTTAGTGCTCACTGATGCTGTGGTAGAAGAATATTTTCCAGAGGCTGTAAAGTTCACTGTGGTTGTTTTCTCCCAGAGAAACACTTTCTTAAAGTGGAGTAGATGTGCTCATAAAGCCCATAAAGTAGTTCCAGGAGCCGTGGAAGCAAAATAACTGAACTAGAAACTAAAAACAACAGCAACATTTCAAATGTAAAGTGACTGAACTCCACAGTGAGTCTCTCTGTGTTTCTGCTCTTTAATGTTAACAAACATCTCTCATTCATACACTGCAGTAGTTCTCCCCCTGAGCATCTACTGTGTTTACACTGTGTGTCAATGTCATTTTAACATTACTGTGTGTGTGTGTGTGTGTGTGTGTGTTACAGCAGAGTTTATTCGGGAATAAGACTGCCGGGTTCGGTGCCACAACCACCAGCGCCGCCCCGTCCTTCGGTACCGGCACTGGGTTGTTTGGCAACAAGCCGGCCCTCACACTGGGGACCGGAACCAACACCTCCACCTTCGGTGAGTTTGTGTTCAGAGTGGAGACGTATCCAGACCAGTGGGACCAGTGATGATGCTTCTGGCTCATTAGCATTTATTTACCAGTATTTTTGTTTGTCGCTTGGTGCAGGTTTTGGTGCAAACCCTGCTGGAGGGAGTCTGTTTGGGAACAAGCCAGCAACTGGAGGACTGGGAGCTGGACTGGGAACCAGCTTCGGCACAGGTACCGTTCTTACATTCCAGCTGTTTGACTTTACTTCCACTTTAATTACGATGGGTTTAAGCATTTGTGATGTGTATCTCTACATGATTCGTTATAATGAAGTTCTGTGGAGCTGGAGAGACGTCCTGACGTACAGAACTTCTCCTTTAGATGTTTGTTTGGTACAGAAAAATGTCACCTCATCAATCTGTGACACAACTGATTATTCACAATAAAATAAAATATATTGCAGTATGAGGGGTTTTTACCATCTGTGCAGCTCTAACCATAAACGAAAGAGATGCAAATGAGCTACCAAGCATGCATTATTATTACTATTATTATTAATAATAATAATAATAATAATAATAGGTCTGTTCAAATAGCCTGCCTTAAGAGCTGCTATTGAAGATTATTCTATGTGATTAAGTGACTTTATTACTTTATTTTTCAATTCCACATTGATGTCAGAAAACAATGAAGAACAGGACGTTGAGTTGGAATTTACAATAATGTAAAATCAGATTAGAAGCAGGAACCAGCAGATATTTGACTCAGTCCTCCTCAAACATACAGTCAGTCTAACAGATGCATTAATACAAGGTTGTGTGTGTTAAGCAGTCGGCACAGGGCAGACGTCTCTGTTTGGGAATAACCAGAACAAACTGGGGACCACACTGGGAACGATGGGAACGTTCGGAACAGCCGGGTTCAACACTGGAACCAGCACCCTGGGCTTCGGAGCTCCACAGCAACCCGTTGGTGAGCAGCTGAGTCCATCACACCATACAGAGAAAATATCTCAAAATGAAAACTATTCCTTCTCCTCCCGTGCTGCACCAGCTGCTGAGAATTTATTCCCTAACCAATAAAACCTGCATATATTTTAAAACAGTCCCAGTTCTCCCATCAGGTCCAAACTGTCAGTGTTTGACCTCTCTCCAAGGACGGCTGAATGGGTGAAGCAGCATTCATTTGTCTTTTCTTTTTTTTTTCTTTCTCCAGCGCTCACAGATCCAAATGCGGCGGCGGCCCAGCAGGCCATGCTTCAGCAGCAGCTCAGCGTTCTGGCGTACTCGCCATACGGAGACTCTCCGCTGTTCAGAAACCAGCTGTCGGACCCCAAGAAGAAAGAGGAGGTGACACAGCTGCTGGTTTATTCAGTGTTTGTGTTGAGTAACTGAAGCAGCTGCTCTTATCGTTCGCATTATGAATGACTCAGATAAAGGTTGAATAATGACACACGACCGCAGAAAGCTGAACACAAACCAACTGAGGCATCACCAACATTTCTGTACCTTTTAAAGCTCTAACACACATTTCTGCTCCGACAGCGTCTGAAACCGACCAATCCGACAGCCCAGAAGGCTCTGACCACACCCACTCACTACAAGCTGACCCCTCGACCCGCGACCAGGGTCCGCCCCAAAGCGCTGACATCATCAGGGGCCTCCAAGTCTCAGCTGTTCGACGGCCTCGATGACGACGAGCCCTCACTCACCAACGGCGCCTTCATACCCAGGTACGCCTCCGGTCACCATGACAACAGTGAAAGTGCTTTGTGAGGTCATGTAGTCGCGACATGTTCACCTGGTGTGTGTGTGTGTGTGTGTGTGTGTGTGTGTGTGTGTGTGTGTGTGTGTGTGTGTGTGGGGTGTGGGGTGTGTGTGGGTGTGTGGGTGTGTGTGTGTGTGTGTGTGTGTGTGTGTGTGTGTGTGTGTGTCCACAGGAAGAGCATCAAGAAACTTGTGCTGAAGAACCTGAACAGCAGTCAGTACAACAGTCCAATCAACAAAGAGACAGACGACCTTGCTTCACCTTCAGAGTATCCGCAGAACGGACACAGGTCTGCACACACACACACACACAGATGTCTGCTCTCTGATTGGCTGTCAGAGGTCTGTTAAAGTCATACGGTGTGTTCTCAGCAAACATCAAGCAAATCTTGGCCCTGCGTTATTAGTGGGATCAGTTGTGTTTATTTGCATGTGTAGGAACATTAATTACTCGCCCTTTAATCTGGTTTACTGTGGCAGTGTGAGCCTAAAATAAACAGATTTTCCTGTGATTTAATGTCAAACGGATTAAAAAGATGCTGAAATTACATCTTACATGATGGAGATTTGTAAAAGTCTGAATTCACACAAACAACTGTAAAATGCTTGTTTTCTCAATGGAGTTTGGTTGATCAGTGCTGTGCTAACTGAGTTCATAGTGAAGGAAAACCAACACCTGGAATCAATAACACAGATTTTCAGAACTTACACTCTCACTTTTCTATTGGTGTCTTTGCATTGACTTTGGATGTAATCTCATTGCTTTCTGTGTGAACTCTCCATTATGAAGCTTTGGCTCTTAAACCTCCTCAAACTTTCCAGCAGCTCTGTTTTTAATTATTTTAAACTCATAATAATCTCTTCTCTCCTGCCTCCCCGTCTGCAGTCACCTGGACGATGAGGAGGAACTGAGGGAGGTGCCGGGGCCCAGCAGCCGGCCAGACGACGACCCGGAGGTCACCCAGTTCTATGTCAACCCCATCGCCAAGCCGATCCCGCAGGGCCGCGCCCAGACCAGCCTGCAGGACACCATCAGCGACCTGAACATGCACAAACCGGCCAGGAACGGACTGGAGGTCAGCAGTTCGTAACCTTCAGTTCATGTGTTACACAAAGCCAGGTTGATACGCAGAGGACAGTGAGGAAACAACGGGAGCGTTAGCATCTGTATTTAGATTCTGTACACAGTCGAGATATTCAAACACACCTGCACACACAGCAGGAAGTGAGTCACCTCCCGCAGCCTCCGCTCTGAGTGGGAGTCTATAAAAACACTGCGTTCATTTTCAAATGTATCCTGATGGAGACTCATCATTCACAGGATGTTATGCTAGCTTGTCGCTAACCCTCTACTCAGTATGTTTATGTTGTGGTGCAGTGGTTTGGGTTAGGGTCAATCAGTCAGTGTATTATTTTTCTGCAGCTGAGCAGCGAGGACATGTCGGCATCTCTGGGGGAGGAGTCTTTGCAGGAGGAGAGAGAGGAGGAGCAGCAGGAGTCCCAGCAGTCTCCTCACCCAGCAGGTCAGTTACAAGCAGTTCAATACAAATTAGGCAGAAATGATGGCGCTCGATGGTCTTCACATACTGTTTCCTGTTTCTGAAGGTATCGTTCTGAACCGTGTCGGCTACTACACCATCCCCTCCATGGAGGATCTGGCTGACATGGTGGACGAAAACGGCGAGTGTGTGGTGGAAAACTTCTCTGTTGGCAGGAAAGGTAAGTGGAGCTGCGTTTCCACCTGAAATGTTAAAGACCAACCGGCCTCAGTCTAACCGCTCTGTTCTGATTGGCCCTCGCAGGCTACGGCTCCATCTTCTTTGCCGGCGAGATAAACGTGACGGCACTGAACCTGGATGAGATCGTCCACTTCAGACGCAAAGAGGTCATCGTGTACCCGGACGACAAAAACAAGCCGCCAGAAGGGGAGGGGCTCAACAGGTGAGTGACAGGAGACCATGTGAAGTCGGACTCTGGATTTCGTCTGTGTCAAATTAGCGCCAAACTGCCCAGTTATATGTCGGTAATCCGGATCCTGTCTTAGGCGAGCGGAGGTGACTCTGGACGGCGTTTGGCCAAACGACAAGACCACCTGCAGTCAGATCCGGAGCCCCGAGCGCCTGACCGAGATGAACTACGAGGGCCGTCTGGAGAAAGCCTCACGCAAACAGGGAGCCCGTTTCCTGGAGTACAGACCTGAGACCGGATCCTGGGTGTTCGAGGTCAGTCACCTGGGCTCTTGCATGTGTTTTTATATTTTGTTCTCAGTTCAGTTTCAGTTAGTTTCCAGACTGTTTTGTTTGAAGATGTTTATTATAATATGGAGTGTGTCCATGGCGAGATTGAAGAGGTTCATAGACGGTATAACGATGCAGTTGTAGACCTCCCAGTCTCAATAAACACACGCACCAGCGCTGCCTCAGATTTGTTGTGTTGGTTCAGTCTTGGTGAGGTTTAGACTAGACTTAGACTCTCTAAGTCTAGTCTAAACCTTACTGTCAGTGTGACTGTCGGCCAATAAGCAGAATAAGAATTATAAAATAGCAAAATGAAGTTTGAGGGAAAATTTAAAAAGACTTTGAGCGAGTAGATTTCTGACCCAGAGGTGTAAACCTGTTAACGCTGTCTGTGCTGCTCAGGTGTGTCTTTCTCATGTAGTTCTCAGGTGTAACTGACTCCTCCCCCCCCACCCCCCCTCTCTCTTAGGTGGCCCATTTCTCCAAATATGGCCTCCAGGACTCGGACGAGGAGGAGGACGTCCCGCTTAAAACCGACCCCAAGAAGCTGAAGACGACGATGTCACTTCCTCCCTCCAGGCTGCAGCAGCAGCAGCAGCTTCCCCCCTCCCAGCAGCAGGTGGCGCCACAGGCTCAGGTAGAGCAGCCTGCGCCCATCAACACTCATCATCCTCATCATCATCATCCTCACTGACACAGCTGAGATGATTAAAGGAGCGTTTCTCTCAAACTGGCTTCCAGCTGTTTGGTCGTAGCACATTTTAAATCTGCTTTCTTCTGCGCTGACGTCTGTCCTGACGACATTCAGTATTCTCACTCTGTGATCATCTTTAGAATCGACTGATATTACTGAAGTTAATGAAGCCCACTCGTGGTTGAGACCTTTTTCTACCAGCTCCAAGCCAGTAATCAGTTTTGTATTGATGAGTTAACGAGTGGAGCCTGAATGATGAGAAATATTTCCTGTTTTCACAGAGATTCTGAAGGTTGAGGCTGTTTCTGATGCAGTTTAGTCTTTATGGTTGTCTGAGCAGAGCGGTGAACGATGTGAGAGCTGTAGCTCAGATTCATTCGTGGAGGAGCGCCGTGGCCGTACGTCTGTACAGAAACAGAAATGTGCCTTAGAGCAGGCGTTCACACATCTGATGGGTCTCCGTCAAATAAAACCTGAGAGATAGTCGAGGGACAGACGGACAAAGAGCAGGAATTACTTTCTGTTTTTAATTTTATATTCGAAGCCAAAAAACTTTAGGAGTTAATTTCATCAGTAAAAGGATCAAATCCACAGTGACGGCACAAACAAACACAACAGTAAAGGAATACAACAGTAAACAAACAATACGTGCTGCTCCAGTCCGAGTCCGATGGTTGTGCAGTGAGGAAAGTCTCAAACATCTCTGGAGCTACATTGTTTGTTCTGACACCGAGAACCGTCCACCACAATAACCGACAAGAACCGATAATAACTGATCCATCAGTTCACCAACAGGTCAAAAACAGTGAAGCTTGAAACTGATGATTCATGATGAATGTAGGAGAGTAAATAAATGTGTGTGCAGCAGAGTTTATTAAAGTGCTGCTCAGTAGTTCTGGTGCATGTAGATGCAGATATATGGGTCAAACTATGTGTATCCCTTTCTGCCTCACACATTCTACTTTAACATCAGCATAGAAAGTGTTTTCACTGTTCAGGAAATAGTCTTGGGCGGTATTATGGTATACCAGAGTATTTAGACATCTCACTGGCTCTATGTCTGTCAGTTCAGAGTTGGCTTCGGTGTGTTTGAGTTGCGTTGTCTGCTAACGTTAGCGGTGATTAAAACCTCTTTTTATTTTTTAGAGCACACTGTGTGAAATTACTGTCTCGTGTGTGTCTGTATCTCAGTCACCGATTACAGTCGCAGTGCACAGATGTTATTATTATTATTATTGGTTGAGTAACACTCTCTGCTGTGTCCCCATCTTCCCCAGAGTCAGAGTCCTGGTTGCAGCCTCTATAAATCCCTTAGTAACTGTATTTCCTGTCATCAGACTAGTGGAAATAAACCTTTAATTAACTGCAGTTCGATATGAAAATATTCTGGCTCTACAGCCGTTTTCCCTCTGACTCGTTCTTCGGAGGCAGAACGTTAAATTATAAAAATAAACATAAATCTGCCAAAAACCCGACTCAGCCGGTAGCCGATTGGTCCGTTTACCCCGATGAGGACAGAAACAACCCAAACCGATCAGGAAATATGTTGATGTGTTGAGGTGTGTGCTGGTGTTTTTATATTCTTCTATATTCTATATGATTGTGTTTATATCATCGAGTTCAGAGCTGCTTTAAGATGTGTGACATAAATTGTACTAATTTTCATACTCATGCAATTAATGAAATAAAGTTAATGAAGATTTAATCATTGGTCTGTAAAGTTTGTGAAGAAGAGCAGCTTCTCTTTGTGGTGATAACTGATAATAAAAGCTGAGCTGAGGATCTCACTGAAGAAACTTTAAGCTTTTAAATGTTTAGTTTTTAAGCTCAGACAAGGTTTAAGACGTCTTTATTTTAATAATAAAGAATATTTAAGGGAATAGTTTTTGGATCAGGATATAAATTGAAATGCACACAGTGATTGACAGAGATCAGGTTCACAATCAGCCTCCTAAAAACCAGCTCATAATGGACTGTGTGTGTGTGTGTGTGTGTGTCTTCAGTCCACTGTTGTCGTGGATCTTCCGGGTGGCGTCGCGGAGCTGGACAGCGACATGGCTGACATCACCCAGAACTTCCCGATGGACAGCATGCTGGGAGGCGAGGAGGACAGCGGCGAGCTGTTGGCGGGGGATATGGACGTGTTGGGCGGGAAGCTCGGAGGTTTGATCTCCACGGAGCACGACGGCGTCTCTGCGTCCAGCCACATGGCGTCCTCGCTGGGCATCAACCCGCACACCCTGCAGGTACAGCAGCGGCCCTTGCCCGCAAACAGGAAGCACATCACTCCATCAGACTGCCAAAATAAAATTTCCTGTTTTATTTGCAGATCATGAAGGCATCTCTGTTCGCTGAGGATGAGGAGGAGAGCGACATGTTCCAGAACCACGGAGCGATGAAGGTCTCCACTGACGTCTCGTCCCCTCGCCTCGTCCTGCCGGGAGCTCAGAGCCGACCCTCAGGTAAGAAATGCATCTCGCCGTCCACTTCCTCTGGTTTTAGTAACCTTTATGTCTCTCTGGGGATTCACAACATCTTTCTTTCTTTCTTTCTCTCTCTCTTTCTTTCTCTCTTTCTTTCTCTCCCCCCCCTGCAGTCGGTGGTCTCCTTCAGGCTCGTTTTACCTCGGGCCTCCTCTCTCAGCTGTCAGACTCTCCTCGCCCCCCTCTCCTTCCACACACTCTGTCCCGGGGGTCTCCGGCGGCTGTCGAACCCTCGCGTCCGCTACACTGGGCGGGGCCGGGCCCTTCCAACTTCCTGCTGGCTGCTAGAACTCCAGAGCCTGCGGTCAGGACGGTCGGTGTCCGGCGGCTGGGCGGGCCCGTCCCCCTCAAAGAGTCTGTCACTCAGGGGAAGGTCAGTACTATTCCTTGTCGTTACTAAGATCAGAGAAAGCTTCACCAAAACAACATGAAAAATAAATGTTGTTGTTGTTGTGCAGGGGAGTTTGTGGATGGACGCCGGGCTGTTTGCGGGTCGTTCCTTTCGGGTGGGGTGGGGTCCCGGCTGGACGCTGGCGCACTGTGGCCAGCGGCTGAGCTCCCCGACGGAAAAACAGCTCGAGCACCAAGAGCTCACAGCCAGAACCGACTTCAGCTTCCTGCCCAAACCTGCCAGAAACAAACCGTAAGAGACAGACAGATACAGACAGACAGAAAGACAGACTGCCTGTTACAGAATCATATTATAATGACTCAGAAGAGGAAAGAATTGATTCCTCTGACAAACAGCAGCAGTCACAAAGCAAACAGTTGGATTCTGTGGTCCTGGTTCTAAAGTGGTTCTGTCTCCTGCAGTCTGATAGAGAGCTCCTACAAGGTGGTCCTGGAGCAGCTGGTGGGTCTGGATCCTCCGGCAGCAAAGGGCAGTGAGGAGGAGGACGACGACGATGAGGAGAGCCAGGCGGTGCTGCAGCGCCCCCTGGAGATCTGTCTGAAGCACAGCACCGTCGACACCCCGGACACCTCCGCCTGCCCTCTGGTCCGACCGCAGCCCGGCGTGGCGGCGCTGCACGAGTACGCCGAGTGGATCACCGAACTGAATGACAAGCAGGGAGACGTTGATCGTAAGAGTCCCAGGATTCTTCTCCACCCTTTAAATTCATCGTTAAATCCTTCTCATTTTCTGAAATATTCAGTTGATTATCTTTAGTTGAACCAAAGAATAAGGGCTTGCTCCCTAAACCCAGTGAAAAGTTTACAGGCCTTTTTCTGTATTCAGTTTGCTCATTTCTCTTGAGAAAAATAATCTAAAGGATCTTCATCATCCTCCAGCCCTCCTGGGTTACTGGTCCGAGGTCTGGACCCTGTGCGAGGCCCTGTGGGGTCGGTTGGGCCCCACAGATCAGGAGCCGGACGTGGAGATGCCCGGCGAGTACGAGCAGCAGCTGGAGAGGAGGAGGACCTTCTCGGCCTGGCTGTCCCGCGGGGCCACCTGCAGGGTGGAGGAGGAGGTGGCGCTGGCGGGGAAGGGCAGCCACACGGAGGCCATCTTCAGCTACCTGACAGGCAACCGCATCAGCGAGGCGTGTCGGCTCGCACAGAAGGAAGGTGAGAGGAAGACAGTAATATTATATAAAGAAGAGGTGCTGGCGTCATCAGGCAGATGGACAAGAACATGTAGCATTGAATGTCTTGGTACTGACACTGTTTGTCCCCAGGAGACCACCGTCTGTCCCTACTGCTGTCTCAGGCCATGGGCTCTCAGTACTGCCGGGACCTGCTGGCCCTTCAGCTCGCCGACTGGAACCGCATGCAGACCGACTGCTATCTGCCCGAGGAGCGCCTGCGCATCTTCGCTCTGCTCGCCGGGAAACCTGTACGACACGTTTGATTGGTTGAACCAAAATACTGCACAGACATTTTCCAACTATTGGAGGAGGTTTCACAGTTGTTGAGCCCTGAATTTGGTTAAAATGTTTCATGAAAGAATTTTAAACAGTCTGCAGCCCTCCTTCAATACGTTTTGTAGCCCACCTCTGTTGTCCAGTGAGCAGGGTTAGTTTACAGTCTGTCCTGGAAACAGCTGGAAATTGATTATAATGACCAGATATCCTCACTCAGATTGTAAAGTGGAACTGACTGCATGCTCTGATGCTGCCGCTGTTTCCTGTTACAGGTGTGGCAGTCGTCTGAGTCTGTGGTGAACGTGTGCTCTGAGTTGGACTGGAAGCGCTGCGTAGCTGTCCACCTCTGGTTCATGTTGCCTCCGACCGCCTCGGTGGCCGACGCCCTCGCCAGATATGAGGCCGCCTTCCAGGTGAGCCGCTGCCTCTCGCTCTGCTGTCAGATTATTCACGGCGGTCCCTTCAGCAGACGGACCACTGATCACCCACGTGGTTGTTTCTGTCCCGCAGGGCTCGTGTGAGGGGGGGAAGTACGCCTGCGCCCCCCTGCCCCCGTACCTGGAGGCGGAGCAGCCGGACCTGGAGGATGAAGAAGAGGAGGAGTCTAAACGGCCACTGCACGACCTCTGCTTCCACCTACTCAAACTGTACAGCGACAGGTAAACGTGCTCCTATATTTCCCATAATGCAGCTCCAGTGTGTAACTCTGGCCACTAACCCTGATGTGTGTCCCCGTGCAGACACTACAGCCTGCAGCAGCTCTTGGACCCTCTGACCGTCACCTGGGAGCGTCTGGACTACCGTCTGAGCTGGCACCTGTGGGGCGTCCTGCAGGCGCTGCACTACAGCCACCTGAGCGCCTCGCGCCAGGGCCTCCTCCACGCCAGCTACGCCGCGCAGCTGGAGAGCGCTGGCCTCTGGCACATGGCCATCTTCATCCTGCTGCACATCCCGGACCACACGTACGTCCAGCTCCTTTTCCTTCTGTTTGTTAACAAGAACTACCGCAGTACTCACACGGTCTCTCTTCCCGTCCTCAGTCAGCGGGAGCGAGCGGTGAGGGACATGCTGACCCTCCACTGCCCCCTGCAGGAGACGGACGAGTCAGTCCGGAGGGAGCGCTTCCTCACCGAGAGGCTGTTGATCCCGGAGCAGTGGATCCACGAGGCCAAGGCCACCAGAGCCCGCCGCGACGCCGACCGACACCAGGAGGCCTTGCACCTGTACCGGGCCGGATACTGGAGCCAGTGTCACCGGCTGCTGATCCAACACCTGGCCTCAGGTCTGAACCCTCAGAGTGTTTCTCTCTGATTCACTGGGATTTATGGATCAATAATCTTATTTAAATATGATTTTCATCTGTTTTTAAAATTGTAGGTTTTAGTATCTTTTGCAGGATTATATCTAAAAAAATCTAATTGTATAAATCGTACATACAATGTACAAATGTATTATTCAGTTCTTTTTTTAATTGAAATCAGAGCTGGAAATGTTTTCACCCTTCTCATTTTATAATCTTGTGTTTTGTCCCTCACTTCCTCCTGTAGATTGCATCATCAACGACAACCACGACTACCTGCTGGAGTTCCTGGAGGGGCTGGCGGTCCCTGAACACAGCGCCACCATCCAGGACTGGGACACCGCAGGGAGGGTTTACCTGGACTACATCCGAGTCATAAAGACCCTGCAGGACATCCAGCAGGTATGGACTCCAGATATCTCACTTAGACATAAACCGGCCCAAACTTATCAAAGGTTTTATAACGATTATTGATAGATTATTTAAGATATTGATCAGTGAGCTTCAGAGGGGGTGAAGCACAGACACAGACGTAAATCATCAACTGTTGGGTCGATCGTCACGAAACTCACAGGATATGTCCATATAAGGACCTGAAACACACCCTGACAGTTTCATTCAAACCGACCACTAGGGGGCGCTACAGCACATAGTGTAACACAAATCGAATTATAAATCAGGTAAATCAGTTTAACCAAACTGAGAAGATGTTTACGTTGAACTGATCTTTTCCATATTAACTTCCATTTGCTGAGTCAATGAACATAAACCTGAAATAAGACAGAAGAAGAAGAGGAGAATTCAAAGTGCTCTAGTGATCACAGGCTAACATGTTAGCATATTGCTAATGCAAAGTCAGCACTTGTTGCTGCTCTTAAGGGTAAAAGAAAGACCAGTAATGTACATTGTTAATTTTATTTACATGTTAAAAGACGATTATACAATAATATCCCCAGGTGACGTACGGGTGGCGTCCACCAGGTCCTGATGAGTTTTGATGTTTGTGTTCTTCCAGATGGAGAACGCCGGTTACGAGCTGGAGCGTCTCCACACCAACGTGACGTCTCTGTGCAGCAGAATCGAGCTCCTGCCCTGCAGCACCGCCAGAGACCGCCTCGCCCAATCAGGTAAGACTCACCGACACATCTGTGCTCTGATTGGCTGACGTTAGGTGAAGGTGAGGATTAGAGACAACCCCACAGACCCGGAATGATGAGGATTGTAGTTCTAAAAGAGTATGATGATCCCCAGGTAGACTGACGGAGAATAAAAGCAGAGAGAGAATCCAGTAATCTGTTAACGTTGCACCATCAGTACTTTACCTGTAATGCTGCAGGTAAACTTGATTTTAACCACGTATTCGCAGGAAGGCTGCGTCTGTTTGGACCGGTTGTTGTGCACGTCTGCAGAAACACGTGGTTAAAAAATGAGTATACCTCCGGCCTCGGGTAGATCAAAGTGTGCGTTAGAAAGTTCCCTTATAAAAGAGCGTTCAGAGAGAGCGAGCAAAACACTAGCTCAGTTCGTTAGCTAGTTAGTTACATCTCAAAGCAGAACATTATCGAACTGGTAGGAAGGTTCTGCAGAGTCGAGGGAGGAGTTTGGATTCAGCGACCGTAGAGCTCCGTCGTCATAGCGAACGCGGAGGTTCAGGTAAAGTCAACTGCTGTTGTTCAGTTGTTTCGCTAACCAAGCCCCGCCCCCGCCCCCGCCCCTCCTCCCTCCATGCAGAAATGGCGAAGCGTGTGGCCAACATCCTGCGCGCGGTGCTGAGCCTGCAGCAGGGCGACGCGGCGTCCGACTCCCTCAGCATCCCGCTCGCCCAGCTGGCGCCGCACATCGCCCGCCTGCCGATGCCGGAGGATTACACGCTGGAGGAGCTGCGAGGCCTCACGCAGTCGTACCTGCGGCAGCTCATCGTCAGCCAATGAGAGCGCAGAACAGTCGGGAGCTGCTCGAACATCATGAAATCTCTGACGCAGAAAAGTTTTCCACAAAGAAGAAAAAAAGGAGCAAAACTTTTGAGGAGTCTTGACTTGTTGAGGAAGAGGAGGAAGAGGAAGAGAGCCGTTTGAGAACTTTAATCTGGAGTTTATTCTGTTTAAGTTTGTCCCGAAGAAAACAGGCACAAAGCTTCGCAATGTCATTCCTCCTTGTGTGTGTGTGTGTGTGTGTGTCTGTGTGTCTGTGTGTGTGTGTGTGTGTGTGTGTGTGTGTGTGTGTGTGTGTGTGTGTGTGTGTGTGTGTGTGTGTGTGTGTGTGTGTGTGTGTGTGTCTTTAGGGGAGCACTTCAAAAAGAAACCAACAGGAAGTCTAATTTAAACCGCCACCCAGAACTGATGAGAAGTTATTGAACTTAAATATTCTGTTACATCGGAGCACGGTCCACGTAGTGAAGGTTCTTTAATTCACTGGAGCCGCAAACATAATGGACGAAAGGCCTTCTCCTGGTTTCTGCTCATTTCTGTTCAGTTTGAAAATCACTCAGCAGACTGCGATCAATCGCTGCGATCAATCACTGCGATCATTTCTGTTTGTCAGATTCAAATCAATGTGCTTAACGTGCATCATGTAAAGATCGTATCCACGCTGCACCCTTCCTCCTCTCCTGTACTGAGATATGCTACATGCTAAGCTAACCATGTTGAAAATGTTTGAAAGATAAAAGACACAAATATAATCTTAAATTATCTAAATGTTACCTAACGAGTTAAGTAATCAGTAACTTATTGATGTAAATGATCCAGATAGCTAATCAATCACTTCTTACATCTGCTAACATTAGCTGGTGTAGATTAGCTTCAGTTAGCTTTTCTTTTGCTAATGATTGTAGATTAACTAGCTAATTAGCTAGTGTGTTGCTAACATTATCTAAATTAAGATGCGATTATATATCTCGTTTTTATCTTTTAACCAAATCTTCTGAATGTGACTAGCATAGCATTGGCTGTGTGGTTCCTGAAGGGGCGGGGCTTAGGAGGAGATTATAATCTGCAGCGTCCAGATTTAAGTTTTTATATATTTTCTAATATTTGAGGTTCACTGGTTTCAGCCGTCTGCTCCTTTTTATCGAACTGTTGGTGATTAAAATCAGACTCTTCTTGGTGTTTTATTTTGAAATGCTCCCGTAAACCAGGCGTATTTCGCTCTTCAGCAGTTTGTTTCTCCGTATGTTTGAACGGCGTCTTCATAGCGGCACCGCACTGAGCGTGTGCGTGTGGATGTGACCCTCAGTCACTCGTTTGACCTCTGACCCCAAAGAAAGCGGTGCGTTATTGATTAGTTCTGACACAGTATGTGTGTGTGTTGGAGGAGGGGGGGGGGGGTGACTGCTCGTTGTTCTTTCTTTCAAAGATTTGTTTTATTTTACGAGTAAATAAAAGCCGCCGTTAGCTTAGCGTGGCGTAACGTGTTCATCTGTGGATATGTGAATAATTCCCTCGATATTAAAGACGAGCAAACGGGTTCGATGTGCACAGACTCAGAGGAAAGCTCAACATGCAAAGTGTAAAATGCCTAATGGTCTATTTTTGTAGATTTCTTGTTTTTCTGTTTGAATGTCAGAGTGTGTGTGTGTGTGTGTGTGTGTGTGTGTGTGTGTGTGTGTGTGTGTGTGAAACTACAGTTCAGTCGTCAGATTTTCTAAAGCGAAGAGTTTCCTTCCAAAAAACGAGCTGCCAACCAGAGATTTCACTGCATGTAATTATATAAATATTGTATATTTTTGGAAAGTCAAACAGGGAATATCAGGTCATTTTTATCCTCCACCTTTAATTATTAAAACATTGGATGCAAAGAGTTTTGGAATGAAACCCTTCACTTATTGATTGATTCTCATAGATTAACTGTCAGCTTGCCAAGACTGTTTTTTGTTTTTCACAGTAAGCAACAGGAAGCTCTGTATGATGTCTGTTTCCCTCCTGTTCAACACAAACTGTGTGTGTGTGTGTAGGTGGATGGATACTGCTTTGTTTGAGTGTGTGTGCATGATTTTGTTGATAATATTTTTTAATAAAGTCAAGTAGAAATAAACAGTTTGTTTTTTTTTCATTGTCTAATAAAATACAGTTCACAATCTGATGTGTCAACCACTTTAAAGTTACTGTGCAGACAGATTACTTTTAGGTTTGCTGCCACTAGATGTCGCACTAGAGCAGAATCTCATCCACAAACGCTACGGCCCACCAGACTCCATTTATAAAACCAGTGATTTTACCTCTTAGATGAACTGAAAACACTTCAAACTGGACAGAAACAGAATAAAAGTCTTTCCAACAATCCCAATTCAAGCAGAACTCCTGTATGAAAGACTGAAAGTGGAGCTTGAGACCATAAACTGTTTACTGAGCTTATAAATCAACTTCTCCATAAGACTCAATACTATCAGACTTCTAGTTTGCAGTCAATGGGGCTGCCCCCTGCTGGTCATAAGAGGGAATGCAGGTTCCACAGACCAGGAAGCTCGTTGCATTATTACAGTGCTGTGAAAAAGTATTTGACCCCTTCCTCACTTATTATTTGTTTGCACATTTGTCACACTTAAATGTTTCAGATCATCAAAAATGTATATATTCGACAAAGATTTGCAGTTTTTAAATGATGATTTCATTTATTAAGGGAAAAAGCTATCCAAACCTACCTGGCCCTATGTGAGAAAGTAGTTGTGCCACTCTCGGCAGCAACAACTGCAATCAAGCGTTTGCGATAACTGCCAATGAGTCTTTCACATCGCTGTGGAGGAATTTTGGCCCACTCTTCTTTGCAGAATTGGTTTAATTCAGCTGTATTGGAGAGTTTTCGAGCTTGAACCTTCTGTTTAAGGTCATTCCACAGCATCTCAATCGGATTTCAGTCCGAACTTTGACCTGATCATTGTCCTGCTGCAGAACCCAAGTGTGCTTGAACTTAAGGTCACAAACTGATGGTTGGACATTCTCCTTCAGGATTTTCTGGTAGAGAGCAGAACTTATGGCTCAATCAACTACAGCAAGTCGTCCAGGTCCTGAAGCAGCAAAGCAGCCCCAGACTATCACACTACCACCACCAGCAGTGGTTTTTGCCCTTGGACTCTCCCATGGAGGCAATTTCTACCCAGTCCCTTTCTTATTGTTGAATCATGAACATTGACCTTAACTGAGGCAAGTGAGGCCTGCAGTTCTTTAGACGTTTTTCTGGATTCTTTTGTGACCTCCTGGATCTGTCGTCGATGTGCTACTTTTTCACATAGAGCCAGGTAGGTTTGGATAGCTTTTTCCTCTTAATAAATGAAATCATTTAAAAACTGCATTTTGTATTTATTCAGGTCATCTTTGTCTAATATTAAAATTGGTTTGATGATCTGAAACATTTAAGTGTGACAAATATGCAAAAATCAGGAGCGAAATCAGGAAAGTGGGAAATACTTTTTCACAGCACTGTATATACTGTCAATGATGAGAACAGTTATAATATAAAGTTTTAATGTCGTAAAAAATATGTTTCTAACAAATGTTAGTTTGATCCGTGTTTCTCTTTCTGTGAACGGCCGTAATAAAACAACGTAAAAGTAAAATATTGTAAAACACTGAACTGCTAATACAGTTTTTAAAAAGAAAACTATGATAGGAATTAAACATTTGTTAGTTTGATGTGTTAATGTGAGGAAGGTTTCAGCTCTTCATTTATTCAATAACATCTGTTTTTATCCACACAGCAACTTTTATTTCTGGATTTTTCGAAGCAAACTGTGGTTTTTGTATTAAAGTTTTTCCAGAGTTTTGGTACCTTTTTGTTTTTCTTTCCCTCGACTGCTCAGCAGTCTGTACTGTTTTATTTTACTTCAGCATATGATGGCGGTAGTATCCTCTCACAGCGTTATATATCCTATGTGTTAATTCCAACATAAAGATTTTAGAACAAAGATTTTTTCTTACAATAAACAGTTTGTTTTAATTAAATGTTTGAGGACATTACACTGAACAACAAAACAGGGAAAACAACTGGATAAAATGTGTCTCAATCATCATTTTTAATGAAATACAAATTACACAATGTTAACCGTTACACTTTAAGTAGGATTAATAACAAACTAAGCAGCTACAGATAAAATGTTACACCTACAAATTAAATCTATAAAAGTTTCTTTGCAACATTAATAATGATCAAACATTCCTGCACACAAACTGAAACAAGTATCTAAATATGAGATGTAGACGTTAGCTGACAAATCCTAGCAGATAGTGTTTTGGAACAAAGCTACGCTACAACCCGTTCACTCTCTGCTGATCAATCAATAATCTGATTATTATTCTCACATATGAACCTTTAACCAGATGAGCTCAGAGACAAAAAGATAAAGACAGCGTTTGGACGAACATCATGAGCACAAATCAGAAAGTGATGTTTGGTAAATGTTTTATAAACAATTATGTTACCAGGTTCACCTGAAACTCAAATATTGGCATCCTTATTAAGATTAATTTTGGCTGTAATCTTTTTAATTCTACTTCCGTGTATTTCTGCATTTGCTGAGAAAGGAATTTTATCGAGGAGACTTTGCTTAAAATCTTTCTCCAGTTTGAGGTTGAACGCCTTCGCCAGAAGTTTAGACGCCACAACAAACGTGTGCACCTCCTTGTTGAACTCTACTTCTGCTTCCAGGTGAGTCTCCTTCTTTACAGCTTTTATGATTCCTATGATCTCAATTTTCATCTCCTGAACGCCAACACTTTGAACCTGTGTGCAGACAATTAACAGTTTATACAGTGAGCACTGAAGAGTGTGCGACGTATTAATGAAGACATTTGGTTTTATTTCTGCCTCACAGACGTGGCTGACTGCTACCTTGTGAATTCTGGTGAATCCAGTTGAGTTCAGAGATACGGTTTTAAAGTAGTAGCTGGTCTTGACGTTCGCGACCTTAACGACATCTCCAACTGATAATCCTTTGCATTGTTCTGTTTTGTCTCGCCACATACAGACACTGATGGAACCGGTTTCATCTTTTAGTTGGAAGTGTTGTCTCTTTGTCTGTTTAAGCATCAGAACGGCATCGACCTGAACAAACAAAACAACAGAAACAAACCTCTTCCAAACTGTAAAATGGATAACATCTGTTCACTCAATTATTGTATTCAAAACAATAAGGATCAAGTTTTTCAATGTGCATGAAAGCTGATGTGTTCTCCTTTAAAGGTCCAATGTGTAGGATTTAGTGGCATCTAGTGGTGAAGTTTCACATTACAGCGTGCATCGCAGACGTGTGTATCGAAAAGGACTCACCCCGAAATTCCACCAGGCAAGGCTTTATAACACTGCGTCTGAGTCGTTTACCGACTGTCCGACGTTTACTTTTCAAGGAAAAATTTCCATTTAAGAGGCAGAAACCTCGGACAGACCCTGACTCTAGGTGGGGGGTCGTCTGCCTTGACCAGTTGGGGTGAGTAAGGGGGTGAGCGAGAGAGAGAGAGAGAGAGAGAGAGAGAGATACTTGTGTATCTCATCCTTAAAAAGGAAACAAAACTGACTTCCTTTCTCGTGTCACGTTAATGCAGCATGAAATTCGATCTGGATTCTGCACGCAGTATTTTATTTTGAAAATTGACCAGATTCTCTATGCTGTTTCTGTGTCTAACTTTCTGTCAGTGTGATGTGCAGTTTGACACGAGTTGGTTGCAAATAGACCAGCTGCAGATTCTACATGGAACAGTGTAGAGAGACACTTGTGAGATACACCTCGGTGCTTCTGGTGGGATTTAGAGCATTGAAGAACGGGCGTGATCAGTCTATTTTTGACAAAAGCTGCAACCCACTCGTGTCAACCAGCACAGAGCAGATCACACTGACACAGAAACCGCAAAGAGAATCGGGTCAATTTTCAAAAGAATATACCATGTGCAGACTCCAGATCGAATTTCATGCTAGATCAAGATTGTGACACCAGACTGGAAGTCAGTCAGTCAGGGGAGATTGTTAGCAGAGACACACACTGTTTTGTTTCCTATTTAAGGACGAAATTCACAAGTAAATAACGTATTGGCAGGCAAAACGCTCTGCTGACACTTCTGAGGCGCTCTCGGCATGGCGTATGAAACCATACCTGGTAGAACTTGGTGGTAACAGTAAACATAGTGGAGCATTCAGCAGCTAAAGAGCCAGATATTTCCCTCCGGAGTTGGTGGAGAACAAACACAGAGCTAAAAGAGTGAACGTTGGCGTTATCAATATTTAAACTCACCTCTGTAACGGTTCCTTCAACACTCACTCCTGTCCCGTCAGTTAATGATGTGGCTTCGTTAATGGAGTAAAACGGACTCTCGGGGTAAATGAGTTTCTGAGCTTCCATTTCGATCTCTTCTGGGACTTCAACAGAATTCGTTTCTGACACTCTGCTCCGTTGATTAACCTTAAACCCATACTCGTCTTTAATTAGCTTTCTGAACAAGTAGGACTTCTCTTCCTTGATTTCTTTATTGCGCTCTTTTCCATAGACCATCACTTTAATGCTGGCTGTCTCATCAGCGACCCCCAGATAGAAGAAGAACTTTTTCTCCTTATCTTTGGTGTAATATGTCCGCAGACCGGATTTCTGAACAACTTTTCCAAAAAAGCCGTCAGTGTCACAAAGTTCTTGGATGGATTTCAGGTCACGGATGGATTTTCTCTGCAAACAGGAGAAAAACAATCCCAGAGAACAAGTTGTAAAGAAGTGAAAGAACACTAAAAAGAAAAACCACTTACCCAAGGCCCATTGTTTCTCTCCTGGAAAACAAACATTTCATCATTAATGAACTGACAGAGATACATTCTCAGTATGAGTCTTATCTTAATTTAAAGCTGTACCGTCACCATCCAGCATAAATGTTAGTGTGAGAGTGCGTACCTTCTCAGGTGCGCCGCTCTTCTGTTGAGCTTTAAAAGGAGAAACAAACATCAGTCAGTGTCTCATTTCTTCATCCAGCAGATCTTAAGCAAAAAAAAAAAACAACCTCAAATCCACAGAAACCAAACTGCTGACTTCTTTTATTGAGAGGAAGTCAGTTTCTCTTAATGCTGATGTTCAGGTTACATCAGTTTCCTGCTTGTGTTTCCTGACAGATCTCTGATTCTTACGTTTATATCAGATTATGAACATTAATATATCAGCTAACATTATATTCTCTATATACAGTCACAGTCACATGGTGTCTCTCTCCCTCCGCCTGTGTTGTATCGTAGCCTCTCTCTGGTTTGTTTCCATAGCCGGTCTGCTCCGACTGCTGTTTTTATCATCTACGTCGGTGAATTAAGGATTTATTTCCACCAAACCAGAGTTGGTGATTGTTGGAAACACTAACAGAGACGCTTTTAATGAGTTTTATTCTGTATCTATCTCATTGTTTTGGTTTGAGAATGCCGCTTCAGTGTGACATCCAGTGGAAAGTGAATTTTGGATGTACAACCTTTAACCTGAGTGCAATTTAATTATTAATTATTATTACTGCTATTAAAATATGCAATACCCAAATCACAGAAGCTGCAATATGTTATATAACGGTTAAATTAGTGACCAACATCATTTTAATGAATAATAAGCAGAGATAGCCCGGCCTACTCAACAAATGTCACGTTATTGTGATCTGAAAAGTTTTTTCAGTGAAAGTTGGGAAGTGACACAAACTACAGGGTTGTGAAGTGATCTTCTGTTAACGTACCTGCTACAGGACTTTCATCCTCCTCTGCTGGATCACTTTTCTTCTTCTTCTCCCCTGAAAATAACGTGAAACAGTTTAACTTTTAAGACAATGATAAACAGAACAATGAAACAAAGAGAACAATAACAGCAGGAAGCTTGTGGAAAACTAATGTTATTTCCTGTGAATATTGATCAAAGATGAGTTTTGCTGATGGTTTTAGAAAGTTTTTATACATTTTTTAAAAATGATCATACATTCAGTCTAAGCAAACAGAATTAGATGAGACTGTGTATATCTTTGAACAGCAGCCAATCTGTGTTCCCTGAATGTTAGACGGCGGAGTTTTACCTGCTGCAGAGCTTTCATCCTCCGCTGGATCAAGCTTCCTCTTTATCCCTGAAAGTGAAGATTTGAAACACAGATTATTATAGTATATATTCCTGAGCTGGACCTGAACAGTTGCGTCCTAAATCCAACCTGATGAACACTCAGACGCTTATTTTAGGTTTTATTTTCATATTTAAAGTTAAAAGTATTTCTGTCGATCAGAAATCTACGTCCTCCCTCTGTGAGGCAGTTTATAGTACTCTAATGATCAGAATCAGTACATTAATAATCATTTATTTGAAGTTATTATGCAAGACATTTAAAGAGTCAGGACTTCTGTTCACTGCATCTCAGACCTTCTGACCCTCAGGTGTTTAAAAACTGAAGGTTATTATTATTATTATTATTTTTATTATTTTATCAGTTATGGATGATTTTAATTAAATAATTTGAAGCTTATTATTAATTATCTGAACTCACCCTCGTTCCCTTTGTTGTTGTTCCTCAGTTCGTCCACAAAGGGGCGCAGTAGGTCCTGGACATCAGCGTCCCTCCTCGGTATCTCTTCCATTATGTCACTAATCACAGAGATTGATTCTCTGACTCCGTAGTGCTCAATGATCTTTTGGGCCATTTTCTCTCTGCGGTCAGATGTCCTCTTACTTTTGGGGATTTTTGTCAAATATTCCAGCATCTTAAGGTACTGTGGCTTATCCAACTCCTCCAGGATGGAGGTCAGAGCTGATTTCCACTCTTTCTGTAAAATATCTGACATCTGTAGCAGACAGACAGGCAGACGGATACACAGACAGACGGACAGACAGACGGACAGACAGACACAGACAGGCAGAGATGTTAGACGCGGTTCCTGCACCCTCAGATGCATCAGACACAGTCAGTTACCCAGAGTTCATAGTGACACCTTCACAACCAAACCTCTAGATTATTACAATCAAAGAAAAAGCAGCAAATCTTCACATTTGTGAAGCTGATTAATAATTGACTGATTAATAATTGACTAGTTCTGCTAACTGATTAAAGGACTGATGGTTTCATTTATAAGAAAACATATTAAATGTATATATGAAGTAAATATTTCCCTGTGAACTCTGGTGGAGTACAAAGAGTAAAATACAGTAAGCAGCAGTTTAATGTAACATAAACAACAAACAGAAACTAGCACTGCTAGTAAAACGGTTTTATTCACTGTAATGTTTCAGATATTTAGACTTTCTATCTTTTGCTCTGTTACAGTAATGACTGTCACACCTGTAATTGTTGTATTTGACCAGTACATTAAGGTACAGACACCGTGTCGTCTTTTAATGGTGGTTATATCGGCGATATCAGTCAGCATTAAAGCAGGAAGACAAACAGATGTTTGTTCAAACCACAAGCTCAGTGTTTGTTTTCTCACCGTACTTTCTCCCCAAAAGAAACCATCAATAAATCCTTTCATTCTTACGTACTTTGTCCTTTTCTTCAACTTCAGGCGGATTTCTACTTTAATGTTAAATGTTTTGCAGTCAAAGATCCTCTCAGTGGCGGGAAGACAGAAATTTCCCCTCCCCCCCAGGGAGCAATGGTTCAGTCCGCTGTTTACTGCCCACAGACCAATCAGCTCCCTGAACTCAGACCAGCTGAGTTGTCAGCCAATGAGAGCAGTCTCTCTCCAGCACCTGACAGGAAGCAGAGAAATGTATTTACAGACAGGTAGAACATGAACAGACAATGCCAGGGGACAGACAGACATCATACATTAGTGAAATAAATTGTACAAAGTAAATAAAGTTTGGATTGCTTCGTTTATAATATTCAATTTATAGATGTGGGAATTTTAAAAGAAGAAGGATCAAACCGATGATATGAATATAAAAACTAGAAATGTAAACGTTGTAGTGTCGGTTTATCTACATTTGTTTACACGGTCCAATATGGCGGCGACGCTGACACATATGTGTGTGTCTGTGGTTACTATGGTAACAGCTCTGTCACTCACAAACAGCGGTTGGTGAATTAACAGCGTTATGAGTCGGTGTTCAGTTGGTTCAGTATCTGATCCTCCAACCAGCTCTGATTTTACTGAGAACACACAAACTCCTTTGTTTGGTGCAGGGAGCTTTTAGTTGGATTCAAACTGCTAATATGGATCATTGTTGACATTACAGAAACACTAACTGAGTCTCATAATTGTATTGATCCTGTATTGACAGTCAGACTGTGGACATATGACGGCCTTTAGCTCGTGTTTCTAGAGTTACGTGTTGTTGTACAGATCTTTAGTTTAACCACAAACAGCCGTAATATCACTATCACTCTCCACCAGACTCCAGAGACAGAAACACTCATTTTACCTTCAGATCATCATAACTTCATTAAAGTGAACAGAAACAGAATCAAACTCATTAAAGCGTCTCTGTTAGTGTTTCCAACAATCACCCACTCTGGTTTGGTGGAAATAAATCCTTAATTCACCGACGTAGATGATAAAAACAGCAGTTTCAGTCGGAGCAGACCGGCTATGGAAACAAACCACAGAGAGGCTGCGATACAACACAGGCAGAGGGAGAGAGACACCATGTGACTCTGTTTCTTTATATAGAGAATATAATGTTCATGCAACATGCAGCTCCCCACCCAGTGCTTCCATTAAAGAGGCCTCGACAGTCGCTGTGTGTTAACTCTTTATTTAACAAAAGCTCAAAGGAGAAAACAACCAGTTCCCCCATTTACAAATATATATGTAACTTTTACATCTTTTTAATGCACGAAGAAAACTTCCGGGTTGGAGTGGAGACATCTACAGCTACAGGTTGGACTCCTTCTTCTTACTGGCCTTTTTCACTGCTGCAGTTTTCATTTTCCCCGACTGGACAGCTGCACTTTGACCCTAAAGCACAGAGACGTTTGTTACGTATTACGCTAACAGACATATCAAACCGCAGTGAAACCCTGGTTGTATCTGCAGTGACTGTCTGCTTATAAACTGAGCAGATATGTGTGAGTAAAACATATCTCTCATTCTCCTTAATTAAACCCAACTCAAAACTGTTGAAGTATCAATTGTTGTTCTGAGTGCAGTATTTTAATCATTATTATTAAATTTGAATTGACTTTATATCGTTACAGAAATGTAAACCCCAAAATGAATTGGCTACCAGTTGATAATTAGTTAATGTAATAATTTTATTTAGTGAAAGAAAAAACACAAGTGTAATTTACTAGTTTTAACTTCAATCAACTGTATGAAACTGACTTAATTTACCAAAGTTACCTCAACAATAAATACTTTACTTTTCATGATTAAATTTAAACAATGTGAGTTGAACTAACTCATCAGGTTTTAGTGTAATAATCTACGACTGTCAGCCTCTTTTAATCAGATTTCTTGTAGAATATAGATGGTTTTATTTTGTATATCGAACTGTGTCAGCTCAGACAGCTGATCTCAGGTCAGCAGAGCAGAGACGTTCCTGCTGCTACCTGGGAGGTTTTGGTGGATCCGGTTGGTTTCAGGGTCAAATTTGGCTTCTCTGTCTTCTTCTGTTTGGGTTTAACAGGTCCGGCAGGATCCGTCTGAACCAAAGAAATACATTTTTAAACATTGGAATCAATATAAAACAGTAAGAGAAGCTCAGTGAATTGATGAGTCTGCTGAGTTATGGATGATGTGCTGTAATATCTTTATGTGATTGAAAGTGAAATATTATTTACAGTTTGATGGATTTATGTTTTTCTTTGATTCTGGTATAAGTTATATGTTATATAGTTATGAAACTATAAGTAATTGTTATAAAAGGGGACACCTCAGGGCAGTGTGATAGGTCCTCTACTGTTCCCAGTTCTGAACAATAAAGAGCTCAGACAGCTGATCTCAGGTCAGCAGAGCGGAGACGTTGCTGCTGCTACCTGGGAGGTTTTGGTGGATCCGGTTGGTTTCAGAGTCAAATTCGGCTTCTCTGTCTTCTTCTGTTTGGGTTTCACAGGTCCGGCAGGATCCGTCTGAACGGAAAGAATAAAACACTGTTGAAAGAACTGCTCATTATGGATAACGGCAGCAGACCACTGATAGTTATCATTATATTATAAACTCTACACTGTATATATACGGTCTATAGTCACAACCAACAGTCTGAGTCCCCCAGAGATTAACGTTAGCTTACGCTGGCGTCCGTTTTAACGCCTCCGACTGAGGAGACCTACAGGACCAATTCCAGACCTCAATGCTCATCAGTACAAAATGGTCGATATTGATCTGTGAGATCGGATCGGTTCACATATTGGACCTTACAACAAACAGAGTCAGATAACTGCTGGTTTTCTTCTGGATACAAGAAAAGAGGCTAAAAACATAAATAATAATAATAATGATAATAATCTTTCTTTCACTTTCACCTTGTCAGCTTTGCAGCTCTTCGGTTGATCTTTAAAAGAAGAAACAAACAGTTTGTTGGTGGTTTTCAGGTCAGAGTCTCGTGATCAATTGTTCTTTCTGTAATAATCATAACAATAATAATAATAATAATGATAATCCGTAACATTTATTTGTCTAGAGATTTCTTGTATTGTAGGTTACAGGCCGTTAATGTTCCCTCTGGTAGTTGGAGCTGATTAAATCTTTTATTTGATCTGTTTTCGACCTACCAGCTGCAAGCTTTCGCTTCTTGGCTGCTGATCCTGAGTCAGCTGCAGATTTGCTCGTTGTCGCTGAAAAAGACATTTTAAACAGTAAATATTAAAGGTTAAATATGAGATCATAAACATATTCTGTATATACAGAAACAGTCACATGCTCCGATTGATCGGACGGATTTATCAACGGTCAGACATTCTTTTAGTATTGTAAACAGAGAGAGATGTTTATGAGTGAATTTTAATACTTTAATAGTGTTAAGAAGAGTGTTAAGTTCCTCTTGCTGGCTGATCCTGATTCAGCTGCTGCTTTGCTCGTCGTCCCTGAAGAAGACATTGTAAACAGCTGAGAGTGTGTCTCATTGGTCGTCTCATACAATGTGACCCTCTGCGCTCTCACACTCGCCGCTCGGAGGAACTCGTCTCTGCAGGAACTCACCTTTGTTTTTCTGCCGTAGTTCCTTCAGTTTCTTCACAAACGGGATGAGTGGACCCTGGACGGCTGCGTCTTTCCTCGGTATCTGCATCATCTCTTTATTGATCACCGAGATGGACTCTTCCGGCCCGTAGTACTCAATGATTATTTGTGGGATCTGCTCTCGGGCCTTTCCGGCCTTCTTGCCCTGAGGGATCTTATCCAGTTTGAAGAGCAGCTTGCTGAACTGGGAGTCTGTCAGATGCTCCAGGATGTTGGTCAGAGCCGCCTTCCAGCCTTTCTCCAGAGCCTTCAGAGACATCTGCAACACAAACACCGGACTGTGTACTCAGGATGTCCCGCACATATCTGAACAAACCTCTGACTGCCTTTATGTTCCTGTACTCTGCTGTACTGTTGTTGTTGTTGTTGTTGTTGCGCAGTCAGAGCCTCACCAGTTCAGGTGTGTAAAAACTTGTTTTTGAAATACTGAAATGTGAAACTGAAAGAAATCCATATCATTCATCCTTATTGTAAATATTAATTCATATTAACTGTTAATTACATATACTTACAAACCACTACACAAAACTTTATTTATAAAGCTAACAGCTAACAGCTAACGTTGGGTTTATTTTACATTTTACTGGTTTAATCATTAAAAATATGTTAACCACAAAGTCTCAGGGCTGTTTCACACAAACGTATTTATGTAAAAATAATTAGAGTAAAGTTTAATGAGGTACAGTTAGTGAACCCTGAGCACATAAACACATAAACATCTTTAAGGGGGAATTATTATTGATTATTGATAGAAACAGGTCAGTTCAGTCTGTGGGTCAATAGAACTGTTTGTTTGGTTCAGAACCAACCACACTCCAAACCAATATCAATAATCAATCAATAACTAATCTCAGTGTGAAGTTTTTACTGCATCGTTCAGGAGAATAAAATGATCCTGAGTGGAGCAGAAACATTTATATACCCAAATATGAAACACACGGATCAATAAGATGATCAGAATAAAGCTCTCTGTATCTGAAGGTATTTATAAAGTGTTCCCACCGTATCGTCTGCTCTGCTGCCGTCACTGTCACTATCACAGACACTTTCACTCACTGTCTGTGTTGGTGGTTAATGGACGCCGTCAGTGGCGGGAAGGTTAATACCTGAGGAAGGTGGAAGATACCAAATAATGTTCAACAACCCGTTTGTGAGCTCGTCCAGAATAAATGCTAACAGACTCACAGAGACACATTTTACATCAGCAGATGTTTGATTTCTTCCAACTTGTTAAACTGTTAAAACCTCAAAACGTCCAGTTTGAGTCACAGTGACCCCCAACCCCCCCACTCAGGGAACAATGGTTCAGTCCAATGTTTCCCGCCTACAGGCTGAGACCAATCAGCTCTTTACTTTCAGTTTCAGGTTGTTTGAACTGGAACACAACCTGAGCTGCAGCGAGCTAACGTCCAACAGAAATAATCATTGTTATTAATCAGCAGCTGCAGAGACACAGAGAGAGAGTAACAAACAATAAACCTCCAGACCGTACGTCAGCAGTAACACAGTGGGGGGGGTACATCAGGCAGACAGTGAACAGAGTTGATGTGTTAGAAGCAGGAACAGTGTGCAGCGTGAGGATCTGATCCACTTTGACAAGAACCACATTGTGATGGACGACTGGGTCAGAACATCTCCAAACCTGCAGCTCTTGTGGGGGGTTCCCGGTCTGCAGAGGTCAGTACCTAATAAAAGTGGTCCAAGGAAGGAACAGAACCAGAGACAGGGTGATGGGGGGCCGAGGCTCATTGATGCAGGTGGGGAGTGAAGGCTGGCCCGTGTGGTCCGATCCAACAGACGAGCTACTGGAGCTCAAACTGCTGAAACACAATGTGTGTTATAAGATAAACTATATAATGAGTGTGAATAAGTAGACCTTTCTCACAGCAGCCGTTGGGACATGTAATAGTCGGGTAAACCTCCAATCAACACTATGAACATTATTATTATTATTATAATCATATTTCAGCTGAACGTATTTTAACGAGACTTTAAAGCAATCTCAGGAAAAAAAGCTAAAAATAAAGACTCTTTTAGCGTTCAGATTAATATCTAGTTAAGCTTTTAAACTATTTGTGTAGCGACTGACGCTAAATGTTTAATTATTGAACACTTTCTGAAAAGCTAAAAATAAAAACACTGTTTTATTTTTCACACACACTTTATTGCAAATCCACGATGAGTTTGATCCATTTATTGATTACAAACAGCCTGAACACAAAGTAAACATTATTTAATTATTATAAGATGTTTCTGAAATTCTTCCCTCGTTCAGTTTAATCTGGAATAAACGAACAATGTAACATCTCATACAACAACAACAACAACAACAACAAACATCAACAACAAACACATCGAAGGTTTTAAAATAAATAACTGAGGCTCCGTCTGACCGCCTCCCCTCGCCGCTGATTGGTCCGCTCTACAGGAAGTTGTGACACTTTAACAGAAAAGGAAGTGACCTCCAGCTGCTGACGTCGGGGTCGTCAGGGGTCAGAGGTCACGGTCTATGTGACCATGTACTCTTGCCGTTTGTTGAGTCGGACCTGGCAGAGCGACACGGCGCCCACCGCCACGTAGATGCCGGCGGCGATGAAGCAGTTGATGCCGACCTGGTTGTAGAGGCCGTAGATGTTCTGAGGAGGATTTTTACTGCAGGAGAAGAAGAACGAAACCGTCACCTGACCCGTCATAAGCCCCGCCCCCTTTCTGCTCTCTGCTCCAATCACAGTTGAGCAACTTACATATGCTATGCTAGGCTAATCTATGTTGGAAAGACAACCACATTGTGAAGATGGGACTTATGAAGAGTCCTTGAATGTCTCAGAGACATATTGATTGTTAATTATTGATTATCAGTGATGTGTGTGTGTGTGTGTGATAGGCTCCGATCGGTCCAGCTGATTTATTGATCATCCCGTTCATAGCGACTCACTCGTTGCGGATGTCTTCCTCGGTGAACGGGACGTCCTCGATCAACACGGCCGACTTGGCGCTGAAGAAGATTCCCAACATGGCCTGAAAGAGAACAGAGGGGTTCAACGGGAGGCTCGGGGCCACAGCAGAGGTCAGTGCGGAGGTCAGTGCGGAGGTCAGAGCGGCGGTCAGAGCGGAGGTCAGAGCGGAGGTCAGTGCGGACACAGAGCGGAGGTCAGTGTGGAGGTCAGTGCGGAGGTCAGAGCGGAGTGTAGTGCGGAGGACAGAGCGGAGGTCAGTGCGGAGGTCAGTGCGGACCACCTGAGACTCTGACAAATACCTGGAAGAATCATTACCATCCCATAAACGATGTTCACTGCTCCAGTAAATAGGACGAACCTTAGATACGACTTTGCAGTGGGAGATATTTCTAGTTCCACTCAGAGAACTAACGTTACGTTACGAACCAGAGTTACTAAACTTAAACTTGTGTTTGACCAGTTAAATGCTTTTAATTTGACATTTTTAACGTTTTATCAAATAATTTCCAGCACTTTCTTACAAACACACTAATATATATTAATGTTTCCAATCAGATAGAATTTATTTTATTTGACAGAAAATTGATCTTCTACAGTTAAAGAGGAAATTACACAATAATTAACATCCTCTAATAAACCCTGAATACCAACATCAACAGATTATTATTGTTATTCAATATGTCAATACTTTCAGTTCATTATTAATAAAATGATTTAATTGTTTCTCTGTTTGTTGGAGCTGCAGTGAAGATTACCGACGCACTCTCAGGAACATTATTATTGATTATTGATCCAATAACTACAGACTCACAACTCCTGCGACACTTTTCAGAAACGGATCCAGTTTGGTGTCAAACACAATAATGTTTAAATGTTTAAATCACGTTAAGTTCAATGAAAAAATAATTATTTATAACAATTTATTTAAAGTTTGAGTTCAAATATTGATGGTGAAAACAGCTGATTCATGTTTCTGTGTTTTATTAATAGTTAATAATTTTATTGACCCGCTGGTTTTGGAGAAGTATTAATGATTAATGTCCTAATAAAGTCAATGTCTGTTGGACTCAATCAGTTAATAACAATAAAAACAATACACGTATGGATCCATAATGGAACCAATCATTAGCTGCAGCCACACTAATAATAATAACAATAATAATAATAACAATAATAATAACACTAATAACAATAATAATAATAATAATAATAATAATCTGAACTTCCTGTTGGAGACAAACTGACTTCCTGTTCTGAAACATCACATGAGGCCAAACATAGAAAGTCACATGATTCCTTTTTCTGTCTCTTTAGTTCCTGAATTCAAACAGTTATTGATGAGAATCTTCTGAATATTGATGGAAAATGTTTGTAATCAATCAGAAATCAACTGTTTATATTTTAATATCTGTGCCACCAGCATTTAATCTGAGTATCCAGACTGTAGACGCCTCCATAACGTTAATTACACAGGCACAAGCCAACTGATCGATCCAGCGCTGTATCGATTATTGATTACAAGAGCAGAACAGAATCTAACGTTATTGTACATTTAGCTAGGCCTCCTCGGGCTCCGTCTATTTACCGGAACAGACTTCACCCTCAGGTATTACTGTGTGACAGACGGTTTGTTTTTCATCATTTTTAAAGTCTAAACAATCTAAATAAATAACAATAATCATAAAAACAACAACTGAAACGTTACTTTAAGATAAAAACGTCTCGTTGGACGCTCCTCAGTGTGAGTCCAGGAAATAGACGGAGCCCCGTTCTCTTACCAGCATTATGACCCCCCAGATGCTGATCACTATCCCGCAGGCGGCCATCTTCGGCCCGCAGAACAGAAGCGACGGCATGCCTGAGCTCGGTGTTATCGATCAATCAGAAGCGGGTTTTATTTCTGATTCAATGATCGGAGAAATGTTCCCATGAAGGACGACAGCTCGCAGTCAGCTGATCCGCATCACTCGGTGGAACTCGGTGGAACTCGGCGGAACTCGGAAACTATCGGCACCCGCAGCGCAGCGACCAATGACAACGCCCAGTGCGCCAAGCCCCGCCTCTTCCTCTGACGCCGACCAATGACGTTCAACTTCCAAAGTCGCGCAACATTTCCTTTCTCCCTCTGTCCGCCTTTGTTGTCGATATTTATCTGCTTTCTTTCTGAATATGTGAGATATAAACAACCCGCGGCGGGTTCTCGGTGTTCGGTCGGGCGCGGACGTTAAAAAGCGTTTATTAAACTTTTCCCGGGGTTTCTATGGAAGCGCGCTAACGATAGCGAGCTAGCTAACGTTACCGGAGCTAACTTTAGCTAGCAGCTAGCTGTGTTTGTTTGTTTGTTTGTTTGTTTGTTTGTTTGTTTGTTTTGATTGAAAACAAGTTTAAAGATAAAAGCTTGAACTCATTCACCGCCATGACGTCTGCTTCCGCCAAGGTAGGTTCTCACCTGGTTACCGGACATTAGCCGATAGCTGCGCACCAAAGTCCACTCAGAAAACTGCTCATTTTACACATTTTATTACGGTACAACTGTAAACTGCATTACAACTTATTGATCTTTCTCCCGCCTTTATTACTAAACTCTGATGGTAGATTCGGCTCACTGTTAAAACAATAAAACTCCTCTTTTAGTATCTGAATTAGAAACAACCTTTACTGATGAAGTGTTGTAACGAGGTACAGAGACAGTTCTGACGTGATTTTATAATAAACAATCACTTTTATTGATCAGGTCTGTGCACACATACACAGGCTAATGGATCAGCTACTATATACAGTTATACAGACAGACAGACAGACAGCGTTATAGCCCCCCCCCCGCAGTCTGTTGCTCATCCTGATGAAACTCTGCTGCAGGTCGGGGAGATCTTCTCGGCTGCAGGAGCCGCCTTCACCAAGCTGGGAGAGCTGACCATGCAGCTGCACCCGGTGTCGGACTCCAGCCCCGCGGGGTCAGTTCCTCCGGTGACCCGGTACCGACAGTAATGGTTCATAAACTGGAGTTAATGTTAATCAGTGTGTGTCTGCGTCCTCAGAGCCAAGTGGACCGAGACGGAGATCGAGATGTTGCGTTTGGCGGTGCGTCGGTTCGGAGACGACCTCAACAACATCAGCACCGTGATCAAAGAGCGCACCGTGTACGTCTGCACTCACTCATACCCCTCAATGTCTTCTAAAGCCCACTGACCAAAGCCCACTGACCAAAGCCCACTGACCGAAGCCAACTGACCAAAGCCCACTGACCAAAGCCCACTGACCAAAGCCCACTGACCGAAGCCCACTGACCGAAGCCAACTGACCAAAGCCCACTGACCAAAGCTCACTGACCGAAGCCCACTGACCGAAGCTCACTGACCAAAGCTCACTGACCGAAGCCCACTGACCGAAGCCCACTGACCAAAGCCCACTGACCAAAGCCCACTGACCAAAGCCCACTGACCAAAGCCCACTGACCAAAGCCCACCCCGAACCCCTTCAGTCACTTTACGTTAAACTTCAACAGAAACGTTTTTTTATAATAACTATAAAACTATGTGATTATTGGAGAATCGGAACATTGGTAACATTTTAATCTTTAATGTTCAAACTTTATTAAATATGAAGCTACAGCCAGCAACAGGTTAGCTTAGCATAAAGACTGTAACTGCTAGCCTGGCTCCGTCTGAAGGTACCGACACCGACCAGCGGCTCTAAAGCCGATGAACTCGTTACGTCTGTCAGACTGCAGGAAGTCTCCCGACCAACAAATAGTCCCACTGTGAGTTGTTCATCAGCTGTAGAGCTGCTGGTGGGTGGCTAGCAGTTTCCACCTGTTTCCAGTCTTTATGCTAAGCTACGCTAAGCAGTAGCTTCATATTTAGTGTACAGTCAGAAGGGAGAAAGAGAAGAAGTGGTGGTCACTGGATGCTGATTGGCTGGCTGTGTAACCCCCCCCCGCAGGGCGCAGATCAAGAGCACGGTGAAGAGGAAGCTGTACGAGGACAGCAGAGTCCCCATTTCCTCCGAGTCCCCGAAGAAAACCGTCAAGAAAACCGCTGTGACGCCGGCCCCCGCCGCCCCCGCCATGATCGCCGTGCCGACCTCGCAGGTTGTCGTGGCGACAGGCATGCAGAATAGTCCCTCTCTGGCCCCGCCCATCAAGAAACAGAAGACGGCAGGTGAGAAACGGCAGGAAGTGACTTCTGTCAGGAAGTAGACGTGATGATGACGTCTCCCCCCCTCCCCCTCTCCCCCCCCCCAGATGTGACCCTCAGCGCTCTCAACGACTCGGACGTGAACAGCGACCTGGTCGACATCGAAGGACTCGACTCCAACAAGAAACTCAACTTCGACCAAGGTCAGTCTGTTTATTGTTTGTTTGTTTATCAGACCGATGTCACGATGTCAACGTTCATTATCGATAGATATACTTTATTGATCCCAAGCTGGGAAATTGCAGTGTAGCAGCAGCGTTACACACAGTAACAACACAGACATATCAAAAAAGTAGGGATGCACGATAACTTTTTCTTTAATACCGATAACCGATAACACACACACACACACACACATACATATATATATATGTAAGATCATGACATTAATACAATGAACAAACACTTTTGGTGGAGATAGGCCTATTTATTTTTTCCAATGATGAACTATTGGCAAGCCTCTCAAAAAAAATAAAGGCTCCTTGAACTGATGCAAATACATGCAGCGGGATTACAAACTGGAAAAGTTTATTCCAGAAGTTCAAAAATATAAATATATATAGAAAACTGATGCACTGACACAAGTTAGATTTAAACATTTCTATGTAAACACAATCTGAAAGTGCATTCCTCAATAACAATAAATCAAATGTGCATAATGTTACACTGAAAGAGTGTATCCATGGTAACAAAAATTAAGTTTAAATGATTTTGGCTTATGGTTCTTTCAAATGAATACCTTTTCACTAAAGTAAACGAGGTTCAGTTGTTTTATCGATCGAGAGAGAGACAGACAGACAGACAGACAGACAGAGAGAGAGAGAGAGAGAGAGAGAGAGAGTTTTATTTACTTATTTAATGAAATGTATGAAATTGTTCTTATGTAATTTATTTGTAGCTTTGGCAATATTGTTGTTTTACATTCATGCCAATAAAGCTGATTTGATCATGATATCGGACTTATCGGAATGACGTAATCATTTCCTGTTATCGTGCACCCCTACAAAGAAGCAATATAAAAAATGGATCAAATGTATAAATAAGCGGTCTAATTGTCGTACAAAGTAAAAATATAAGGTGCAGTAAACAGATGGTGCTTGGAGACTGTGTTGTTATGACCATGAGTTTTAGCTGTTATTGTTGTTATTGATTGATCTGCAGATGATTTCCTTGTTTATCGTTAATCTCTGTCGCCTCAGGAACCCTAAACCTCCTTTATTGTCCCAATCAGCTGCTGAGATATCGTCCATACAGCTGATTATTAATATTAATGATGCTAACTGCTGGAGACTGAACGTGTGTAACTGGGTCCATGTGTCCGTCTGTCCTCAGAGAGCCTGAACCTGGACTCAAGCCTCATCATGAACTCCAGTGACCTCCCCCTCCTCTCCCGCTGACCTTCGACCTCTGCACAGAGGAGCTCTCTTATTACTCACTGACGTCTTTTTTAGGTTCCAGCTGCAGAAACACAGGTTTTATTTTACAGAGTCAGTCGGTTTTAGAAATCAGAGTTTTTTACGTCCTGTGTCGTTATCATGAAGAATAATCGGCGTCGACCTCGTAGAGACGCTTTAATACGAAGAAGCTTCCTCGGCCGGCTGAATCCTCTTTAAATGATCTGTATGAAACATACTCTGTCTGCTGCACAACAACATTTAAACCGGGTTATTATATTAAAGTGTCTCAGAGCTACGGAAGCCTACTACTGCCAAATAAAAACAAATCAGTATCAAAATATATCGTAAACAATTTATTGTTCTAACAGGATATTTTTATGTTAATTATAATACCGACACGTTCTGTTATCTTGTTCTAACGATAACGTTTTAACGTTGATCAGACGCAGCAGATTAGTGTTATTTTGTGCGAAAATGTGAAATATTTGAAGATACTGTAATCTATAAACGATAATAATCTCACGCAACGTTCCCTAATAATCAATAATAATAATAATCATGATTAATCCTCCAGCCGTCAGACATCAGAGCCCAGATCAGAACGAATCCAACCAGAATATCTTCAGTCGCATTCATAATAACTCTCATTGTAAATCATGGTTCATAGCCTCCGTTACCATAGTAACCTGCTCACTGCTGTCTGTCTGTCAGTAGTCAACAGTGAGAAACACCTCGTTATGTCGTTAGCAACGGATCCACTGAGCTCGTTAATCCCCTGAAGTTGTTTCAACGAGGGGTCCACTAACTGCTAATGTTAGCCGCTAACAGTAACCAGTTTAGTTTCCTCAAATCAATCGATGTCAGGTACCAGATACCGACAGCAACCACTCATAATTCAGCTGCTACACTTAAAAGGTCAGAGGTCGTGAAACGGTTCAGATCTTTCTTGTTGTGGAGGAAACAGAATATTGTTTCTTCTGGAGGATTCAGAGTTTCTGAGCAGCTCCAAGTTTCCAGGAAGTTCTCTGGAAACGTTAAAGACGCAGTTTACTGAACGAACGCTGAACTCGAGGGACAATTTATCTAATCTGTCTTTATTATTGTGAATAATTCTCCAACCAGTGGGTCTGACTTCCTGTCTGTGGCTCTCTGAGCTTTAAAAACACAGCTATATGTTTGTTTGGGACTATTTCCAGCGGCGGATGAATCCTCATTTGGTGCAGCAGCGGGACGGTGAGAAGATCCAGCCGGTTGCTTTCAGTCTGAATCCGTAGCAGACTGATTATTGATCATGATGGTAGAAAATCTGCTGATTGAACATTTTATGAATCAGTGACGTAAAAACAGTTTTCATTACGTTAAATAAAAAAAACCTGAGAACAGTTTGTGTCTATTTATTTCCTTCGTTGGTTCGTGGTGCGACTGTTGACAGAAAGTGACACGAGAACAAACAGACTACAGCGGTTTGTAGTTTAACTTTAAATTTAAGGACTCGTTTTCCATCCCTGGAAACACCTTGAATTTGTTCAAAACAACCAAATATCCTGGAAATAATCCACGTTGTCCTGTAAACTTTGAATCGTATTTCAGCTCCTCACTCAGAGCGAACTCCACGTCCGTCTGTCCGGAGCAGAATCCTCATGAAACCCAGTGGAAACATTTCTTCTTGTTCTGGTTAATAAACACATGCACAGCTCCGGGAAGAGGATCTCTTTAAAAGAGCGGGAACGCTGTTTAATGTATGAAGTGAGCCAAATCTGCGTTTCAGAGTTTCTCCTCAACCGACGACTCAGAATGTATTGATTTTTAAAGGGAGTCTGGTGATGTGGGGGTTAGTTGAGACCGCCTGTAAACAGGAAAACAGCTGATGTTTGTTTCTGATCAGACGAGAAAGAAAACACAAACATTGATATGATACAGATTCTTTTATTGGTAGTTTCATATACAATATAATATATATTTATAGTGTGTAGATGAATCGTTTCCACTAAAAACTAAAAACTCATTCTGCGTCTTTTTTACAGCCGCGAGATCATCAGGAGGGAATGAACACATGAATATAGACTTTTATTTTACAGTTGCATAAAAATACATCATCTCATCTGTCTTATGTAGAGAATTTGTCCAAAAGAAAAAAAATAAAACTATTTACAGTTTGAAAATACTTATGAATGTTTCATAGATGTGCTTTTAGTTCCCTTTTATCACCTCCAGTAACTCTAGCAGCCCTTTTTAAAGTCTGATCTCACTCTGGAGCGTCGGAGCCATTTTTCAGCACTTGAGAGCGTTTTAGTGTCACCGTACGGCTTGTTTCACTTTTTAGGGAAATCAACAACAACAAAGATTTTTATTGTTTTTCGGTTCATAAACGTATAAATTTAAAGTGCTTGAAGTTTTCATCGAAATAAAGACGCTGCTGTTCGATCGAACGTTCACAGCCTGAAACATGAAAAGTTTGTTTTCTGGTGACGATAATAAGACAGCAGCTGCTTAGCTTAGCTTAGCATAAAAACCGTACAAACAAACAGATGTACGTTTGTAGTCAGCAGAAAAAAACTTCTCACAGTTTGAAAAGTCGTCAGAGAAACCTAATTTTGTTTTTTTTAATTGAATAAAAGTTTGTGGAAAAGTACTTTTTTAATTTGTTTTCTGATTGTGACGAAGTTAAGTCTTGACTTTGGAACATTTTGACAAAATGATCCACTGAACGGCTGTTTGGTAGCCAGAGCTTTCAGCCATAACTCAATCAAACATTACATTTAAAACTTGTCATCGACACCGATCACATGATCACAGGTCTCCGTGACGACCTGTTTAGCTGCGAACTGGACCTAGAGTTCGGACTGAGATTGATTAAGCTCTCCGGGTGTGATTCGGGGATCTACGGGTCCGTTCGGTGCTGAGAAATCGCTGCGTTCTGCCAGAGTGAAATACCGCTTTAATACTGAAAATCATTGACTGGTTTACTTCCTCAAACTTCTGAGTGACGACAAACAGGAAAACAGAAAAGAACGACGCTCTGCACTCAACCTCAACGTCAATTTAAAAAAACCCTTTCCAAGGACTAATTAAAGTATCACTGGCATCATGGGAAAAAACATTATAATAAACAGAACGTTTTATCATCTTAAATCCACGTGTTTGGGAAGAATCTGCGACATTTACACGACCTTTAAAGGACCAGAAGACAAAGGAGGAAATCCAGCAAGCACATAAAGTCGAGGAGGATGAGATCAAAACACATGAATGAATACATCGTATCTTACAGCTACTGATTCTGATGAAGAATTTTTTGGCTTAAAAACATTCTTTGAAGCAGAAGTGTGTCCGAGCACCGGAGTGCGAACGTTAACCTCCACGTCACATTTTGATCCAGCAACATAAAAGCTGGTCGTCTCTTCGTACTGTACGGGACGGTGAGTGTGCAACGGTCCAAATAAACAGAAAATAGTCTTAAAGCTACAGTTTGTCTGTACAGCGGTGGGAATTTGGCAGCGTGCGTTACCTCTGAGAGAATATCCTGCTTCTCCAAACTATTAAACCATTATTCAAAACACATTGTTCTCAAATGATTTAAAGTTCATCTGATTGTGGAAGTTCTTGTAACATATTAGGTTTATTAGTTGAGATTCAACTGTTTCACAAATAGAAGTTATTACATTTGCTCTTCAGATAATCTGTAAAACATTTACAGATAAAGCCCACGTTGATATCTGTGGGCCGACCATCCAAATAAAGTGAATAACTTGAAACTAAAACCTGGAACTGAGGATTTTTGGGGTTGGAAAAGTAAAGTTTTTTGAGCAGATACAAAAAAGATAAATACAATTCTTTGGAGTTTCAGACTCAAAATATTAGGTCTTTTTTTATCAGTTCCTCTGATTGAAACACATTTTTATTTGTATGTTTTTGGATTTAAGGGTCCTCAGAACTGTGGGTCTTGGTCTTACAGTCTTACGCTGTATTTTACTAAATTCTTGTACGTTTGCTTGTATTTAGACTTGTTACATTCTTTTGTTGAAAGCGTACAGTAATATTTCTGAAAGTAAGGTTGACGTTCTTCCAAACAACAACAGGCCCGAACTTGATCTGGAATTATTCTCGACTTCGAGTTCATTTCTCGGAAACAGGATAAACTCACAGACGGTAACGAGTCAAGAAATAAAGCAGCAAAAACTTAACGGCATTTCTCACCCGATGATATGTTACTGATCACGTAACAGAAAAAGAGCTTAAATGGTCGAAAGTAGAACTGTGCAAAGTTGTGACAATGAAAATATGTCAAATCTAAAAAAGACTTTCAGCTTTCTTTATGAGTCGGAGCAGCGACCCACACTCACTGACTCATTGTTTTTTGGGGGCATAAAGACACTTATATAAAAACAGCTTATAGGGACTCTATGTACAGACATATCTCACAGGTGACAGGTCAGGTGATTATAAAAGACGAGGTCGCTCTTTAAAAAGAGCTTCCTGTCGGCGTGGGAAGTAAAATGTTTAAAATCAACTGCCGCTCCTCCTGAATATGACGACATGTTTAGGCACAATGATGAGTGATAATACAAAACTGTACAATACTGTGCAAGTGCAAGAGTTGGAAGCAGAACTGCAACTCATTAATGAAAGCCTCAGCGCCTCTGACCTCTGACCCCTCCGGTGCTATGGCTACATGCATGCCTGACTACAGGAAGTTTGTGCATTCGTTTTGAATCTTTACAATAATTTCAGACAACATAAAAAATGCACACTGGTGAGCTTTTACTTATTAGATTCATATTTTTGAAGGAGCTGGTTGCACCAACCGGTCTTAAGCTAAAGTTGGTCGTAACCTGAACGGTTAACGCCGGTTGGACCGTCTAGACTTAAACCTCCTCGCTGCGACCGACCATCAATCGATCCAGGAGCAGGCATAAAGTAGAAATCTGCTTCTTATTCCTGTTGCTATCAGGGCAAAACGTTCATCCTGGGTTCAACATTCTATTCATTTCCTTTTTCCTTTTCTTTGAACGTCCTGAACGTTGCTGTAAAGTACAAATAATTAGCTGCACATTAGCAAGACAGCAGGAGATCATGAACAACGTATCCCAGAAACCCACCCTGCTACGGCTGCAGTCGCATGGACATTCATATGAACACCGAGCAGCGTCAAGACTCAGCTTAAGTTTTGTCCGACGTAAAGTCTACAGACTGAATCCAACTGAAACCGAGGTTGCAGTTAGGAACCTGGATTAGTAAAGACCAGTTGGTGCAACTTATCCCTGGGAATTTCTACGGGGACACCAGATAGTTTCCAGTGCACGCCAGAAACCTGATCATGTTCCTAAAGACACAGATTTTGGACTGAAAACATTCAGATTTGTACAGGACCACCGAGGGTTGGGCAATACGGGTCAACTTATCATCACAAGATGTTTTTCAGCATTTCTGATTTACTGGATAGAGACGAACAATCAGTTCTTCCACGATATGATTCAACTGAAGTTTGATAGATGATCATTGTGAAGTACTGCCCAGCCCCAGGATGACCACGGACCATCAATCTTAGGGGGATTCTTTGAAGTGCAAATAGAAAGAATGGAGAGCTGTTGACACAAAGGTATAATAGAAAAACCAGAGGAAGTAAAGCAGGAGCAGTCCTACGATGATCAGACCTTCATGAAGGACAATGCGGCTGATTTCAAGTAGGAAAGGTTGAAGTCGGCCAGAGAGAAAAACAATCTGGGAGATGAAAAAGTGAAATAATAAAGTTTTAAGAGGGAAGAGCGCAGCCGCTTCCTGCAGATTCAATATGTACAATCAAACCCTGCAGGCTGAAGGAAAGTGAGCACGTATCAGCTGCTCAGACTGTCAGTATTCACATATAGATACACTATTAACAAACAGACCACAACTTCACCCTTCTGCTGACTGGGAGCCAGTATGTAGAACCAGTCTCTCCTCCGGCTCTGAACCCGTCGGCCAAAGTCTGACGGCAAACTTTACGTCTGTCTAGTTTCTTCCGGTAAAACCCGAAGGCTTCAGTCAGGGTGACCCGGCCGCGACAGACGACTAACACTTTTCGTTAAAACACAAAAATCTTCGGCTTCAATGACTGAAACTTTGTTCAGTGGCTGAATTTCTCCTTTGTCAGGTTTCAGCTGGTTTAGGCTCCAAAACAAACTCAACAACCAGTTTTAACCTGACAAAAAGCTACATCCCCTTCATGTGGTTTTTGGGTTTGAACATTGTTTTTTCACTGGACATTCAGGTTGTTGTACGTTTAATAATTTGTGTTGTTGACAAATTTAATCTCCAGCTGACGTCTAAACGTCTTAAAATCCGATACGATGCACAAGCAGTCAGTCCCTTCAGCAAGCTGCGGTCGCATCAATTAAATTCAACTAATCCTAACAATGATCCTGCAGATCCGACCAACCGCAGCGCCCCCCCCAACAGAGTCCAGATGTTACTCTGCAGATCCTCCTGAACACTCACAACTTCAGCTTCAAGAACGGGTCTAAAGGAATCACATGATTTCTGCAGATCAATATATGTTTTCTTGATGTCCAACAACAACAGAGTGGGAGTTTGTCTGTTTGGATCAGTGAAGGTGGAACCAGATGTTCCTTCCTTCAGAGAGACGGTTCTGATCCACAGTCCTGATTACAACTCAAGACTTTATGAGAACTTCTTCAGAAACTGATGAACTTCATATGGACTGGTCAGATTCGACGTCCACAGAACCGATCTGACATCGCTGTGTCTCGTTCTCGATGAATGAGACGTTTTTGTGCTTCGTTCTTTTAGTTTGCGCGTTTGATGTTCGGCGCCTGCTTCTACCCACAATCCTTTTCCTGTAGGTCTGCACAGGCGTTTAACTCCAGCCTCGTGTCCGACGACACAACCAGTGTGTCCTCGGTTTCCCAAAAAGGTTTTTTGTGATCTTGCGTCGATGCTGATGGTGAATCCTCTGTAAACCGTTTCATTGGGGGGGGGTCGGGAGCAGATATGCGGTCTGACCGGCTGAACAGCGGTGGAGCAGTTTGTGAGCGGAGTTCGTTTAATATCAAACAAACTTCAGAAACATTTTGTGTCTGAAGCTTCCAGAGCAGGAAACCAGGAAGAAGAGGACGCTGGGAAGCTTCCTGTGGATTGCAGGGGGGGGGGGGCTTCCAGTGACACTGGCAGATGATTGGAACAGAAATAAGGTGCAATGGGGGTCAAAGTTCATCCAGGTTGTTTTTTAATGTCTCTGGAGCTGCTGGTGGTCGGTCTGCACGCACAGTGACCGGTCCGGACTCTGGGCGGGGCGAGGAGGGCGCTGAGGCGGGTTTTAGTGTCCAGGGTGCTGGTGGGAGGTGAAGGGGGTGAAGGAGGGGGGAGGAGAGAGAGACAGAGGGCTGGACTGAGGACTGACGCCTCCTGCTGGTGGAGAGTCCGCCGCCGACTGAGAGACACTGAGGGAACAAAGAGGCTTCATTAATAATAATAATAATAATAATTATAATTATAATAATTATAATAAAAATAACAATTATAATAATTATAATTATAATAATTATAATAAAAATAACAATTATAATAATTATAATTATAATAATAATAAAAATAACAATTATACTTATAATAATAATAACAATTATAATTATAATAATAATTATAATAAAAATAACAATTATAATTATAATAATAATAACAATTATAATTATAATAATTATTATAATAATAATAACAACAATAATAATTATAATAATAATTATAATAGAAATAACAATTATAATTATAATAATTATAATAATAATTATAATAATTATAATAATTATAATTATAATAATTATTATAATAATAATCAAGGTGATCCTCACCTGACTGTGTAGCTGCTGCGGTTGGCAGGATCTGTTACCCCGGCAACAAAAAGCTTCTTTGGGGGTCCGTCAGACTCCACCCCTCCTGAGAGAGACAGAGGTTCACAACTTTTACACAACATTAAACATATATTCAGAATTTCAGATAATCAATAACGATGGAATAGTTATTAAAGCTTCCAGATGTCAGTTGAAAGTATTTCTACATTTATCCTCCCTGCCTGGGGTCAGGGTTGTTCTCGGTTGTTCTCGGGTTGTTCTCGGTTGTTCTCGGGTTGTTCTCGGGTTGTTCTCGGTGTGTGACTCCGTTTTTACAAGAAACGCGTGACTATGAGAACGTGAACGTCTCTCTGCTTCCTGTTTCGTGTGTCGTGTTCAGGTTTAGACTTTAATGAATTACCTTTCCTCTTGAGGGGCGTTAACGCCGGCCATCTGACGGTGGCGCTGACGGCCGGTCTGTGAATGAACGGATTCAGTTTGATACGTTTCCAATAATCAGAATCAATCCATGAAAAGGTTTGTTTGTTTCTGTACCTGAACCTCCTGGTGGGACTCGGGGACGAGTTGGGTGTGACACCGCTGTCCTGTGCCTGGAACCACTGAAGAAGAAAAAAAAAAGTCAGTTTGAACCCTCTGATCTGGATTCAGTTTGAACCCACTGATCTGGATTCAGTCTGTGAACACTACATTACCCATGAGCCTCAGCACTCTAGAAATGAACTTGGGAGTAAAATGACAGGAAACCAAAAAAAACTATCAAAATAAGAGCCAGGTAGTAAGGAGCTCACCACTGCTGCGTGGTCGTGCCACTGACTGACTGGAGGAACTGGGATCAGACTGGAAGCACTGGGAGAGACACAGAGGACAGTTAGTTACTGTGGAAACTACAGTCAGCTGATCAGAGCTCGTGTACGTACCTCAGTCTCTGCAGACTCCCTCGGAGCGTCATCTCCATGTTCTCCTCCTGTAACACAAACCGCTGTCATCAGCCGCCACGTTGCTGACCTTTGACCCCACCCAGCGTCACATGAAACCCTCTCTAGTCATTAAAATCATATAATCTGGATTCAGTGTGATCCTGGTTCAGTTCGGTACGGTGATCCAGAGTGAACCGGGTCTGAACTCTAGTTCCCGTCCTCACCTGCCTCTTCTGGTCGAGTCTGTCTGCGGTCAGTGAGAACGGCGAGAGCGGCAGCAGCTGGAGGAGGAGAAGAAGAAACGACGGGTCAGCAGGTTGGCGACGGACGGAAGCAGACAGTGAACGCATCGTTAGACTGACCTGTGAGGGACAGCTGGGGTTGATGGACACGCTGCTGCGCCGGTATCGAGCCGACGACACCGGACTGAAGACCGTCATCCCGTCACTGAGAGACATTAATGATTATTGATTATACAGAGAGAGAGAGAGAGACACAGAGAGAGAGACACAGAGACAGACAGAGAGACAGACAGAGAGAGAGAGAGACACAGAGAGAGAACACAGAGACAGACAGACAGACAGACAGAGAGAGAGAGAGAGAGAGAAAAGAGAGAGAACACAGACAGAGAGAGACAGAGAGAGAGAGACAGACAGAGAGACAGACAGAGAGAGACAGAGAGAGAACACACAGAGAGAACAGACAGAGAGAACAGACAGACAGAGAGAGAGACACAGACAGAGAGAGAACACAGACAGAGAGAGAACACAGACAGAGAGAGAGAACAGACAGAGAGAGAGAACAGAGACAGAGAGAGAGAGACACACAGAGAGAGACAGACAGAGAGAGAGAGAGAGACAGAGAGACAGACAGAGAGAGAGAGACAGAGAGAGAGAGAGAGACAGAGAGAGAGACACAGACAGAGAGAGAGAGAGAGACAGACAGAGAGACAGACAGACAGAGAGAGAGAGACAGAGAGAGAGAGACATTAATGATATAAACGTTTATTAGATTATAATTCAATATAATTTTAATAAAACTGTCTTTAGGGAGTCACAATAGTTATTAGGACAGATGAATTACTGTCTATAGTTAATATAAGATTATATTATTATGAATTATTGGGATCAGTACATTACAGATGGAAAATTATTATTAAATATTGTTCCGTAATAATAATAATAATAATAATTTATTCTGAATTCTTATGTAAAACAATAGATATTTTTTGATGAACTTTATTCAGCCACGAGAAGCAGGTTATTGATCAATTATTGGTCATCATATCGGCTGAAAAATACATATTGTGCATCTTTAGTTTTATTACAGGACTGACTTAGTTTAGGAAAGATGGACGTAATAAACTGGAAACTGGGTGTAAATATTAAAAACAGTGATTCATAAACATGTAAACAGACTTTTAAATAGTTTAATCTACAATAATTAATAATGTGTGTAAAATCTGAATCAGTAAAGCTGTTAAAGTAGTGGAGTTTAATAATATTTGCCTCTGAAATGTAGTTAAAAAAGAGTGAATACTGAAGTACCTCAAATTAATACTTTTATTTAACTGACTTTATCGTAACCATACACATTTACTTTTTCAGTCAGCCTTTGTCCTCGTTTACATTTGACTTTGAATACAGTATTCCTGTATATTCAATAAGGAAACTCTCTTTTAAGAGACATGACATTGAGACTAGAAAAAAAACAGGCCAAAGAATTTCTAAAGTTTAGATTTCATTTTACAAAGTATTGCTTGGTGTTTTAAATTAATTTGGTAACTTAATTAAAAGAAAGCCGAATTAAAGAGTGCCTTTAATACTTTAAGATAACGTCTATATGTTAGGTATAATAAAGTGTGTTTGTCTCACTATGAAGTAAACAAATATAAATGGAGTATTTCCTTAATGGAATTCGGTTGCACCTTTGGGTGTAATACACTGACCTGACGCTGGTGATCATGGGGGCGCTGTTCGATCTGCGGAGTGCCCCGCCTCCTGCCCCGCCAGCTGCGCCTGCGCACTGGTCCACTTCCATCCGTTCCATACCTTGGTCCGCAGGCCCGGCGGTGGCAGCGCCGACTGCCGGCCTCCGACCCCTCGACGGCGGCGTCGGGCTCTACTCGAGCCCGGTGGAAGCCCGACCCGCAGGCCTCACGAGCAGCAAACCCAGAGCCGCCGAGTCAGCGGGCTGATCACCGGAGCGGTTCCGCCTCTACCGCATTTCCGACAGAAACACAGCTTATCGGTGACCGACTGCGGGTCTCAGCGTCATTTATAACCCGCAGCTACGCTTCACTTGCCGCCGTCACTAACGCAGATTTAATGGCTGCGGAAAAGCGACAGAAAACACGAAGCCCGCGAAAAAACACTCGAGACAAAGTTTAGTGCGCGGATGTCGTTCAAACTGCGCTGCGGCCGAACTTTTAATACGAGTCCGCGCAGGTGACGCGACTTTTAGGATTAGCTGCTGAGCTAACTCCGAAACCTCCAGGCAGAGAGCAGAAAACCGCTCAGCAGCTGTCCGGAACACTCCACTCCTCGGCCGGCCACAGGCTGCGGGGCGAGTCGGTCGCACGGTTCCCCAGAAACACCGAGCGGACCTCCAGAGGAGCCGAAGAGCTGCTGGAAACTCACAGTTTGAAAGATTTTTACAAACATATAGTCCTTGACCAAATAGAGGTAGTTCACCAGCTGTGAAAACAGCGCCGCTGTCCGGTCACACCGGGAACTGCAGACCAGCGACGAGAGGGGGAGAGAAAGTGAAGCAGCGACACGTTTCCTTATCAATAACTTGAATGTATCATCGATAACTTTAATTTATCATCAATAAAGTTCAATTTATCATCAATAACTTTAATTTATCATCAATAAAGTTCAATTTATCATCAATAACTTTAATTTATCATCAATAAAGTTCAATTTATCATCAATAACTTTAATTTATCATCAATAAAGTTCAATTTATCATCAATAACTTTAATTTATCATCAATAACTTTAATTTATTATCAATAACTTTAATTTATCATCAATAACTTTAATTTATCATCAATAAAGTTCAATTTATCATCAATAACTTTAATTTATCATCAATAACTTTAATTTATCATCAATAACTTCAATTTATCATCAATAAAGTTCAATTTATCATCAATAACTTTAATTTATCATCAGTAAAGTTCAATTTATCATCAATAACTTTAGTTTATCATCGATAAGCTATTATATAGATTTATAAAATTAAACCTTTTTAACTGTAATTTCTTATCTTATTTAATTTAATTTAAATTTTGGGGGGAATTTATTCTTTCTTTACATTTTTATTGTTTTACTCTGAAACACTTTTGCTCCATAAATACAGTTTAATAGTTTGAATATTTAATAATAAAACATCACTTTTATTAATAATGGAGTTTATTATTGTAGGGACATTATTATTATTATTATTATTATTATTATTATCATCACATTAAAATGTTTTTAACAGTAATTTCTTATCTAATACATTTCTTATTTGGAATTTATTACTTTTTAAATATTTCGTATTTTGTTTTACTAGAAAAAGACACAATATACACAAATATAATTAAATTGTTAATAATTAAAAGGGTAAATTTATGTTGGATGATATAAAACAATCTGTATTTATTATTATATTATTTAGTTAAAATAAAATTAATTAATTGAATCTATAAACTGTCCCAAAATATTCAGTTTACAGTGAAATAAAAGAGTGAATATTATTTACTTGAAAAAAGACTTAAACAATCATCAGAACTGTTGCACATTGATTAAGTAATCAATAAATCGACTGTTGGAGCTCTGCTGACGGGAGATATTAAAGGAAATAAGCCAAACTTCATGTACATTCAATGTAAATAACACAGAACCACAGAGCACATTTAGCAGGATTATTGATTATTGGAGGATTATTGGAGTAAGTTGTTTTTTTTTTTGTTGTTGTGACTCGAACCGTCTGTTGTTCCCAGAAGCTCCTAAAATCTTCCATCTGCTTCGAGTCGTCATCTCCAAAAAATGGTGAAACCGGACACCGGGAGGCTCGACCGCCTTTAACCCCTTCACTGCCTCCCCGAGAGCCCAGAACCAGAGAGCAGAGACCAGAACTGACACAGACACTGTTTGTTTGTTTGTTTGTTTGTTTACACACTGTGTTGGGATGTGAGTTTAACCTTAATAGAAATATTGAACCTTTCTCTCTGTGTTTATCTGCTGCTTGTTGTTATTGATTATATGACACAGTTACACTATTTATTACTGATTACACATAAATGCATCAGTAATAATTAATAATATCAATAAACACCAACAGAGGTCATTTTTCTGCATTATTGGTGCTTTTAATTAAGAATATTTAGCTCTAATACAAACTGCTGTTTGTGTATAAGTGAATATAAATCTGTTACTTTATAAATGAAGCTGTGATTTTAATGTGTAAACGACCTTTAATGGAGCTGGTTATTGATACTTCTACCACTGACTGACTTTATGCATCTTTATTAATAATTATTATTATTAGAACTTTTGTTATTGTTATTATTGCAGGTTATTGATATTTTACTTTATATATCGATGGAAATAAATGTTTTTACTTTAAACATCACCTGGATTCAGTTTGTTCTGTACATAAATACATAAACAATATTCACCATCATCACACACTGTTACTATGGTTACTACTGTACTTATATAACTTATATAACATTGAAAAACTTTAATAATAAATAAACTGATTTGAATTTTTCTTACTGACAGTAAACTGCGATGTTGGGATGAAATTTACAGAAAATATAAATTAATATTTATTCAATTTAACTTCAACACAAAGTATAAAACTGATTAATGAGTTTATAAATAATGTTAATTTTTACATTCACACATTTGGCCAGAAACGTCTGCTGGTTAATCAATCACATGTATCAGTGTTTGCTTGGAAAAGCCCAAAAATCAATGCATTCAATGCTACGGAAGCCTATTGGTGCCAAAGAAAAACTAACACGTTATAATATTAAAAGTATAACAAGATATTTTCACTTTATAACGAAATATTTTCACTCAATAACGAGATACTTTCACTTTATAACGAGATACTGATTTCTTTCTCTTTTTATGTTGAGACATCAATCGGCTTCCATAGCTCCAATTAATTTTTTTATTTTAAAATCTCCTTTAACTGAACAATGTCTGATAATAAAATGTCTTTAACAGAACAATAAATGAATGATATATATATATATATATTAATGTTAGAATAAGTTGAGTTCAGACAGAAGGAGCATTAATATGACCGGTAGCAAGAGGTTAAAGTGGGCAGAGCGGAAGGGGGAGGAAGGGGGAGGAAGAGGGGAGGAGGGAGTAAAGGGAAGATCCTGTCTTCCTTCAGACGGAGTTAAAATAGTTTTCAGATACTTTTTTACCAACTTTTCTTCAATGTTTGTGTAAAAGCTCCGAGGCTGCACACAGCGGAGCGGCCGCAGGGAGCCGCGGGCCGACGGACGGCGGCATGTCGGACGGATCCGGAGCCGTCTGGATGTGACTGGTAGGCGGGTAAAACCCTCCGAGCTCCGGTCCCCGCTGCTGGTAAACAACTGCGGGCAGAGCGGGCTGACTGCAGCGGGGACCGGAGCTCCACACACCGGACACACTTTACTCCAGACTGCCGTTATTTTACATAAATACACAAACTGTAATTTATATTAACTATAGCAGATAGATAGATAGATAGATAGATAGATAGATAGATAGATAGATAGATAGATAGATAGATAGATAGATAGATAGACAGATAGATAGATAGATAGATAGATAGATAGATAGATAGATAGACAGATAGATAGATAGATAGATAGATAGACAGATAGATAGATAGACAGATAGATAGATAGAAAGATAGACAGATAGACAGATAGATAGATAGATAGATAGATAGATAGATAGATAGACAGATAGATAGACAGACAGATAGACAGATAGATAGATAGATAGACAGATAGATAGATAGATAGACAGATAGAAAGACAGACAGATAGATAGATAGATAGATAGATAGATAGATAGATAGATAGATAGAAAGATAGACAGATAGATAGATAGAAAGATAGACAGATAGACAGATAGATAGATAGACAGACAGATAGATAGATAGATAGATAGATAGATAGATAGATAGATAGATAGATAGACAGATAGACAGATAGATAGATATATAGAAAGATAGACAGATAGATAGATAGAAAGATAGACAGATAGATAGACAGATAGATAGATAGATAGATAGATAGATAGATAGATAGACAGATAGAAAACAGACAGATAGATAGATAGATAGATAGATAGATAGATAGATAGATAGATAGAAAGACAGATAGACAGATAGATAGATAGATAGATAGATAGATAGACAGATAGACAGACAGATAGATAGATAGATAGATAGATAGATAGATAGATAGATAGATAGATAGACAGATAGATAGATAGATAGATAGATAAATAGATAGATAGATAGACAGATAGATAGATAGATAGATAGATAAATAGATAGATAGATAGACAGATAGATAGATAGATAGATAGATAGATAGAAAGAAAGAAAGATAGACAGATATTTAATATCTACCTATCTCACAAACGAAACATTTTTCTTGCTTAACAGGTTACATTTAATAAAACTGCCTTTAATGAAGTTTGATCCGTGCAGGCTTCAGTAATTAAAGAGGCTTTGTTGAGCTTTACTTTAATACTTTAGTCATTCATTGGCCTCTATAAGTTGATCTTACGTTAAAAAAAGGAAACTGAATTGTAAATAAATATAATATAATATAATATTACTGTTTAATCACCTGAAAATCAGAATTGTGTGTTTGTTATCTAACAATGAGACGAGGGAGCGGGTCCTCTTTTACGGAGTCCGCCATGTTGACCCGCCATGTTTCTACAGTAGCCCAGAAGGGACAAACCAAACACTAACTTTATATAACGGCGATCGTGTGTTTTTCCTTCAGACTTGGGACAGAAGGGTGAAGTGAGGAAGTTGCAATCTGCAAAAACACCAGTAGATGGCACCAAATCCTCCACATTGGTTCTTAAAGTTTCTCATGAAATAAGTTAAATTAAAGCTGCAATAATATAATAAATAATAATAATAATAATAATATATATAATAATCCAATTAAAGAAAATTCAACTGTCCAACAGTGTGAGAGACATTATAATGATCATATTAATAATCAATGAATATTATTAAAAAGTGAAGTTTTGTTCGTTCTGTCGTTGTTTCCCAGCGTGAAGGATTTTGGTTACGTATTTTAAATAAAGTTCTGTTGACGTTATTATTGTTTGTTTTGAGGAGGATGGAGGGAGAGAAAGAGACGGCCGAGGAGAAGGAGGAAGAGGAGGACAAAAAGCTTCATCACATCGCAGCGGCGTCCTCTGTGGACTACCCGGACCTTCCCATCATGCACTGGGAGGACCTGAGCCAGCGGATAGCTGAGCTGGAGAAGCAGGAGAAGGAGAGGAGGGAAAGGTCAAAGGTCAGCCATGAAGAGCAGAGCGTTAGCTGTTAGTGCTAATATCTCTCCAAAGACTACATTTCCCATGAGTCTCAGTGTCCTTAGTCTGTCCACAGACCACAGCGAACACTTTCATATAGGAACACACACAACTTTATTAACACTGTACAAACACACAACTTTATTAACACTGTACAAACACAACTTTATTAACACTGTACAAACACACAACTTTATTAACACTGTACAAACACACAACTTTATTAACACTGTACAAACACAACTTTATTATCACTGTACAAACACAACTTTATTAACACTGTACAAACACACAACTTTATTAACACTGTACAAACACACAACTTTATTAACACTGTACAAACACACAACTTTATTAACACTGTACAAACACACAACTTTATTAACACTGTACAAACACAACTTTATTAACACTGTACAGACACACAACTTTATTAACACTGTACAGACACACAACTTTATTAACACTATACAAACACAACTTTATTAACACTGTACAGACACAACTTTATTAACACTGTACAAACACACAACTTTATTAACACTGTACAAACACACAACTTTATTAACACTGTACAAACACACAACTTTATTAACACTGTACAAACACACAACTTTATTATCACTGTACAAACACAACTTTATTAACACTGTACAAACACACAACTTTATTAACACTGTACAAACACAACTTTATTAACACTGTACAAACACACAACTTTATTAACACTGTACAAACACAACTTTATTATCACTGTACAAACACAACTTTATTAACACTGTACAAACACACAACTTTATTATCACTGTACAAACACACAACTTTATTATCACTGTACAAACACACAACTTTATTATCACTGTACAAACACACAACTTTATTAACACTGTACAGACACACAACTTTATTAACACTGTACAGACACACAACTTTATTAACACTGTACAAACACAACTTTATTAACACTGTACAAACACACAACTTTATTAACACTGTACAAACACACAACTTTATTAACACTGTACAAACACACAACTTTATTAACACTATACAAACACAACTTTATTAACACTGTACAAACACACAACTTTATTAACACTATACAAACACAACTTTATTAACACTATACAAACACACAACTTTATTAACACTGTACAAACACACAACTTTATTAACACTGTACAAACACACAACTTTATTAACACTGTACAAACACACAACTTTATTATCACTGTACAAACACAACTTTATTAACACTGTACAAACACACAACTTTATTAACACTGTACAAACACACAACTTTATTAACACTGTACAAACACAACTTTATTAACGCTGTACAACGTAGCACACAGCACTATTAGCTACAGCGACAGGTCTCTAACTGTCTGTTATTCCATAATACTCCATTATACTGCAGAGAATACAGAACTACAGGCAGGAGGTGAACTGTCCCTTTAAACTCGTCTCTCACAAGTCAAATATGGAGAAGTCGCTGTTCGCTCCCGTTGTTAGTGTGTTTGACTCGATTACATTCCTCAGGGGATGAGAACATGTTTGTTGTGGCTGTTTGTAACCGGCTCTGTGGAGGCAGCTAAAGGCTTCAGATCACATTACACAGACACTCTGCAGATCCAAGCTGCATATTTCTACACTCTCAAGTGGCATAAACATCACTTCTGCTGAGAAAACTTCCCAACATGAATCTCTGCTCCAGGCCTGACGGGCTTTTATTGCACAATGCAGAACTACACAAGGAGAACAGTGAATTTACTGGCTGGAGGCAGATGTTGTTGATGAAAGTATCTGCTGGGATCATACTGTGATTGTCTCCCTGCAGAGGGGGACGGGGGTGAGGATGGACGAGAGTCAGGGGGGAGTGTGGAGGGACGTCTGGGAGGAAGAGGAGGAAGACTTCAGGAGGTGTCGAGTAACGCAGAGGTAACGCATAACGTTCAGTTTAATATAAAGGTTGTATACGTTCACTGCCACCAGACTCCATTCATAAAACCAGTGATTTTATTACAATCTGATCAGGTTGACGCTTCCTGTCAGGAGTCAACAGGATTCAGAATCAATCAAATGTGTTTTGCTGGAAATTCTAGCTGAAAGTATTTTATTATTATCTATCTTCTATATTATTGATTCATTGTTTAGTCTGTAAACTTTAGAAAACAGTCAAACAGTTTTATTGTTATTGTAATATTTCACCATAATAATATAAGAAGGTTTTATTTATTGCGTTTATTAACATTATTCTCTCACCTCATTGTCTCATTACTACATTTTTATCTGTTTCACTGTTTTTAGAACTACATAATAATATAGTGTCGTATTATTATTTATTCAGTTCAATTCAATTTTATTTGTATAGCACCAATTCATAACAGAAGTTATCTCAGGACTTTTTTCAAATAGAGCAGGTCTAGACCGAACTCTTTATAACATTAATTACAGAGACCCAACAGTACCACCATGAGCAAGACCTTGGAGACTTCATTCATTATGTAGATGAGTTGAGTTCTTCCATTATCCCAAATGTTTCCAACAATGTTCAAACTCAGAGAAATCTGTCATTTATTCAGGTAACGCTGCGTTTCACCGGTCGCCTGTCGATGGCGTCATATCCCCTTTGTGCCTGCGTCAGCGTTGTGGTTGTCTGCCAGAAGCTGTCATACATTGACTGTTGATCCAGTCTGAAGCCACATTGTTACCATCCACTGTTTAGATCTTGGTGCTTTTTAACTCTAGAGAAACAAGCTGAGCTAACGTTAGCAGCAGCTCGACTCGCAGCCCCTCCGGGACGTCCTTTGTCTGTCCAACAGCGTGGGAGAAGCAGTGATTGTTAAGGTGGAACTGCTTTATTCAGTGTGTTTAGTGGTTTTAATCAGCGGGTCTGACCTCTGTGGATAATTGGGCTCACATAGAAAAAGTTAAAAACCTGAGTTAGGACTGTTTGTCTGTTCACAGATTTCACAACCACAGAAACCTGCAGCTGTGCTTCATCAACAACAGTGACAGTGAAGACGAGGAGGAAGGAAGCAGCAAAAAGGTCTGTCAGCCTGTCTGTCTGTCTGTCTGCCTGCCCGCCTGCCCGCCTGTCAGCCTGTCTGTCTGTCTGTCTGTCTGTCTGTCTGTCTGTCTGTCTGTAGAAAGATGGCGGTTCAGTATGGCGGACTCTGCCAGACCAGGACCCCTCCCTCCATTATATATTATATTTAGATCCTCCTCAGTGTTTCAAACTGGAGCTTTAACACCCCTTAAACCAGATCAAACAATAATCAATAACTGATAACTGATCACTGATTTCAGTGCAGGACACAAACATTGATGAATATTATTTCCTCCTCTGGTTTATCTCAATTCAATTCAATTCAATTCAATTTTATTTGTATAGCGCCAATTCATAACAGAAGTTATCTCAGGACACTTTTCAAATAGAGCAGGTCTAGACCGAACTCTTTAAAACATTATTTACAGAGACCCAACAGTACCACCATGAGCAAGACCTTGGCGACAAGGGCAAGGAAAAACTGCCTGTTAAAAGGCAGAAACCTAGGACAGATCCTCCGGCTCTAGGTGGGTGGTCGTCTGTCTCGACCAGTTGGGGTGAGAGAGAGAGAGAGAGAGAGAGAGAGAGAGAGAGACAGACAGACAGACAGGTGCACAGCAACAACAGTATTGGCAATGGCAATCTAGCAGGACCATGGCAGGAGGCTCCACCAGTATCAATAAGAACCTGCGAGACGAGAAAGCACAAGAACTCCGGGGAAGAAGTGAAGTTAGTAACATGCATTAATGGAACATGAATGAGTGCAGAAAGAGAGAGGAAGGGAGGAGCTCAGTGCACCATGGGAAATCCCCCGATAGTCTAGGTCTATAGCAGCATAACTAAGGGATGGTTCAGGACTCACCTGATCCAGCCCTAACTATAAGCTTTATCAAAGAGGAATGTCTTAAGCCTACTCTTGAATGTGGTGAGGGTGTCTGCCTCCCGAACCACAACTGGGAGCTGGTTCCACAGGAGAGGAGCTTGGTAACTGAAGGCTCTGGCTCCTGTTCTACTTTTAGAGACTATAGGAACCACAAGTAGCCCAGCATTCAGAGAACGTAGTGTTCTAGTGGGGTAATAGGGTACTATGAGCTCTTTAAGATATGAAGGGGCCTGACCATGAAGAGCTTTATAGGTGAGGAGGAGGATTTTAAATTCAATTCTACATTTTACAGGGAGCCAATGCAGAGTAGCTAGTACAGGAGAGATGTGATCTCTTTTTCTAGTTCCTGTCAGTACTCGTGCTGCAGCGTTCTGAATTAATTGGAGCGTTTTAATGGACTTATTGGGGCAACCTGATAATAAAGAGTTGCAGTAATCCAGCCTTGAAGTAACAAATGCATGGATTAGTTTTTCTGCATCTGTCTGTGATAGTATGTGTCTAATTTTTGTAATATTATGTAAATGAAAGAAGGCTGTCCTAGAGGTCTGCTTTATGTGGGAGTTAAATGACAAATCCTGATCAAAGATAACTCCAAGATTCCTGACAGTGGTGCTCGAGGCCAAGGTAATGCCATCTAGAGTAACTATATCTTTAGACAGTGAGTCTCTAAGGTTTTTGGGGCCAAGAACAAGAATTTCGGTTTTTTCTGAGTTTAACATCAGAAAATTGCAGCTCATCCAGGATTTTATGTCCTTAAGACATGTTTGTAATTTAGATAATTGATTAATTTCATTGGGCTTGATTGATAGATATAACTGCGTATCATCTGCATAACAGTGAAAGTTAATGGAGTGATTCCTAATAATGTTGCCTAAAGGGAACATATATAAAGTAAATAGTATTGGTCTAAGTACAGAACCTTGTGGAACTCCATGACTAACTGTAGTATTTATTGAAGATTTATCGTTAACATGTACAAACTGCGAACAATCTGATAAATATGACTTAAACCAGCTTAGTGCGGTTCCTTTAATGCCAATTTGATGCTCAAGTCTCTGTAAAAAAATATTATGGTCAATGGTGTCAAATGCAGCACTAAGATCTAATAATACAAGTACAGAGACAAGTCCATTGTCAGAAGCAGTCAGAAGGTCATTATTAACTTTAACCAGAGCTGTCTCTGTGCTGTGATGAACTCTAAATCCTGACTGAAAATCCTCAAATAAACTATTGTTATGTAGAAAGTCACACAACTCTTTGGCGACTACTTTCTCCAGAATCTTAGAGAGGAAGGGGAGGTTAGAAATCGGTCTATAGTTGGCTAAAACCCCTGGGTCAAGAGTGGGCTTTTTAAGAAGGGGTTTAATTACAGCTACTTTAAAGGACTGTGGTACATATCCTGATAATAAAGAAAGATTAATCATATCCAGTAAAGAAGTGCCAATTAAGGGAACAACTTCTTTAAGCAGCCTAGTTGGGATCGGGTCTAATAGACAGGTTGATGGCTTCGATGAAGAAATGATTGAAGTTAACTGATGAAGATCGATAGCAGAAAAACAGTCTAAATATATATCTAAGTTTACATTAGTTAAAGTTCCTGAACTTGGAGAGCCACTGATAACTGTTGATGGCAGTTGGTGATTAATTTTATTATAGGTTATAGATTATAGATTATAGATTATAGATTATAGATCATAGGTTAGATATTATTCTTATTTTCAGTCTTTGGAATCATTTCAAACGTTAAGATACGACGTTAGAGACAAACAAACAAGATTTTTCTGACCACTGACCTTATCTCTCAATCAGGTTGCTATGGGAACGGGTGGCAACGGTTGCCACGGGCTGAAACAGGAAGTAGCGACGGCTCTGCGGACGCTGAGAGACAAACTGCTGGCTGAACAGAAAGAGAAGGAGGTAGAGAGAGAAGTTATCAACAAAGAGAGAGAGAGAGAGAGCTGGAAGAGAGTGGAGAGTGTGTGTGTGTGTGTGTGTGTGTGTGTGTGTGTGTGTCTCTCTGTGTGTGTGTGTGTGTGTGTGTGATGTGTGTGTGTGTGTGTGTGTGTGTGTGTGTGTGTCCTGGTATGAGAGTGTGTGTGTGTGTGTGTGTGTGTCATGTGTGTGTGTGTGGTGTGTGTGTGTGTGTGTGTGTGTGTGTGTGTGTGTGTGTTCCACTGTGTGTGTGTTGCAGCATCTGGACAGGAGCAGTGTTGTAAAGCGGAAACATCTGGAGCGTTGGGAGCTGAAGGAGTGTTCAATGCAACAGCTCAACAGCTGGAGAGCTTCACTTCAACAGGACGTCCACGGTACACACACACACACACACACACACACACACACACAGTAACACACACCACACACATAGTAACACACACCACACCAGCACTGACTCTGGAGGGGGACCAGCGTAGACACCAGCACTGACTCTGGAGGGGACCAGCGTAACCGACCCCCCAGCACTGACTCTGGAGGGGGACCAGCGTAGACCAGTACCGCCCCCAGCACTGACTCTGGAGGGGGACCAGCGTAGACCAGTACCGCCCCCCAGCACTGACTCTGGAGGGGGACCAGTGTAGACCAGTACCGACCCCCAGCACTGACTCTGGAGGGGGACCAGTGTAGACCAGTACCCCAGACTGTGTTCTTTAGAGGTCTGCACTCTGTGTTAGCATGAACAGCTATAGCACTACCTGCAGTCTTTATTGATCATACTGAATCTGTATTTGTTAATGTTCAAACCGATGAGTAATCCCCAAAGATTGTTTTAATATCTTTAAACTACGATATTAAGATGACTTATTTATACAATGTATGTTAACCAGATTCTTGTTTTATAAATGAATTCAATGTCCAACATCAACAACCTTCAACCTTCACTTTCTCCCTGGAGGGCAGATATTAGATATTTCTTCTCTTCCAGCTCTGAGCTCCGAGCTGGTGGCTCACCTGTTGGTCCGAGACCAGCTGAGGACGAAGCAGGACGCCATGCTGCTGGACGTCCAGGACCTGACCTAACGCCGTCCACGTCAGCCCGGGACTCGTTTACTTCAACGTTAGCGGAGCTGCTAGTCAGCAGCATTCAGTACAGCAGAGAAGAGACCTGAAGGGTTCAGACTATCTAGATTTAACCTGCGTTGAACTTTACGTCCTGCAGCAGAAGAAGACTGCAGGTGTAAGTCTATACATTTATATGCAAACGAGGGACTCTAACTTATCTTATTTAAGGTTTTACTGTTACTTATTTGTCATTATAACAAGGGAACATTACACTCATACAGCATGTGCAGCAAGACAAGCTCAACTTAAAGGCTCCATATGTGATTCTGAAGCATTTTATTTTCACGTATTAACCACATTTTATCAGGTTGTAACGTAGAAACAGAACTTCCTCTGCTGTCTGTGGACTGATCTCTATGTGTCTCTATGTAGGATGAGGGTCAAAGGTTGTGACCTTTATGCTCCCGAGTGCCAACAGTGGGCAACACTAGCTAACGTTAGCTTGCTTGCTAACACGGGTCTGGCGTTGGGTGATGTGTAAACAGCGAGCTAGTTATTAGCATGGAGCTAACGGTCCAAATAAACTATAGGAACATTGCAGATAGTGACGTTATTAAATATGATTGTCAGTTATTTTACAGCGTTCAGTGTTTGACGCTGTTGGCCGACGCCCAGGATGATGCAACAGGACGCTGACTGCAGTTCACTGAACGGCCACTGGTGGCGCTGTTAGCTACAGTTTAATAAACGTTACATAGAGAAGCTTTAACTGATTCTGGTTGTTATATCTTAATAATATTTGTTTGTAAAACAAAAGGGGAATTTCACCAAACGTTACAGCAAATAAAATATTAGCAGTTTTGATAGATAACGTCACTCAGACTCTGTAAGTTAGAACAATAATAGTGGATATAGGGTATAGCCTATATCGCCGTCCATTTGTTTCAAAGGTAATTACGGTCGGTGAGTTGCCTTTTTAAAATTATTTGTACAATTTACACTATCAGATGAATTTTTAATGTTACCTAAATGCATAAAAAAAAGTATTTTAACGTTGGTGGCGTCTTTAACACTTCAGGTACAGTCAGTGATTGTTTACTCCTAAACAGACAAGCAAGGGAATAATACCCGTAATACAGCCACGTATGTTTGTGATGACGCACACGAAATATCGCTGCCTTGTTGTGATGTTTTCTTCCTTTATGTTTGTGTCGCCCCTTAAACATCACGCTGTTCTTCTAAAGTCCTCAACACTTTAAAGGGAGTTTTATTCTGAATGCAGTAACTTTGGTTGATGAGGATGTTCAGATGATTTGAATCAGTAGCAAAGGAATGATATTATTTCCACATTCTCACACTGATGTGTGGATATCGAAAGGCAATGTACTGTAAAGGGAATGTGTTATCTTTTTATTCACATATACTTATTTAAAGTCACACTGAAATGTCGTTACAGTAACTTCATGTGATGTGTTTCCTCTTGGAAGAACTGAGCGAACACAGGGAACAGATTGTGTTTCATTTCATTGTGACTTTAAGGGTATTTAGAGATGTATTTTAAAATGTAAATAAAATTAATTACAAATGTATTTGTAAATGTAAACATTAATTCTAAAATATATTTTCATGGTCTGACTACAATGGTTGTATTTTGGCTTCATTGCTTCCGTGTTTTACATTTATAAATCAGAAACACATTCAACAAATGTAAATAATATAAATATTGCTTTTTATACTCAAGAATGTAAAAGTATCTGTGTCTTGTTTTCAGCTTTATGATTTTCCAGATAACATTTAAATCGTTTGACTTAAGAAGTAGAGAGAATACAGTTTCTAGCTTTAATTTTACACAAAATCTTGTTTTCTTTGTCTGTTAAATGTCTAATTAAAGATATTTACAGTGTAAAACAATGATCAATAAATCCAGGTGAACTCTGCTATAATACAATAATCAGACTTACATTTACAGCAGAGTGCTGTTATTATTGGATTGTTATTATTTTAATGTGAATGTTAAAAGTTATAGAAGTGTAATAAAAGTCATTATCTGTGAGATTACAGTAATTATTGCTGTTTACACTGATAACAACTGTATTTGGACAGTTTACCTTATACACTGATAAACAACATTTATTCAACTTCCATCATTATACAACATATCTGTCAGTTCACTAACTAATACATTAAAGTTATACAACTAATACTTTATACTGTTAATGTCACTAATTAAATAATTTTAAAAATGTATTAACAGTATTAAACTTATTCGTATTCACGTTATTTTACACCAGACATGTAAATTCACAGGCTATTTTTGTAAGTGCATTAATATTTCGACCAGAATAAACAAAGAAGCAGGAAATGAAAATATTTAAGTACCTGAAAATTACCTTCATTACACTACTTGAGTAAAAGTACTTAGTTACCATCCAAGAGACACGTGGCTCCAAAATCAGCCATTAAGAGTTGGTTAATGTGACACAGTAGCCAGCTAGCTAGCTAACTAAGTACTTTTACTCAAGTAGTGTAGTGTTTGTACTTAAGTATTTCCATTTTCTGTTCCTCTTCGACTGCACATTAAATCTAGAACGCGGTTTCTTTGTTTCTGTCTCACACGCAGACAGATGCTAACGACTGCTAAGATGTTAGCTAACCTCTAAGGAAATGCAGGTTCTCATTTGAGACGTTGGTTCGGCTGTCTGACTGCAGCAGTCACATAAAGAGGACATTTTTGTTTTGTTTCTTGCAGCAGGTCGTCCCCCCCCACTGTATTTATCCATACCTGTGCTACCTGCATGCTGTTTGACCGCCGATTGTGTTGCCGTGTTTGATTACACTCACACACCTTCGTATGTTCAAACACACAAGCTCTGCATTGTGGTGCGGCTCTCTGATTGTGTGTTCACTGTCAGAGAGGAACAAACTCAGTATTTACCGTCTGAATCAGAGCTGATGATGCTGATGATGGAGGAGGAGGAGGAGGAGGGGCCGGTCACTGTACTCACTTTGCTTTCTAATTAAAGCCTCAGATAACGAGAGGCAGAGCGAGGACGAGGACGAGAAAGTAACACATTTAAAGCTTCAGCAGCTTCAGAAAAGGTGAGTTATTTATTCCCTTTACAAAAGCTGGTGTCAGTAAGTCAGATCTGTATCACACAGCAGTTATTGATTGAAGGTGATTCAACAAAATAAATAATATATATTTAATCCCAACCTTCATGGACTACGGATGTTTGTAGCTCAAGAACATTTCTCATAGAAACGAGTTCATATTAGTAACTTTTTGTGTTTTAAGTGTATAATATTATTTGGTTTAGTTTACTGTTTATTAAGCAGGGAGCATGTGCAGAACACTTCAACACAATTAGCAGAATTAGCAGAGTTAGAATGAAGCAAATACAATAAAGCAATACAAAAGTAAACAAATGGCAAACAAGTCAAAGATTAATTTGACAAATATTTATCAGCAGTGAAATATAAATACTAAAAGTTTTTCATTTTTAGTACCAGATAGATCCGGCGTGTCCTGTTAAAACAAACAGCTCGGAGCCTCCTCCTCCTCCTCTGCAGTCCTTGTATTGGGTTTCATTCCTGCAGTTCTGACTGAATGAACGCTGATCAATTATTTACAGAGACGCTGAAGGTCAGGGGAGAAACCCCGAGAGACCCTTCAGCCCTGAAACAGACACTTCTGAGCCATGACCGAAGGACCAGACGAGACGAGAGCAAGAGGGACAATCTGGTCGAGGGGGACAGCTGAAGGTAGGACTGATCCAGATCACTCTGATGTTCTGAGTGTGAAATACTGGCATCTGATCAGCTGACGGCAGCAGTTAAATCCAGTCTTTACAGTTCAAATGCTTCAAACTGGTCTAAGTGGACAAAGTGAGGTTGCAAAACCAGCTGTGACGTCTGTCCAGAACAACATTTTATCACAATCCATCTGATAGTTGTTGAGATATTTACATCCAGACCAGTGACAGAGTATATAACGGACAGAGCTTCCAGGTCAGTGAAGCGAAGCCAATGTGGAAGTGTCTTAAACCTGCATTCTCTCTAACAGCCAGCAGGGGGCAGCTCCACTCTGATAGTATTGAGTCTTATGGAGAAGTTGATTTATGAGCTCAGTAAACAGTTTCCTGATGAGTTTCTGGTCTCAGTCTCTAGTTTCAGTCTTCTTCCATACAGCATGATGTTCATTTAGTAACTGATGGTCCCATTTAGAGTAAAACAGACCATAAAGCAGGGTATGCTTTAGGGCGGGGCTATCTTGTGATTGACAGTTCATTCTCAGTGAGTCCGTCCAACTCAATGCACCAAACTCAGATCAAACTGTCAAACAGTTAGGTTCACGTTGGGTCCGGATCAAAGTGGCGGACAGTGAGACATTGCACTGAGCCGCAAAAGTTGAGAGAAAATTCTAAAAGAATTCATAGCTTTTTACTAGATGAGACCATTAATGGGTTAAATCATTAATACACAAACTGTCTTTATGTGTCCATTTTTTAATTAGTCCAGTATGGTTTTGCTGGGTGACACAGTTCTGCACACTAACGGCATCAGTTGTTCCAAAACACGGGCTTGAATTTAAACCCTGAACCAAACGCTTCAACAGCTGGAACGGACAGCCGACCTGCTGCACAGAATGAATGGAGAGAGGTTTCCGGAAAGCTTCGTTAATGATTGAGGGGCTAATTGAGCGAAACATAGTCTTCATCAGCAGAACACCGGTGGTACATTCAGAACGAGCCTTTCCAAACTAATGACTGTGTTTTCTTTCCCCCCTTTGTCCCAGAAACTACCTTCTGCACACCAGAGACATGGGCCAGTATGAATACAGACAGAGATTAGACAGACAGACAGACATACAGACAGAGATTAGACAGATAGACAGACATACAGACAGAGATTAGACAGACAGACAAATCAGAGGAAGGACAAATGAAGGAAACCTCAGTGAGTGAGAAGACTTGAATCCGGTGAAGGAGCTGAGATGACGCCAGAGGAACCTGAACCGATCCAGTTCTGCTAGAAATAGCCTTCATCATGGGATTGAGCCAAATCTCCAACATCACTCCCGACATTGGCTTAGCGGCGGCGGCAGCGAGCAGCCATCCCAACACCTCTGGCACCTTGCCCACCTCGTCCCTCCCTCCATCGTCCTGCAGCATTGATGAGTCCTACAAGTACGTCTTCCTGCCTGTCTGCTACTCACTGACCTTCCTCTTCAGCCTCACCCTCAACTCGGTGGTGCTGCTGCGCTCCTGCCGCCACCACGGAAGTTGCTGCGGCGGCGGCGGCAGCAGCAGCAGCAGTGGGCGGCGGTGGAACACCTCATTGATCTACATGGTGAACCTGGCTACCACCGACCTCATGTACGGTCTGTCGCTGCCCTTCCTGGTGGCAAGCTACGTGCTGAGGGACCGCTGGGTGTTCGGGGACTTCATGTGCCGCCTCGTCCGCTTCCTCTTCTACTTCAACCTCTACTGCTCCATCTTCTTTCTCACCTGCATCTCCGTGCACAGGTAGGACGCTCCAGAAACCACTCTCTCCAGGAAGTTGTAATGTTGTGACAACAACAATTACCGCAAATTCAACCGAACGCTCAGTGACCTTGCAGTTGTGTCCAATCAACCCAACCTTTCCACATATTTGACCAATCCTAGCACTCCCCCGTACAAAACGTTGAGACTTATTTCACCAAACTACAAGAGATTTTATTCTTGCTGGTAAAACTTGCCATCGATTTTTTAAACCCTTCGAGTTTTTGGGGGATTGTTATGACCTAAAATGCCTGATTTCACAGCATCCTTTATAAAAAATTGCGATTTATCTTCTGATATTTTTCTGCATTTTTTTGCAATGAATAAATCTGTTGTAGTTTGGTGACGTATCGCTTAACATTTTGCACAGTTGACTGCTGTGATTGATGAAACTTGCGTGAAACTTCAATATTGGTCAAATTTGCGGTTGTTGCACAAAAGGGTTGTGTAGAATTCACAGGGATCAGTTGAATTAAAGAAAGAAAGGCCACAACATTCCCCAAAGAAAGCCAGTGAAATCCTGGAGCGAACGAGAAACATCACTTTCACTTTTGAGACATCTGAATTGGTTCAATTGTCACAAAAATAAGATGTTGATTTGTTTTGTCTTTATCCATTTTATGAGGTTTCTTTTGTTGTCTCTTCACTTACTGGCTGTTGCTACACATCCATTCTAGCTAATATGCAGTTTACGACAGTCGAGGTTACATCCGAATGTGGTGCAAATTTGAACCGAATTTACAGAAAATGTGCAAGTAAATGCAAAGATGGGAATTGATTCCTAATCAGTATTTTGTTTGGTCTATGCAACAGTTAAATTATCTGAACACAGAGTAGAAAGAATGATCTAATTTCTTTGTTCTTAGTCAAAGAAAAAATCTGAAGGTCAGATGTTTGAGTTTGACAGTCAACATGCAGGTATCGATCAAAGGAATTGATAAGCTCGGAGGCATACGATTTCAATGGATCAGCTGTTAAGAACCGGTTCTCAACTGGGACCCGATGGCCATGAACCATGGATCTAGTGTTTGGTTTGTCCGTTCTGGGATAGATATAAACGTCTCATTTTAAGGTAACAAAAACACAACAATTCTTATTTTCAGATTATTTTACACTAATGAAAACATACCGATGGATATTATATCACAGTAACGTTACACACTGGAGCGTTAATAAATCTACTGTTATGTGAATATCAGGAGTTATTAAGATAAACAGTTAAAAGAGCTCCAGTCAAAGGTCAAATGATGGAAAACAAGGTTGCAGCCTTATAAAATATATTGACTACGTTTCCATTGCAATTTGTTAGATTTAGTTTTTTATCAACACACCAACATTTCCACCTTAGCCAGCATAAAAACTTTTGGATTATTTTTTACATGCAAATTTAAAATGTGCAGAAAAAACTTCAACTGACACATTTAATCAGCTTTAGCAAGCTAGCTAATGAATATAAAGTCAAAATGTGCATTAACTCCATGAGTTGGTTGAAAACTGCCACCAGTGGACTTTTGTTCATATATTTTCCTGGTAATGTTAATTTTTGACGGCTCCCCAGTGTGCTGTTTGAACTTTGACTTGCTTACAGGGACATAGCATCGCTACAGAGGCTAATGTAGCATGCTAGCTGCCCGACCTTTGAGCCAACCAGGTTAGCAGCTGAAGTGTTTGACTTCAGAGACGAGTGAGCTTTAAGGTTTAGGTCCACAGCCCCCAACAGGACTGTTTCACACACACAGACCTACAATGGGTATGGAAGCTCATCAGGGACAAAACACTAGTCTGAATGTTAAGATTCAGGCTGGTGAAGAACACGACCATAGTGTACTCTAGAGCACTAAGGAACTCTATCAGTGCCTAAACTGACATTATGGAGTTTGTGTAAAACGAGCGATTTGGATGAATTTGGAGTAATTATTTCCTGTGAATGTTAATCAAAGATGAGTTTTCAGCAACTTTTTATACAATTCTCTGTCTGTGTTATGTTTTTTTTAAACATTTTTAATGATCATACAAAATGAAAAGGCTTCTTTTTTTCTTTTTTGGGTTGTTTTTACTTCTCTAATGCTGGATGAGGCAGTTTATCAGAGAGTAAAGGCTCTGATAAGTTATAACATAACCTGAGTTCAGTTCTTCAAAGTTTATATCTTAAATAATGATCTAAATCTAAATAATAACTATTTAATTTAGTTATTCTTCACAATGCTGACATATATCCCTACTGTGTGTTCCCGACCCCCAGGTTAGGGACCACTGCTCCAGACAGGGCAAAGGACAGCCACAGTGTACTCCATTAGCTTTTTCATTCATCTGAAAAACTTTAAAAGATGCAGAGCACATTTTAGAGGTGGCACCACTCCATGAAGTCCATGGTAAGACAGGAGTTGGTGCCAACAGACAAGATTCACTCAACACTGAAGGAAGATACTGTATCTCAGTGTGATAAAAGCTGGAAAACCAACCATTAAGTGACAAATAGTAATAATCTTTAATAATAAAGATGCATGCTGAATTCCTGCACTTGCAAATAAACAAGACGTGCTCATTTGTTTGTGAGCAGTTGAGCATCTGTAAAGATATGAGTACCGACTGATCTCTACACTCAACCTCCTCAAACAAGCGTCCATTTGGCTTTGCTTTACACAAACCCAAAGTAGAAACCAGCTGTAACTGTAACTATTCTTTGGTCATTTACACTATAAAGGGCGGTCTTAAAAATACTGAAGAAAATTCAGTTTCTTCAGTATATTGAGCTTGAAATAGAAACCCTCAACTGAGCACCTGAGACTCTTTATGTCCTCAAGTGTTGAGACTTTTACTTTGGCTTCAAACTCACCTCTGGTTGTCTGTCCACTGAGGACGTTTTATCCATGTGTCAGTCCCTCCAAGAAGTTGTACTGTACCGCAACTTTTCTGCAAATTCGACCAATAATTGTAGTTTTCTGCAATCAGTCCCCCCTGTGCAAAACATTGAGCCATATGTCATCACTACTTGTGATTTTATTCTCACAGGAACAGTTTCTAATGAAGTATACAACAAAGTATTACAGTTCGCCATTGACAATTTAATTTGATTCTATTTGTATAGGGCCCAAATCATGGGTTCAAACTCACCTCCGGTTGTCCATCCACAGGTACCTCGGGATCTGCCATCCGATGAGGACCATCACTCTGGAGAGCAAGCGAGTGGTGAAGGGGACCTGTGCATTGGTGTGGGTGGTGGTCTTCATCCTCACCTGTCCCATCTTCAGGTTCGCCCAGACGGGATACATGACGCGGCGAAGTGGCGGGGTTGTCGAGTCTGGAGGGGTGAGGGAAGACGGGAACAGTACCGGATCTCAGTTGGAGGACCAGGAGGGATACATGAACTGCTGGGACGACGCCATCGATAAGGAGTTTGCCGACTACGTCCCATACGGCATCGTCCTCCACCTCCTGGGCTTCTTTGTGCCCTTTGTCATCATCGCCTGGTGCTACTCGCAGGTGGTCAGGACGATATTTCAGACCCTGCGCTCCCCTCCCAGTTCGGTAGAGGGCGGGGAGGATGGTCCGGTGGGAGACGGGGCAACAGAAGGAGTCAGAGAGCGGGAGAGAACCTCGGTCTCCATCTCTGGATCGCAGTACTCGCACTACATCCGGCGGCGACGGAAATCCATAAAAACCATCGTAACCATCACATTGCTGTTTGCGCTCTGCTTCCTGCCCTTCCACGTGACCCGGACGCTGTTCCTGCTCCTGCGGCGGGGGCAGCTAGGCGGCTGCAAGGTCATGAAGACTGTCTCTATCTGCTACAAGGTCACTCGCCCTCTGGCTTCCTGCAACGCCTGGCTCAACGCCCTCCTCTACTTCCTGACAGGGGACAAGGGCACCCCCTGCTGCTGGCCAGCAGAACACAGCATCCGCAGAGACCGTCGCAGCGGCTCCCTCTGGTGGCCGCTAAAGATCCTGAAAAAGGAGGGAGTGGGAGAGGACGACCAGGAGGCAGCCGAGAAGGTCGATAGGGAAGTGCACATGGAAAACGAGTCCAAGTCTTCAAGGGTCATCTTCTAGAAGGTTTTAGTGTTGGTTTCTTTGTAAAAGACTTTAAACAGCATGTGATGCACCAGGCAAGATCCAGCAGTTAAACAAAAAACTGCTCAGTAGTAAGGTTGTCAAAAGTATGGATCCTTTTTCGATACCACGTTTTAAACAGTACAGTATAATTTGATAGTATCAAAACTATGGTAAAAATAGATCTACAATCAGAAATTTCAACCCAAGGCTGCACACATGTTGAAAAAAATTTCAATAGCTTGAAACGCACGTTGTTGCGTTCTTGTGGCACGAACTGCAGAAGGAAGTAGGCATTGTGTTGTTGATGGTGTTCATAAGGGGGAAAAATGCAAGAAACTGACAGAAAAATGCAAAAAGAAGCCCTGGCTTTTGAGTACTTTTGTTGATGGCAGCAGGAAAATGTAGCCTACATAAAAAAAATCTACATCAGTTTAAGTGTACAGTATATCTAGAATATTTTCATCACTTTACCTTGCCAGACAGCCCTTTCTGTGGGCATCTGAGCCCATTTTATCTATCAGTCTGTCCAGGGAGTTGCAATGTTGCGATTGCAACCAATAACGCAAATTCAACCAATCCCTGTGAATCCTGCAGAATTTTGTCCAGTCTCAGCAACTTTTCCTCCCAATCGTATTAGACCCTCCTGTGCAAAACACTAAACCACACATCATCAAACTAATAGAGATTTTTTTTCTCTCTGCAACAAGTTGCCTTAGATTTTGTAATGAATTATAAAAGGGTTTCACTTTCTCACACATTTTCATGCTCAAAACAATATCCATGAAATTGGGCATTTTAGGCTGCAACAATCCCTCCAAAAAGCCTGGAGGAACTTATCTGTCCTCTCCTTACAGCCACCAGACACCTTTGACAATTAAATTCAGTTTTATTTGTACAGCAGCCAGTCATAACAGATGTTATCTCAGGACACTTTTCAGATAATTAGATATAACTGGGTACCATCTGCATAACAATGAACATTCATGGAGTGATTCTGAATCACTTGCCTGGAGGAAGCATATATGAGGGGAATCGAACTGGTCCAAGTACAGAACCTTGAACCACTTTTATGGATGGAGTCTGGTGGCTTTGAAGAGATATAACAACTCGGTTTCGTATTAAATCGGGCAAATATTGTTTAAACTAGTACAGCACGACCCTTTTCCATCTGAATATTCACACGTCATCCGAATCACAACTGCCAACAAGCTATTTTGAGTTTTTTTGCGGTTTTCTGCCGTGCTATTTAAAGAGGTATCGCATATTGTTGTTTTATACTACTGTAGAAGTTTAAAACTCTGGTATCATGACAACCTTACTCAGTAGGGGTGGGTATTATTTTACATTTGTTTCGATGCTAGCCAAGTTGTCAAAAGAAAATGTTAATTAACGCCTGTTTCCACCCACTACTGTTGTGTGAATATGAGTTTAATGGTTGATGGAACTAATTCTCCAGTTGCTGCCATTAAACCACTGCAGAAGAACAGGACATTGAAAGAGCTCCAGTCAAGGGTCAAACGATGAAAAACATGAAGGAAATCAGATATTTCTGTTCAGATCTGATGACATAGACCAGTAGCTCCCAACCTTATTATTGGACGGAAACCGACAGATAATGATACCAAAACACGACCTAATAAATGTTGTTTAAACACAAGCAAATTCTCAATTTAAATTGGGAACCATTTGATCAAAGAATACATAAGCAACATTTTGAATCAGATATTCAATATACTGGATCAAGATAGAGATGGAAGGGTTGTAATCTGCAACTACACTGCTACAGGCAACTAAATCCTACACACTGGTCCTTTAAGAAAACTATATATGTCTCTTTTACCTTTTAACCATTCAACATAGACTAGCCTAGCATATAGCACATCTAAGTACAGGAAAGGAGGAAGTTGACCCTGAGGCTTGTTCAACTGTTATTGGAGCACAGAGCAAAAAAGGGGCAGGACTTAAGCCCAGTTTAGACCAAAGATTCCCAAGACAGTGTATCAGCAGCAACCTTCTGTACTTTTGTTCTAAGTGCTGGCTTCTCCTTTAGGCAGCTTACTAAAATATAGAATGAGTATAGTGAAAGTGTGTTTCTGGCTACTGCTGCTTTTTTTGTTGAAAAGATGAAAACTCATTAAAACGAGAGGGTGGAGAATTTGGAGCTGTCCATGGGTTCATTTTAAGGCTTGTGTTAAACAAATTGATGAGGTGACTGTCTGTCCTGGAACGTGTAATTAATAAATGTGATTCCTAAAAAGAGGCGGTACTCCCTTTTAAATGTCATGTAAAACCCATACTGGCAGCCATGTTACTGACCTGTCTGAATGTATTTCCTTCAAAGAGCAACAGTCCCTGCTTCATGTGTAGTTGTTGTTGTTGTTGTTGTTGTTGTTGTTGTTTTTTTGAGCTCAGGTCAGTCTGTGATGTCAGACCTCTTTTGTTTTTTTGACTGGTGTATTTTGATGTTTTGTGGCTCAATATCTGGATTAAAGTCTGTCGTTGACATCAGCTCTCTGTCCTCTGCCTCGTTCATGGTTAACGTGTGGATCCGTTCGGTCCCAGAAATCATTAATCAGCTGATAAGCAGATTTTATGTTTTGTTTTGTTTTTTTATTTGGTTTTTCATTTTTGTTCTCAGTTCAGTTTAGTTTTAGTTTCCAGAGTGGGTCTACTCGTTTCAGTTTAGATTTTATTCTCAAAAACTGTGTACTTTATATATACTGTATATTAATGTACTGTATATATATATGCTTTATACTTTATACCCCATAATATACTGATGTAAAAATATAAATAGTTGTACAGTACTACGGTGGACTGTAGTCCTGCATGTGATTTGTCCAGGTGGTGTTGCAGAACACAGCAACCCAGCAGAGGGTTAGCTGTGGTATAATAAATGTCAAACTGAGTCTCTGTTTCTTTACTTACAAATGTATTAAAACATGTAAAACTAGAATGTAATGAGCATTACGTAGACTGTATCACTGTAGGTACATTCAGCATTAATGTTAATTCATATTCTGAAATCACCAACAGATGAAGATTTAAAACTGACATTTTAATGGTTGTCTGAACTATCAGAGCCCATCAAAGGACTGGTGTTGAGCTTCGGCTATATACATTATGTGTTATTGATTACTTCCAACATAAAAACATTATTGATAAAGTACCTGCAGTAACTGGAAGTGACACTGACTGGATTCTGTCGATTTTATTTGTGCTGCGAAAACAAACCGAGTAAAAACGACTTCATCAAGAATGTTTTTAACTTACAAAACTGACTTTCTGTTACTTAAATGTTTGATGTAATCTGTTCCAACAATATGTTTGAGTTCAAATAACTTCTGTCATTACAGGGTAGGATCCCTTTAATATGCACACCCAAGTATTGGAGCAGAGTTTTAATGGGGATACCATGTGCTGCCACTAGATGGCACTCATGTGAAACCAATAATTCACTTTTTCAGCTTCAGTTTGGAAAATAAATCAATAATGTGAACAGCTTTTGGAATTTACTCAACATTTTTCAGAAACAACGTTGTGTCTCCTGCCAGCTGACTATTTGCTTCTCAAAAACACTCAATTGCTCAATATCTGATTTATTTTTCCATTTCATAATTCTCAGACTGTCATTAATATCAACAATCCATCACAGCCTCACTTCATACACAAATGTATATATCTATAGCAATAACTGCCCCTCTATTGTTTGTATATTGGGAACAAGTTTGCCCCACATCCTGTCACATTTCATTGGTTGCCCTTTAACATTGTACAGGATTGTTTCTGGGGGGCAATATGACAATAGTTCTGTCCACCATCGTTTTATTGAAGGTGGATGTTGGATTTCCACTTCATTAATGTACATTTTGTTGCTGCTGTCATTATTAATCATATTAGTTTCTTCTCCTCATTATTAATCTCTTTGAGCATTTCTGCTTCACCCAGAATAGATATTGGGGGGTCCAGTGTAATTACTGGCTGCAGTATTTCTGATATATGTTTATAACGGTTGTTCCAAAAAACTTCAATCTGTACATTTCCAAAACATGAGCACAAGGTCTGCATTATCTGAGTTACAACATATCTGGTTACTCATCTGGTTACAATATGTGAACTTTTGATAAGAACTGAGAGCCTTTCCGCTGCCACTAAGAAGAGTGATGGTGAAATTGGACAGCCTTGTTTTCTACCTCTGTTCACTGTAAAACGAGGGGAAGAACCACCTGATAAAGATATTGAGCTGTTGCTGTCGTGATAAAAGCATTTCATTACGTTTCTGAAATTCTCTCTAAAGCCACTCAGTTCCAAAGATCTGTTCTACCACATCAACAGCTTTATACAAATACAGACAAAGAATAAAGCCATCATCATTGATATAATCACTGTATTCAAGCAGGTCTAGGACTCGGTGCTCGTTGTTATACATTGATCAACCTCTCATAAATCCTGACTGGGTGTCACTGAGGGTTTGGGAAAGTCCTTCTTTGAGACAATTTGTATATATGAGAGTCAGTATTTAGTAATCATTGTTGAGGACAGCGAGAGAGACAGAGACAGTCTTAATAATAATAATAACAATAATATCAGTGATATAAACAATGACAGTCAAGCAGGACCATGGCAGGAGGCTCCACCAGGATCCATGATACTGTCTTTGTCTTTGGAGGTTTTGAATATTATGGTATGGCAAAAATCAAAGATGGCTGCCAATTTTCATACTTTTTTCAAATTATATATATTAATAGCTACAGAATGGCTGCTATGCTGAGGAAGAAATTGTTTTCATTTTAATTCCTAACTTTGTACAATGTCCTGAGTATTGTGATTAAGGGAAGGTGTTTATTATTTATTGTATTTCATATACAGTATTTTGGTACCAATTGATCAAGCACACAAGCAGGCCAACAAAAGGGTGAAAGGAGTTGGTAGCATAATTGGTCTGATAGAGAACCCTGAGATGTTGGAACGTTGGGTTGTGACTGGCCCGGAAATCAGCCGTGTCATTGAGCAGTTTATCACTGTAGATGACAACGAAGATTGTGAAGAACGTCCTCATCATGAGGAAGGATCTGCATCTCAGCTTCGATTTCAACGGCATGTGAAAGACCTGATGGAGGTCTTGCTGGGCAATGGAAATCCCTTTGAGGAGGTCAGTAAAGACCTGGTTACATTAGACAACAAGGTGTGTGAGTCTGCAGCTGCTGCTGTATCTGTCAAGTGAAACAACTTATTGTTGTTCCATGAGAGGAAAACACAGAAGAAGACCGGGAGTAAGCTGAGAATGCAGCACTTTAAACATCACTCTGAGCTTTATGGGAAAGCTTTTATTGTGCTAGACAGCCGTGGGGGGGATTTGGAAGGGTTCTTCCGTCACAAATCTTCCCCATACCCACCTGCATTGTCATCTGAAGGAGCACTCAACTCTTGTACCAAGTCAGATTTGTTGGTATACATCATGGAAGCCAGTACGAGTAGCAACATTTCTATAGATGACAAGTTAGTTGTGCCAGGTGTTTATGACTTCATTGTCATTGATGGTGGAGTGCTAATACATTCTCTTCCTGGCACAAGTGTCCAAGGGAAGACCTTCGACTCATATTTTGGCAAGGTATTCTGCCCAAGAGTTCACCATGACTTAAAACGATCAACAAGAGTAGACATCATCTGGGACCAGTATCATGAACTAACAATCAAAGGAGGCACAAGGGAAAAGCGAGGAACGGGCACCCGACAATGTGTATCTGGTATGGCCAAAATCCCAGGAGATTGGCAGAAGTTTCTGGCAAGCATTGGCAACAAGAAAGAGCTGTTCTCATTCCTTTCAAATAAGTTGTTAACAGATGGACAGTTCCCAGATGACAAGGATGTCTATGTCACTGCAGCTGATCAAGTCCACCATGTTGGAAACGGTCAACCAATGGATCAATGCAACCATGAGGAAGCTGATACTCCTGTCTTAGTACATCTCCTCCACGCCCTCCAAACATCATCACTTGGGTTGGTGCATACTGGAGACACAGATGTGGTTGTAATCCTTCTGAGTAATTTTCATCACATCAAGACTGTGAATGCAGCTGCCGAAATCTGGATCACCTTTAAAGCTGGAAAGATAACCAGAATGATATCCCTGAACACAATCGCCACAAACGTAGGCATGACAACATGCAAAGCCATGGCTCTCTTCCACACATTCACTGGATCAGACAGCACATCTTCCTTTAAGTTCAAGGGCAAGCGATCCTGCTGCAAGTTGATGCACAAAGTGCCATTCCCCATGGAAGAATTTGCAGCGATTGTCGACACTCCATTCCAAACATTACCAAGGATGAAAAAAGTGGCGGCAAAATTGGTCTGTCGGCTGTATTCCAATGAGGAGAATGAGGAGAATGATGTTGATCTTCTCTGAATGAGGCTATTTTCACAGAAGGCTAGGGATGTGGAGAGAATTCCCCCCAACGAGTGATGCTTTGGATCAACATCTCATAAGGAGTGTCTTCCAAGCAAGCATCTGGACGACAGCCCAAAGGTATGCATCTGTATTTGTGTATTGTATATATATTGTATGAAAATGTCCCCAAACCCACTGATGGAAAGAAGAGGACGGCAAGCTGCTTCCCATTTGGACCACGCTGCTCCTTGCCAAAGATGTATTGAATCTGGATGTGAAGTGCACTTGTAAAAGTACTTGTTCAAGTAGGCCTACCAGCTCTTGGTGCAAGTGCATGAAAGCAAAGTTGAAGTGTACACGTCTGTGCAAGTGCAAGTGTGAGAACTAGTAGGAACATAGTCATTTCCAGTACTGCCATGTACATGGGATTTGTTAGTCAATTTAACTATTGAACAAGGAGTTATTCAAGCAAATGTTTAAGCTGTTACTCACCACCTTTTTGTGGTACAGTTGAAAGATTATTAAAAAATTATACTGTATTGTAGAGTCTGTGACTGCATGTTTATATTATAAGATTATTAAAAAAACACCTGTTTTACATCACCGGGCCTATGATTTTCTGTCTATTTTTGAAGTTATGCTCTGATACTGAACAAAATATGGCTTATATCGGCCATATGCTAGAAATATCAGTTGCTACTCCTGATCCTTAATCAATACATACTTATTATGTTCAGATCGGATAATCTAATCAACAGTTACCATATTCTGTTAGGGCTGGTGGTGGCTCGGGAGCCGTCACGTCCCCTACAGGGCCATTTTTTGATCGGCTTGCTTGACCCTCGAACCAAAATTGTTCTATAGACCCTTACAATCAATTTAGAAGTGAAAACAAAACTTTTGCATCAATTTGAAATGAAAATGAGAAATTACCCATACACGGAACCCCACTATAAATGAAGCTCCTCGAGGGGCTGTCAGTGTTTTAGAGCCCGAGCTTTGGTTCGCCCTTTGGTCTGATTCTAAACTCTTATTCTACAGCACTGAATCCAAAGCACAAGTCAGACTCAGCCACTAAAGGTGTGATTGTTAAAGGTCCTCACAATGTGAGTCGGTTGGGTCTTTATCTCTGCTGTCCGTCACAGGTGAGCTCTCTGATATAATCGATGGGACTCAAACAACCGGTTGGATGAAAGGGAGGAGAGTCTGCTGTAAGACAGGAAGCTACCTACAGAATCACAGCAGGACGTCGGACATGATTCCAACCAATGAAAGACTTTCTGACAGAGACCTGAGCTCTTCCACCAGACTCCTTTCATAAAAACACTCATTTTAGCTCCCAGAACTCTGTGTGTGTTATTATGTGACTCTGGTGATTCAAATGGCTGACAGACACTGTATCTTTATTGATGATATTGATCCTGTATTGACAGTCAGACTGTGGACATATGAAGGCCTTTAGCTCGTGTTTCTAGTGTTACGTGTTGTTATGAACACGTTAGGAATTGTTAAAATGTGATATTTCTTAAAGGGAGTTTGGTGCAGGGAGCTTTTAGTTGAATTCAAACTGCTGATATAATATCTGTGTTTAACTGAAAATTAGATCCTCAAACTCAAATAAAACTAATATCCGTGTTTCAGACGATTAAGTGTTTTAACTTCCACTGGTTTGATTCAAATCTGCACAACCTCAGCTGTTCTATAAGTCAATAAACTGTCTAATTGATAAAAGAATGGAAATTATCATTTCTTTATCATCAAATAAAATAAATTAAAACAAACAATAATTTAAAAGATTTTTAAATGCAGAAACATGAATGTGAATGTAACCAGCTGGACTTCTGCACAGATTCTAACGCTGTAAAATTTCATGAGAATGAAGTTCTCTCTCTCTCTCTCTCTTTTTCTCTCTGTCTCTCTCTCTGTGTCTCTCTCTCTCTTTTTCTCTCTGTCTCTCTCCGTCTGTCTCTCTCTCTCTCTCTCTCTCTCTCTCTCTCTCTCTCTCTCTCTCTCTCTCTCTCTCTCCCACCCACCTAGAGGGTCTGTCCGAGGTTTCTGCCTCTTAACAGGCAGTTTTTCCTTGCCGCTGTCTCCAAGGTCTTGCTCATGGTGGTACTGTTGGGTCTCTGTAAATAATGTTATAAAGAGTTCGGTCTAGACCTGCTCTATTTGAAAAGTGTCCTGAGACAACTTCTGTTATGAATTGGTGCTATACAAATAAAATTGAATTGAATTGAATTGAATTCTGTCTCTATAATAATCAGTGTGTGTGAGCAGAGAGTGAACGGGTTGTAGTGTAGCTTTGTTCCTTTGCTGCCTGTAGACTGATTTCTATGTGTTTCTATTCATTTAAAAGATTTATAAATGCAGAAACATGAACGTGGATGTAACCAGCTGAACTTCTGCACAGATTCTAACACTGTAAAAACCTGTTTCATGAAGTTTCACATTCCTGCTTTGAGCTTCACGTTTGATGAGAAGCCAGCAGGTGATGGTTCAAATGTTCCTTCAATCTGATGTCGGTCTGATCAATCACTGCTGAACCAGTTCAACCAGGTTCCTCTCCGATGGTTGTCTGAGGACACTGGATCTGATCTGAAGCCTTTAATGTTTTTAATGTTTGACCAAAGGGTAAATCAGTGTCACCATCAGTCTGCTGTGGATGGACAAATGTGTGTGACAGCTGACGCTCCATCCAGGTTCTCATTGGACCACTTTTACTAAGGATGCTGCCACTCCTCTGGGTGCGGTTTTAATGAATTTCCCTGTTGAGATCAGAGATCAGTTCTCTGTGCTGCAGCTCACACTGAAGACTTCTAAATCAGTCCCGAGTCTGAGCATGACGAGCCATTTCAACCGGAGAGGACACAACCTCGTGTTTAAAGGTCTGCACTTGAAACTGAAGGATTTGAGAAAGAAAGCAGAAGAAGAAGGTTGGAAAAACCGGTACCTCTTCAAAGACCACATCCCAGCGTACCCCCGACCAGAGTTTCATGTGTCTCATCTGAAACACGACACCGACCAAGCTGGATTACGTGGGATCAGGAGGGACGGTGGCTTTAGGAACCCGGCTGATGGCTCTCTGCTGTGGTGGAGTCTGGTTGTGGGATCTGATGAGATAAGGTCCGCTGAGAGGAGGCTCCTGGAGACCACCTACCCAGACCGGACAGAGGAGCAGGCCCAGAAGCAGCAGAGCTTCCTGGAGAAGTTTGCAACTTCCCCGGCCTTCATGAAGTCCTCCAGGCTGGGCTCGTACCGCTTCACCTTCCCCCTGGAGGAGGTTCTGAAGGCCTACAGAGACCAGGTACTGAGGGTCAGATTGGGGTTTATCAGGGTCAGTCAAGGATTGTTGTGGCCTAAAAGTCCTGATTTCACAGCAGCTTCTGTAAAACACTGTGTCGCATGTTGTGATGCTTTTTATGCATTTTTAAGATACAAATTAGAGAAATGAAAGGAAAACCCTCTTTTCACTGTTCAGAGAATTTGATGGTCAAAATGGTGCCATCTGCTGGACAACTATTGGTGCTGCGTCTGTAGATGGATAATGACTGATCGATAAAGACTTCACTATGAATTAATTTTTACATAAAAAAACATTATTATTATTATTATCATTATTATTATTATTATTATTATTATTATTATTATTATTAGTGGTTTTGGTTGCTTTTTAAAAAAAACACTTTTTAAACAAACTACTTACTGTCTCCAGTTTTGTTCCGGTGCTCAACCCGTCATGAGGGTGTTCAGGACCATCCTGTACAAACAGGAAGTGATGTACGCGGTGCTGGTCCACAGCCCGGCCAATCAGCAGCTGTTCTCAGACCTTCCTCTGCTGACTGACGACCCAAACTCTGTGTGCACTTACAGAGACGGACACTTCATCTGGAGGTCTGAGGCCATGTGTGAGACACACAGGTAGGAACTGAGCACTGAGGTTCTGTAACACCTGCTGTCTGCTTCCTGTCTGGTTGTCCTGTTGCTGACTGTTATCTTCTGCCTGACGTTGCTTCCTCTCTCCACTGATCCCACCAAAATATCTGTACGTTTACAGGTTCTTCCTGTGTATGTTTTATAAACATGGAAATATTCATTCAATTACACAAATATAGTGTGAATTCACACCAATCATCAATCCACAATCATAAAAATAATGCTTATTTAAAGAAAATGTACTTTTTTTCACATAAAAAGTTTAAAATATATTTTTTCGCCAGAGAAAGAGAAAAATCAAATAATAACAGCACTCTGCTGTAAGCCTGATTATTTGTATTATAACAGTGTTCCCCTGTATTTATAGCTCATTGCATCGTTTTTACAGTGTAAATATATTTAATTAAACATTAAGAAGACAAAATATTACACAAGATTTTATGCGAAATTAAAGATAAAAACTAGAAAATGACCAGAATATTGTTTTTTACAGTGCACATTAGATCCCCCAGCTGCTGTTTCCAGCTGTTGTTTCCAGCTGTAGTTTCCAGCTGTTGTTTCCAGCTGTAGTTTCCAGCTGTAGTTTCCAGCTGTTGTTTCCAGCTGTTGTTTCCAGCTGTTGTTTCCAGCTGTTGTTTCCAGCTGTTGTTTCCAGCCTTCTGCCTTTCAATCTGTCAATGATGTGTAACACAGCTGAAACGAGAACGTTGAAATATTTCCTGTTTCTGTCAGATATAAGTTGGTCCACAGACAATATGAAGAGCAGATGGTGGTGAGGGAGGCGTGTAAACCTCACCAGTTCTATGTTTGGGATAATGTGGGCGTGGTCCTGCATGTGGACAGACAGGTACGACGTGTTTTTATCTGACTGTGATCAAACAAAGCTGCCCTTTATATTTACATTTCTACCAAATGTATGGAAATGTCCCAACACACCTTTGTCTGGGACGTTTCTATACAACCAGAGTTAACTTCCTCTAATCACAGTCTACATCCACTGTTAGCTCGTCATCTTCTTCTGTTCTGGTTCTGATCCTGGTTCTGGTTCTGGTTGTGGTTCTTGTTCTGGTTCTGGTTCTGGTTCTGGTTCTTGTTCTGGTTCTGGTTCTGGTTCTTGTTCTGGTTCTGGTTCTTGTTCTTGTTCTTGTTCTGGTTCTGGTTCTGGCTCTGTTCAGCTTGTGGTTGTGTTCAGGTTGTGGTTCAGGTTGTGGTTCTGTTTCAGGTTCTGCAGTTTGATGCTGGGCGACTGAGGGAGAACCTGACGTTCTGTGATAAAGGACCAGTTACAGTGAAGGGTTCTCCTCATGATCCGTTTGTAGGAGCTGCAGAGATTGTTAAAGAGCTGTGGCCAAACTGTCTCTCTCCACTAAAGAGAGCTGTGTGTTTGTCTTTTTATACATTTATCTGATCAATGTAGTTTTTAACTGTCAATCCCCATTAATGCTAACTGTACAAACACAACTTTATTATCAATGTACAAACACAACTTTATTATCACTGTACAAACACACAACTTTATTATCACTGTACAAACACAACTTTATTAACACATTACAAACACACAACTTTATTAACACATTACAAACACAACTTTATTAACACTGTATAAACACAACTGTATTATCACTGTACAAACACACAACTTTATTATCATGAGATGTATGAATGAGCCCATCTCTGTCTTGCAATTCCAGCATGTGTTGGTACTTATTAGTCCTACTTTGAAAATTCTACATGGTTTCCAGTAATACCGGTGTAAAATTTTATATTGAGTCAATTTACCTTTAGTTTCTTTGATATAGTTACCATTATCAGCCACAATTTGATTCCATGTATCTTCATCAATCTGACAATTAAGGACCCTCTGCCAGATTAACCTCAAATCGTTATGTGTAGATCTTTTGTTGTGTTTATCTTCTGATCACAAACTCTGTCAGAATTTTATGTAATTTATAATTAATTAATGATCAATAAAACGTGTGTGCATTAATGAAAGACACCGGAGACCATCCAGACTATTGATTGGTTCAGTACAAGTACCTCCAACTTTACTCTCCACCGCTGCTGTCCTCTGAGTGACTGATGGTTTCAGGACAAAGGATCACGTGCTGCAACCTGCTGGTCCTCGCTGGAGTTTAAATTCATTCTGAGTAACCAGTGACCCAGTTCACATGTACTGAAGTACTGCAACTGACACAACCAGTGTGTTATAATACACTCACACTGTGAAATGTCTCTGTCTTTACCTCTGTTCTGTCTCTCTCTCTCTCTCTCTTTCTCTCTCCCTGGCTCACCTAGAGCCGAAGAGTCTGTCCTAGGTTTCTGCCTCTTAAAGGAAGTTTTTCCTTGCCGCTGTCTCCAAGGTCTTGCTCATGGTGGTACTGTTGGGTCTCTGTAATTAATATTATAAAGAGTTCGGTCTAGACCTGCTCTATTTGAAAAGTGTCCTGAGATAACTTCTGTTATGAATTGGCGCTATACAAATAAAATTGAATTGAATTGAGATGTCAGTTTCAGTTCTATCTTTAATTGTCTCACAAAATACAAACATAAATCAATATTTAAGCAATACTATTACATTATTACATAACACTGTACATAACATAAAAACTGCTTCACAGTGGACTAACTACTACTACAGCTATGCTAGCAACCAATGAAGCAATCCGAATTAGAAATAAAATGTAGACAGAGCAAATATATGATATAAATAACATTGAAAACTTATAACTCAATAATACTAATGGACAAATAATGTCCAAGGCAACAATGCCAAAGATAACTGCGGCAGGAGAGATAAGCCCATGTGCTCTCTATCTTGTCTAGTTGCACAAAGAGAAATACCCTGCTCTGCAACTGTTGCTGCTGAAGTAACCAAAAGGGAGCACTGCAGTGCGTGAAATTCTATAATACTCAAACAAAAGTTTGGTCCCATGAGTTGTTGACATGAATAGGAAGGCAGGAGCTAATTGTTTGGTCCTCTAGTATGGTATGTTTTGGTCCATTTGGGCTTGTTGATTTATTTTTTAAGTTTGTTATTTTCTGTGTGGTGGGTGGTTAGAGCAGTTGTCTCAGGGAAACATCCATAGCTTTCAGGTGAATAACCAGCTTGCTGGGTGCCTCACCGGGCTATTGGTTTAAGTGTTTAAATAGCCCATTATAGCCTAATCTCAAGACTAGGGTTCAGTGAGGTAGCTTAGTTTGTGGATAGACAGTTTAGGTAGAGTGGGACTTCCACATTAGTTTTGGGGACACCATTAGTGTTGTTTGTGCACTAGTTGACTTATGCAATGATTTCTGTTAGTACTTGTGTTTTCTTCTGCTGGGGTCCTGTATATTTAGAAGAATATGACATTGATCTAAGTGGGATTGGTGATAGACTGAGAATGTAAAGCATTTGGTAAAACTGCAGTAAGTTGAGAAAGGGGTGCTGGTGGCTGAGCTAGAGGGGCCTGTTCCATCGTTAGCTGCACAGTCACTTTTAGTCTCATCAGGAAACTTAACCTTTGAGCAGAGGAAATAATTGCTTTTATTGCAGTTATCTCATGATAAAGAGAAAACAGAGAAGAACAAGAAAGGCAATGGATTCGGATAGAAAAGCATAAGTTGGAGGCGGAAAAGCAAGTGGCGATTGAGTCTTTGCAGCAGGAGAGAGCAGGAAAAGATAGCATTGCAAACTGCTAAACTGGGACTAGTCAGAGATGGTAAGCTTTCTGGGGATGTGTTGCGACGGGATGAAAGTTCATCTTTGTGGTCAGGGTCTCCAGATGTTGTTAGTAATTTGCATTTCTTGCCTAAATTTAATGAGCGGGATCCAGATGTGTTTTTCTCTCTGAGCGGATTGCAGAAGCAAGGACTTGGTCAGACTCAGAGCAGGTTTTGTTATTGCAGTGTGTGGACCGATTCGTCGTTAAGTTGCAATAATCTAACTTATCAACCAGTCAAGGCTGCTGTACTGAAGGCGTATGAGTTAGTTCCAGAAGCATATCGTCAGCGATTTAGGATGTGGGAAAAAAGGGTCAGACTCATATGGAGTTTTCAAGGGAGCTGACTAATCACTGCAATCGTTGGTGTATGGCTTCAGATGTTGACAATTTTGAGAGTTTGTGTAACTTGGTCCTTAAAAACTCTCTGCCCAGTCGGGTTGCCACATACATTACTAAATGTAAGGTTACAACTGTTGCTGAGGCTGCAGCATTGGCTAATGAGTATGTACTCATTCATAAACATCGACCCAGTGAGCCTTTGCGGGAGCCTGTGGTAGGAAAAGATGGTGGTGGTAGGTTGCCTGGACGACTTGGGGTCTTTTCAGGTAAAGGGTCCCGTGGAGCACCTGAAAAAGGGGACAATGTGTGCAATTACTGCTGGGAGGCAGGCCACTGGAAGGCAGACTGCCCGATGCTCAGGGCTAAGAAGAAGCATGTTGGAGGTGGTCATGTAAAACCTGCTGCACTGGCTGCAAGCGTTCCTGATTCTGTGAATGTGGGCGTGTGGCAAGGTGGAAATGTAGATCCTTGGATGGCTCATGTTCTTGAGGAGTCCTAACTGCTGTTTGTTAGAGATGGGTTTGTAGAGCAGGTTGGTAGTGATGCTAAGATACATGTTAAGATTTTGAGAAACACAGGGGCTGTCAACTCCTAAATTCTGGAGTCTATTTTGCCATTCTCTGAGAAGACTGATACTGCGGATAGAATACTTATGTGAGGGATGGGGTTGAATGAGTTGCCTGTCCCAGTGCATGGCATGAGTCTGGATTGTGAATTGGTGCAGGGTGAAGTACCTGCTGCTGTGAGACCGGCGTTACCTGTGGAAGGGATTGATAACGACTTGGCTGGCAGACGTATGTGGGCGGATATGTCACCACCTTCAGTAGTTACTCTGGTAACATAAAGGTGCATACACATAAAACATAGCTAATAATGAATATACAAGATACAGCTCATGACAACATGCCCTTCCAATTCAGATTACATAGGTCTAATAAACGTCATACAGAAACTGTTCTTATAGTTTTTATCTGGATAGATAAAGGGTAAAAAAATGCAGCACCTTCTGTTTCAGATGTATAGACTTTGCCTATACATATGAGTATAAGCATTTTCAGAATTTCAGTCCAACAACCGACGTTAGCTCACGTTACGTTCTCTGTCGCTGAGAGTTTGATTGACAGCCTGGTGGTAGCAAGTGTGAGCGGCTCATTTGAATATTAAAATTAGTCATGTGTTGATAGGTCACCACACGAAAATGTAACCAATGAAATTACTTATTTTGACACACATTTTTAGCCAATAAGTAATAAACTAACGAGGTAATGTGTCAAAAGGCGGACCTTTTTTGTTACTGTCTCAAAAGGAGAACAAATGAGTGTCTGCTTAAGGCTGCGCCTGCAGCCGGACAGGGCATTTAAAGCAGGACTGTCCGGCCTGAAGCTGGACAAATGGCCACCCTAGGGCAGATGCAGAGGTTGGGATTAATGTGCAACATTTACCTGATTTTCCTTTGTCTGTGTCTCGCAGTGACTAGCAGAATGAACAGAGAGCTGACCCATCCTTGGAGGGACTGTTTGGGTCTTTGCTGCCAGCTGACGAGGTGGAGAATGTTGCCAGTGGCTATTTGCTTCAGGATGGCATTTTGGTGAGGAAGTGGGTGCCCCGTGGTGAGGATTTTGTTGGGGATCCCATTTTTCAAGTTTAGTTCCACTCTACATATATATATATATTTAGACTGTTTTTCTGCTATCGATCTTCATCAGTTAATTTCAATAATTTCTACATCGAAGCCATCAACCTGTCTGTTAGACCCGATCCCAACTAGGCTGCTTAAAGAAGTTGTTCCCTTAATTGGCACTTCTTTACTGGATATGATTAATCTTTCTTTATTATCAGGATATGTACCACAGTCCTTTAAAGTAGCTGTAATTAAACCCCTTCTTAAAAAGCCCACTCTTGACCCAGGGGTCTTAGTCAACTATAGACCGATTTCTAACCTCCCCTTCCTCTCTAAGATTCTGGAGAAAGTAGTCGCCAAAGAGTTGTGTGACTTTCTACATAACAATAGTTTATTTGAGGATTTTTAGTCAGGATTTAGAGTTCATCACAGCACAGAGACAGCTCTGGTTAAAGTTAATAATGACCTTTTGATTGCTTCTGACAATGGACTTGTCTCTGTACTTGTATTATTAGATCTTAGTGCTGCATTTGACACCATTGACCATAATATTCTTTTACAGAGACTCAAGCATCAAATTGGCATTAAAGGAACCGCACTAAGCTGGTTTAAGTCATATTTATCAGATCGTTTGCAGTTTGTACATGTTAACGATGAATCTTCAATAAATACTACAGTTAGTCATGGAGTGCCACAAGGTTCTGTACTTGGACCAATACTATTTACTTTATATATGCTCCCTTTAGGCAACATTATTAGGAATCACTCCATTAACTTTCACTGTTATGCAGATGATACGCAGTTATATCTATCGATCAAGCCCAATGAAATTAATCAATTATGTAAATTACAAACATGTCTTAAGGACATAAAATCCTGGATGAGCTGCAATTTTCTGATGTTAAACTCAGAAAAAAACGAAATTCTTGTACTTGGCCCCAAAATCCTCAGACTCATTGTCTAAAGATATAGTTACTCTAGATGGCATTACCTTGACCTCTAGCACCACTGTCAGGAATCTTGGAGTTATCTTTGATCAGGATTTGTCATTTAACTCCCACATAAAGCAGACCTCTAGGACCGCCTTCTTTCATTTATGTAATATTACAAAAATTAGACACATCCTATCACAGACAGATGCAGAAAAACTAATCCATGCATTTGTTACTTCAAGGCTGGATTACTGCAACTCTTTATTATCAGGTTGCCCCAATAAGTCCATTAAAACGCTCCAATTAATTCAAAACGCTGCAGCACGAGTACTGACAGGAACTAGAAAAAGAGATCACATCTCTCCTGTACTAGCTTCTCTGCACTGGCTCCCTGTAAAATGTAGAATTGAATTTAAAATCCTCCTCCTCACCTATAAAGCTCTTCATGGTCAGGGCCCCTTCATATCTTAAAGAGCTCATAGTACCCTATTACCCCTCTAGAACACTACGTTCTCTGAATGCTGGGCTACTTGTGGTTCCTATAGTCTCTAAAAGTAGAACAGCAGCCAGAGCCTTCAGTTACCAAGCTCCTCTCCTGTGGAACCAGCTTCCAGTTGTGGTTCGGGAGGCAGACACCCTCACCACATTCAAGAGTAGGCTTAAGACATTCCTCTTTGATAAAGCTTATAGTTAGGGCTGGATCAGGTGAGTCCTGAACCATCCCTTAGTTATGCTGCTATAGGCCTAGACTATCGGGGGATTTCCCATGGTGCACTGAGCTACTCTCTTCCTCTCTCTTTCTGCACTCATTCATGTCCCTTTAATGCATGTTACTAACTCCACTTCTTCCCCGGAGTTCTTGTGCTTTCTCGTCTCGCAGGTTCTCATGGATCCTGGTGGAGCCTCCTACCATGGTCCTGCTAGATTGCCATTGCCAATATCACTGATATTATTGTTATTAATATTATAGCTACGGTTGCTGTTGTCACTGCTCATTGTCCCCCATTGTTGCTGTTGTCAGGTTCATCATCAGTCACTACTATTAGTGTAGTTGTTGCACGCACGCGCTCTCTCTCTCTCTCTCTCTCTCTCTCTCTCTCTCTCTCTCTCTCTCTCTCTCTCTCGTTGTCTCAGTTACTTTGACTTTGAGTCTTTGAGAGTTTTTTCAGTCAGCAGCAGGTTGAAATACTTCAGGATACTTAAACTCTTCTTATGAATGACTGCATAATACATTACAACCCACTAATCTTGAATTAGCATCAATTCACAACATAACTAAGAATAAACAAACACAAAATCTGAATTAATCCCAAACAACCAGAACAGACCATCAACAACATGAAGAATATAAAATGTGTCAGTTAAAGTCACAGCTTTGTAATGAAGGTAAATCTTACCGTCTGTCTGTCCGTCTGTGTGTCTGTCCTCAGTGAGAACTGAACAGGAACAACCTGTTTCCTGGTTGGTCTCAGGTGATGTCATTAAGGGGCGGAGCTTTGTCAGCTGACTGCTGTGTCTCATTTTAAAGGGAAATATTATCCATCACACTGCTCTGAGATCACATCACAAAGAAAACAACCAGAGCAAATTCACTTTCACTCATATTTCTGTGACTGCTTTACTTTGGTTTAAATCCTGTTACAGAAAAATGAATGAGAAAGTCAAAAACAATCAGTGAACTCAATAAAGTCAAAGTTAGATTTTACTAAAGTCTTTTAGATCTTCTAGTTCGGTGTTTTTTTTTTTTTACAGTGAAAATAAAGTTGTTTTTTTACAGGAAGACAAAATAATTGTATTTTATATCATAATACAAAGAAATGTTTTTGTGAAGGTTTTTTTCAGACGTAGTTAAATATGGGAACAATGTGACTGAGTATGTGATCTTAAAGGCTTAAAAGATCATTTTTCAACTCACATGAACTTTAATAATCCTGATATTAATGTCAGTGTTGTGTGTCTTTAGTACTGTTAGCCTTTAGCACTGTTAGCTGTTAGCACCGTTAGCTTTTAGTATTGTTAGCTGTGAGCACTGTAAGCTGTTAGAACTGTAAGCTCTCATCTTTCTTTTGACAATACACCCTAGATTCTCTCTAACAAGCACAGTAATACCATGGTCATTAAACCAGCTTTTGGTACCTTTGGCAGTGTGGGCAGGTGCCAAGTCCTGCTGGAAAATGAAATCAGCATCTCTATTAAGCTTGTCAGCAGAAGGAAGCAGTGCTCTAAAATGTCCTGGTAGACATTTGGCTGCGTTGACTTTGGACTAAAACACAGTGGACCAACACCAGCAGATGACATTGCTTCCCAAATCATCACTGACTGTGGAAACTTCCCACTGGACTAAAAGCAACTTGGATTCTGTGCCTCTCCACTCTTCCTCAAGACTCTGGGACCTGGATTGCAAAATTTACTTGCATCTGAAAAGAGGACTTTGGACCACTGAGCAACAGTCCAGTCCTTTCTCTCCTTAGCCTGGGTAACACTTCTGACGTTGTCTCTGGTTCAGGAGGACAGTTGTAGACCATGTCCTGGATATGTCCTTTAATGGCCTTTGCTTCACAATCCTTTCAAGCTGCTTGTGCACCTTTTCCTACCACACTTTTTCCTTCCACTCAACTTTCTCTGAATATGTTTGGATACAACACTTTGTGAACAGCCAGCTTCTTTAGCAATGACCTTTTGTGGTTTCCCTCCTTATGGAGGGTGTCAATGACAACTGTCAAGTGAGCAGTCTTCCCCATGACTAAACCGCAACATGGAAAACACCTTGGAAAGAGCTGTCAGCGCACTGACGGTGGTTATACACCGCAACATGGAAAACATCTTGGATAGAGCTGTAAATGCTAAGACTGTGGTCATTAACCGCAACATGGAAAACATCTTGGATAGAGCTGTAAATGCTCAGACTGTGGTCATTAACCGCAACATGGATAACATCTTGGAGAAGTTTTCGCCTTTGCAAAGGAGAATGAATCGATTTGAAGACCAGAATGGACAATCAGAGTAAGTCGTGTCAAGGCCGCTGCTGGAACAACTCCTCCAGGAGATCGCTGCAGTGAGACGCTCTGCCCTATTCCTCCCTCCCTTCCCACACGGACACCTGTAGATAGTTGACTCTGTTTAGGACCCGATCAGGGACGTCTCCATGGCAACCTGCTGTGTTATCGCGATGACACCATGTGAAGTGAGGCACTGATTGAGAGGCTAGACGAAGTGACTCTCCAGGCTTATGTGCACACACGCACCCATGGACACTTACACATGCGCATATGCAACACATTTGCATTTGTGTAGGTATTATTTGCAATAAAAAATAAAAGAACATATTAACCACATAGGCTAAAACAGAGCGTACACCTACAGGCTACACCTGTTTTCTAAAGGTTTCTTATAGCACATAATAGAATTATAAACTGTACCACATATGGATATTTTCATGAAGGCATTGGCATTTAACGTGCAGCACTGTGCAAAAAAAGAATGGCATCAACTGTGCCGGGGTTTAGTCTGTTTCGCCTGGACTCGAGCACCCAGCCAGCTGAGCTGAATGTCCGCTCGCTCGATGCACTTGTTGCTGGGATGCAGAAAATCATCCTTGCCACCTTAGCAAGCAGAGGGAAGCCCTTTGACTGCGACTCCCAGAAACCTAGAAGATCATCCCCATCCCACAAGAACTGACTGTCAATGTAGCGCTGAACCTCGTCTTTCTCGCCATCTTCTTCACCATAATCCTCCCACTCGCTGAACTCATCCCTTTTTCTTTTGGCTCTCTCAGGTTCCTCAACTAAAAAATAAAATGGAATGATATAGTTTCACTATTTTGATTTACATTATTCCGCCGTAGGAAATTGTTGATAAATAAACCATTGTATTAATACACTGTTATAAGATTGGGCCTATAGAGTATTTATTATTAGGCCTATTATTATTATTAGGCCTATTATTATTAGGTTTATTATTATAGTCACTAGCGCTACCTACCTTGAACAGTGGCATCTGGCTCCCCTGCTGGGGGTGGTGTAAGCACTCTGTCAAATTCCCTGACAAGTCGTCTGGCCTGGTCGTGGACAGCGTTTCTCTCCTCAGCTGGAAACATCTTGAGGGACTGGAAATATGGACAAAGAAACGTCCCAAGCTTGTGGGTGACGCCGATGGACAATTTCTCGTTTAAGAGCTGCATTGCCCATGCTCGGATATAAACCATGTACTCCGGGTCACCATATTGCGGCTCGCAGTATTTCTACAGTTTATAAAATCAAAGCACCACTAGTTGAATAGCTGGATACTTGTCACCTTCCAGCTCTTCACTCGCAGTTTTAAAAAGCAACAACAACTCAGTGATCGTGTTCAACACGTCCAGCTGAATGCCATCCAGTCTGTCAAGCTGATCTTTCTCTTCCATGGCTTGTTGGATTTCACGGTACTGTTTGCTGACTGACTGCATCATTGCAACTTTACTGTTCCACCGTGTTTCACATTCCTGTATGGCGGCGTGTGGGAGGTGTACAACGGTACTGGACTTCTTGAGGTAAGTCACAAGGCTTTTGCATTCATCAATTACATGACTCACATCGTGCATGTATGCTGGTGTGTTCTCTTTGACATCAAATGTGTGTTTAATAACAGCACTCTGCTGTAAATGTAAGCCTGATTATTTGTATTATAGTAGAGTTCACCTGTATTTATAGCTAATTTCTTCTTTAATGTTTATCTTTAATTAAACATTAATAATGAAAACTATATTTTAATTATAGAAAATTACTGTTATTTTCCTGTATTTCTGGAATATTACTGTTTTTTACTGTTTTTTACAGTGTAAAGTCGACTTTATTTCTATAGGAGGTCTCATAAGACAGCTGTAGACTGCTTCATACACCACAAACACAGATAATAATGAATCATAGTTATTATTAATGATTATAAAGGTTCTTGAAATGACTCTGTTTCTTATTATATAAATGCAGTCAGCAGCCGTTACCATCAAAAGACTTTTGGGAGCTGCCAATGTATTTCAGTCTTCTAATGATCCAACAGAAGACAGCTTTGTTGGTGGTGAAAACAAACTATTTAATTCTCTGCTTTCGATTTGGAGTCCAGAGCTCGCCTAGCGAAGGAGACTGAAGACCAACAACCACCGCTAATGAGCTTCAACACAATGTCAAGGAAACGGCTCCAGGTCAGGACGTAATGGATTATGCACATTTTAGTTGATGGAATGTTCAAACTGTTTTTATTTGTTGTGTGATGGATACACATCTTTACAACTGGAGAGTGTAAGAATCACTTTAACAATGTCCAAAAATAACTGATATTCATTTCCACCATTTTGAGGCCATGGGGTTCCACTGGAGAGGGTCGGAACCGACCTGCATTCACTTCATCTGAAAGTGTCAATTCTATCCTCTGATTAACTGGAGGCTGTTAATGTTCCTTAATACTTGAATATGAGCTGGAGAGAAGAGACTGCTTATTGAAAAGATGTTACAATTTTGACATATCTTTGTCTTTAATAAAGTCTTCTGCTTCTTTATTGACCCATTTGATTGAGTCAGTTAGAGTTCATGTATCCTTCCTATGAGTGCTTTCTGACAACAAACCTGAACTTCCTCATTTTACTACTGTCAGACAATATTTCCCCACTGTAAAGTTTAATGATAGAACTGTTCAGTCTGGGTCTCCAGCTGTTACACTGATGCTAACTGGCATATGTTGGACAATTAGCATCATTAGCATTAATAAACAGCTGTATGGACAATATCTCAGCAGCTGATTGGCTGATTGGTACAATAAAGGAGTGGGTTTGGGGTTATTGAGGACCCTGAATCCATTTCTAAACCAGAAGTGTTCCTATTTCAGCTCCCAGTGGGCTGATTGTGATTAACTTGTTGCTGACATCAACACATACATATTCAGCTTCCTCTCAGACTGTCATTAATATCAACAATCCATCACAGCCTCACTTCATACACAAATGTATATATCTATAGCAATAACTGCCCCTCTATTGTTTGTATACTGGGAACAAGTTTAATTGATAGATATAACTGCGTATCATCTGCATAACAGTGAAAGATAATGGAGTGATTCCTAATAATGTTGCCTAAAGGAAGCATATATAAAGTTAATAGTATTGGTCCAAGTACAGAACCTTGTGGAACTCCATGACTAACTGTAGTATTTATGGAAGATTCATCGTTAACATGTACAAACTGAGAACAATTTGATGAGTATGACTTAAACCAGCAGGACGAGTTCTGGATGAGCAGTGTTTGGATCCAGAATCACAGGAGTGTAGGAGACCATGTCCTTCATCTTGTTCCAGATGTTGAAGGTCAGGTTGTCCAGGTGTTTGGCCTCGTCTATCAGAGCTCCTGAGGGCAGCTGTGGATCCTCCAGCAGGGGGCGCTGCTGGACTCTTTTCACTGCAGCCTCTCAGCTCCTCCTCTGTGGCTCTGACTGTGTCTGAAAGAGCTGCTATCTCACTGCTCAGAGCCTCCATCTTCTCCTTCATCATCTGACTCTTCTGCTCCTCTTCCTCCCTCAAATATTATCCATCGCACTGCTCTGAGATCAAGTCACAAAGAAAACAACCAGAGCAAATTCACTTTTTTACTTTGGTTTAAATCCTGATGAAGAAAAATTAATGAGAAAGTCAAAAACAATCAGTGAACTCAATAAAGCCTTTTGATCTTCAGAGTCGATGACAGCTGCAACCTGTTAGCTTTAGCCTCAGCCTGTTAGCATGATATCATAACCTGGAACCTGTTATAATATTCAACAGTCAGTTAGCATTATTATGATAGAGACAGAATCCTGTCTGTCTATAATAATCAGTGTGTGTGAGCAGACAGTGAACAGGTTGTAGTGTAGCTTTGTCCCTCTGCTGCCTGTGGACTGATCTCTATGTGTCTCTATGTAGGATGAGGGTCAAAGGTTGTGACCTTTATGCTCCCGAGTGCCAACAGTGGGCGACACAGAGTCCAACACAGAGTCCACAACACAGAGTCCAAAACACAGAGTCCACAACACAGAGTCCAACACAGAGTCCAACACAGAGTTCAACACAGAGTCCACAACACAGAGTCCAACACAGAGTCCACAACACAGAGTCCAACAAGTATCAACACAGAGTCCAACACAGAGTCCAAACACAGAGTCCAACACAGAGTCCACAACACAGAGTCCAACACAGAGTCCACAACACAGAGTCCACAAAAGAGAGTCCACAGAGTCACAGAGTCCAACACAGAGTCCAACACAGAGTCCACAACACAGAGTCCACAAAACAGAGTCCACAACACAGAGTCCAACACAGAGTCCACAACACAGAGTCCAACACAGAGTCCAACACAGAGTCCAACACAGAGTCCACAACACAGAGTCCAACACAGAGTCCAACACAGAGTCCACAACACAGAGTCCAACACAGAGTTCAACACAGACTCCAACACAGAGTCCACAACACAGAGTCCAACACAGAGTCCACAACAACACAGAGTCCAACACAGTAGTCCAACACAGAGTCCAACACAGAGTCCACAACACAGAGTCCACAACACAGAGTCCAAACACAGTATCCAACACAGAGTCCAACACAGAGTCCACAACACAGAGTCCACAACACAGAGTCCAACACAGAGTCCAACAGAGTCCACAACACAGAGTCCAACACAGAGTCCAACACAGAGTCCACAACACAGAGTCCAACACAGAGTCCACAACACAGAGTCCAACACAGAGTCCACAACACAGAGTCCAACACAGAGTCCACAACACAGAGACCACAACACAGAGTCCAACACAGAGTCCACAACACAGAGTCCAACACAGAGTCCACAACACAGAGTCCAACACAGAGTCCACAACACAGAGTCCACAACACAGAGTCCACAACACAGAGTCCAACACAGAGTCCAAAGTCAAAACTAACATTACTGCTAAGCTAGTGGAACATATTGTCTGATTGGGCTGTTAGCTGGATAATGTTAGCTTGATTGCTAACCTAGCAAAATACTGTCAGCTAGCTTCCTCCATTGGCAGGTTACATTGTTAGCTGGCTAACATCAGTTTCCTAATAAAAGGGTGTTTATTTTAGCCAACAATAAATGACATAGCACTACAAAGCTAAAGATAGCTTGCACAAAGTCGCCTTAGTTTACTCATGATGAGGAAGATGATGGTGGAAACATTGCAGACTCTCCAGGAACCTGCGATCCAGCACAGAGTCAACCAATCACTGCAGTTTCCTGCACAAAACGCTGAGTCATATGTCTCCAAACTCACTTCCTGGTGTACGTCTCATGTTGACCCTCCAATCAGTCACGTCCCCTCGTGTTGCAGTTTATCTGCTGTGATCAGACATTTCAGGCAACGCTCCTAAAAGAAGATCCTGGAGGGGCTTTGGTTCGCCCTGTGGTCTGATTATAAACTCTATTTCTACAGCACTGAATCCAAAGCACAAGTCAGACTCAGCCACTAAAGGTGTGATTGTTAAAGGTCCACACAATGTGAGTCGGTTGGGTCTTTATCTCTGCTGTCTGTCACAGGTGAGCTCTCTGATACAATCGATGGGACTCAAATAACAGGTTGGATGAGAGGAAGTAGAGTCTGCTGTTAGACAGGAAGCTACAGACAGAATCACAGCAGGACGTCGGACATGATTCTGATCTGAATTAAAGACTTTCTGATGGGGACCTGAACTCTTCCAACAGACTCCTTTCATAAAAACACTAATTTTAGCTCCCAAAACTCTGTGTGTGTCATTATGTGACTCTGGTGATTGAAATGGCCGACAGACACTGTATCTTTATGGATGATATTGATCCTGTATTGACAGTCAGACTGTGGACATATGACGGCCTTTAGCTTGTGTTTCTAGAGTTAAGTGTTGTTACGGACACGTTACGAATTGTTAAAATGTGATATTTCTTAATATTATTAGACCCTCAAACTCAAATAAAACTAATTTCCTTGTTTCAGACGATGAAGTGTTTTAACTTCCACTGGTTTGATTCAAATCTGCACAACCTCAGCTGTTCTATAAGTCAATAAACGGTATAATTGATCAAAGTATTGTCAAATTATATTAAATAAAAACAAACAGTAATTTAAAAGATTTATAAATGCAGAAACATGAACGTGGATGTAACCAGCTGGACTTCTGTAAAATTTCATGAAGTTCTCTCTCTCTCTCTCTCTCTCTCTCTCTCTCTCTCTCTCTCTCTCTCTCTCTCTCTCTCTCTCTCTCTCTCTCTCTCTCTCCCCCGCCCACCTAGAGTCGGGGTCTGTCCGAGGTTTCTGCCTCTTAAAAGGAAGTTTTTCCTTGCCGCTATCTCCAAGGTCTTGCTCATGGTTGGAACTGTTGGGTCTCTGTAAATAATGTTATAAGGAGTTCGGTCTCGGTCAAATGTGTGTGACAGCTGATGCTCCATCCAGGTTCTCATTGGACCTGGGTGTGGTTTTAATGGGTGCGGTTTTAATGAATTTCCCTGTTGAGATCAGAGATCAGTTCTCTGTGCTGCAGCTCACACTGAAGACTTCTAAATCAGTCCTGAGTCTGAGCATGACGAGCCATTTCAACCAGAGAGGACGCAACCTCGTGTTTAAAGGTCTGCACTTGAAACTGAAGGATTTGAGAAAGAAAGCAGAAGAAGAAGGTTGGAAAAACCGGTACCTCTTCAAAGACCACATCCCAGCGTACCCCCGACCAGAGTTTCATGTGTCTCATCTGAAACACGACACCGACCAAGCTGGATTACGTGGGATCAGGAGGGACGGTGGCTTTAGGAACCCGGCTGATGGCTCTCTGCTGTGGTGGAGTCTGGTTGTGGGATCTGATGAGATAAGGTCCGCTGAGAGGAGGCTCCTGGAGACCACCTACCCAGACCGGACAGAGGAGCAGGCCCAGAAGCAGCAGAGCTTCCTGGAGAAGTTTGCAACCTCCCCAGTCTTCATGGAGTCCTCCAGGCTGGGCTCGTACCGCTTCACCTTCCCCCTGGAGGAGGTTCTGAAGGCCTACAGAGACCAGGTACTGAGGGTCAGATTGGGGTTTATCAGGGTCAGTCAAGGATTGTTGTGGCCTAAAAGTCCTGATTTCACAGCAGCTTCTGTAAAACACTGTGTCGCATGTTGTGATGCTTTTTATGCATTTTTTAGATACAAATTACAGAAATGAAAGGAAAACCCTCTTTTCACTGTTCAGAGAATTTGATGGTCAAAATGGCGCCATCTGCTGGACAACTATTGGTGCTGCGTCTGTAGATGGATAATGACTGATCGATAAAGACTTCACTATGAATTAATTTTTACATAAAAAAACATTATTATTATTATTATTATCATTATTATTATTATTATTATTATTATTATTATTATTATTATTAGTGGTTTTGGTTGCTTTTTAAAAAAAACACTTTTTAAACAAACTACTTACTGTCTCCAGTTTTGTTCCGGTGCTCAACCCGTCATGAGGTTGTTCAGGACCATCCTGTACAAACAGGAAGTGATGTACGCGGTGCTGGTCCACAGCCCGGCCAATCAGCAGCTGTTCTCAGACCTTCCTCTGCTGACTGACGACCCAAACTCTGTGTGCACTTACAGAGACGGACACTTCATCTGGAGGTCTGAGGCCATGTGTGAGACACACAGGTAGGAACTGAGCACTGAGGTTCTGTAACACCTGCTGTCTGCTTCCTGTCTGGTTGTCCTGTTGCTGACTGTTATCTTCTGCCTGACGCTGCTTCCTCTCTCCACTGATCCCACCAAAATATCTGTACGTTTACAGGTTCTTCCTGTGTATGTTTTATAAACATGGAAATATTCATTCAATTACACAAATACAGTGTGAATTCACACCAATCATCAATCCACAATCATAAAAATAATGCTTATTTAAAGAAAATGTACTTTTTTTCACATAAAAAGTTTAAAATATATTTTTTCGCCAGAGAAAGAGAAAAATCAAATAATAACAGCACTCTGCTGTAAGCCTGATTATTTGTATTATAACAGTGTTCCCCTGTATTTATAGCTCATTGCATCGTTTTTACAGTGTAAATATATTTAATTAAACATTAAGAAGACAAAAAATTACACAAGATTTTATGCGAAATTAAAGATAAAAACTAGAAAATGACCAGAATATTGTTTTTTACAGTGCACATTAGATCCCCCAGCTGCTGTTTCCAGCTGTAGTTTCCAGCTGTTGTTTCCAGCTGTAGTTTCCAGCTGTTGTTTCCAGCTGTTGTTTCCAGCTGTTGTTTCCAGCTGCTGTTTCCAGCTGTAGTTTCCAGCTGCTGTTTCCAGCTGTTGTTTCCAGCTGTAGTTTCCAGCTGTAGTTTCCAGCTGTTGTTTCCAGCTGTAGTTTGCAGCTGTTGTTTCCAGCTGTTGTTTCCAGCTGTTGTTTCCAGCCTTCTGCCTTTCAATCTGTCAATGATGTGTAACACAGCTGAAACGAGAACGTTGAAATATTTCCTGTTTCTGTCAGATATAAGTTGGTCCACAGACAATATGAAGAGCAGATGGTGGTGAGGGAGGCGTGTAAACCTCACCAGTTCTATGTTTGGGATAATGTGGGCGTGGTCCTGCATGTGGACAGACAGGTACGACGTGTTTTTATCTGACTGTGATCAAACAAAGCTGCCCTTTATATTTACATTTCTACCAAATGTATGGAAATGTCCCAACACACCTTTGTCTGGGACGTTTCTATACAACCAGAGTTAACTTCCTCTAATCACAGTCTACATCCACTGTTAGCTCGTCATCTTCTTCTGTTCTGGTTCTGATCCTGGTTCTGGTTCTGGTTCTGGTTCTTGTTCTGGTTCTGGTTCTGGTTCTTGTTCTTGTTCTGGTTCTGGTTCTGGCTCTGTTCAGCTTGTGGTTGTGTTCAGGTTGTGGTTCAGGTTGTGGTTCTGTTTCAGGTTCTGCAGTTTGATGCTGGGCGACTGAGGGAGAACCTGACGTTCTGTGATAAAGGACCAGTTACAGTGAAGGGTTCTCCTCATGATCCGTTTGTAGGAGCTGCAGAGATTGTTAAAGAGCTGTGGCCAAACTGTCTCTCTCCACTAAAGAGAGCTGTGTGTTTGTCTTTTTATACATTTATCTGATCAATGTAGTTTTTAACTGTCAATCCCCATTAATGCTAACTGTACAAACACACAACTTTATTATCACTGTACAAACACAACTTTATTATCACTGTACAAACACACAACTTTATTAACACTGTACAAACACACAACTTTATTATCACTGTACAAACACAACTTTATTAACACATTACAAACACACAACTTTATTAACACATTACAAACACAACTTTATTAACACTGTACAAACACAACTGTATTATCACTGTACAAACACACAACTTTATTATCATGAGATGTATGAATGAGCCCATCTCTGTCTTGCAATTCCAGCATGTGTTGGTACTTATTAGTCCTACTTTGAAAATTCTACATGGTTTCCAGTAATACCGGTGTAAAATTTTATATTGAGTCAATTTACCTTTAGTTTCTTTGATATAGTTACCATTATCAGCCACAATTTGATTCCATGTATCTTCATCAATCTGACAATTAAGGACCCTTAAAATTAACCTCAAATCGTTATGTGTAGATCTTTTGTTGTGTTTATCTTCTGATCACAAACTCTGTCAGAATTTTATGTAATTTATAATTAATTAATGATCAATAAAACGTGTGTGCATTAATGAAAGACACCGGAGACCATCCAGACTATTGATTGGTTCAGTACAAGTACCTCCAACTTTACTCTCCACCGCTGCTGTCCTCTGAGTGACTGATGGTTTCAGGACAAAGGATCACGTGCTGCAACCTGCTGGTCCTCGCTGGAGTTTAAATTCATTCTGAGTAACCAGTGACCCAGTTCACATGTACTGAAGTACTGCAACTGACACAACCAGTGTGTTATAATACACTCACACTGTGAAATGTCTCTGTCTTTACCTCTGTTCTGTCTCTCTCTCTCTCTCTGTGAGTGGAAGAGCTGGATGAAGTTGAGTGTTTTTCTCTATTTCTATTTCTTTCTTTCGGTATATTTTCGTTGTGTTGTGTTTGTGAATGTAGTTGTGTTAGTTTGCTGTTGCTTTGGTTGTTTGTTGGTTAGTTTAATGTTTGTTTGTTTGTTGTTTGTCAGCCTCGCTCTGAGGCATCGGTATGGCGTCCAGCAGCGTTTTCTCTAGGCTGTGAAGTCCGCTGCTCTGATGAACAGTGCGGTGGTCCTGTTCCTGGAGAAGGTAGAACAGGTGAACAGGTTGGTGGAGACGGGCATTACGGTGAATGGGATGTTTGAGCCGGTGATTCCGCTGATACAGCCGGCTACAAGGATCACTCTGTCAAACGTTCCTCCGTTCATCAGTGATGATTTCCTGATTAAAGAACTGTCCAGACATGGAAAGGTGGTGTCACCAATAAGAAAAGTGCTGTCGGGCTGTAAGTCTCCCCTCCTGAGACATGTAGTGTCTCACCGCAGACAGCTCTTCATGTTGCTAAACAACAAAAACGAGGAGTTTGATTACCGGTTCAGAGTCCGTGTGGATGATTTCGAAAAGAATGTTTCTGTGCATATTAAAAACTGTTGTACTTGTCAGCTAACTGGTAAGCCCAATGAGGTTGTTAAACTCACTCCGTTGCAGCCGATTCCAGCTATGAGTCAATGGTTTGAGGACTTGATCATTGATTGTGTGGGGCCACTTCCCCAGGCGAGGTCTGGAAGACAGTATTTGCTAACAGATATGTGTCAAAGAACTAGATATCCAGCAGCTTATCCTTTGCGCACAATTACTGCAAGGTGTGTGGTTAGGTCGCTGACACAATTTATATCTGTGTTTGGCATACCCAGAGTCATTGAGACTGACCAGGTGTCTAACTTTTCATCACAGCTGGTTCCATAGTGTAGTGGTTAACACGTCTGCTTTACACGCAGAAGGTTCTGGGTTTGAGCCCCAGTAGAACCACTATGTTCTTTAGGGGCAGCAGTAGCTTAGTTTATAGGGACTTGGCTTGGGAACAGGAGGGTCGCAAAGTCCCAAAGACCACAATATGGAGTGTGGACTGGTAGCTGGAGAGGTGCCAGTTTCACCTCCTGTGCCCTGCCTTGAGAAAGACACCCAAGAAACTGCTCATGGGGGTGTTGCTAACGTGGCAGCACATCATTCCACCTACTCTCTCCCTGTTTGCCACAATGTCCACAAGCCCTACAGTGTGCATTTCAGTCTGTGTATAAAATACAGTTTCTCCAATAGGGGATTAATGAAAGTGAATCTTAAATCTTAGTGGGTCCACTGCTGGTGTTTAAGGCTGGGTTAAAGGAGTCAGAGCCCACCAATCTTATTGATGTGATGACCCCTCCCCCCTCTGGTTGGTCTGGGTCTTCCACAGGAGACACAGTGGCAGAGGGTGTGGCCATGGCATGGGCTACACCTGGTTTCTCCTGATTGCTGCTCTTTGTAAATGGTTGATCGGTGATCAGTCGCTCTCTCTTCTTCCAGCCGGCAGGTTCTTGGTTTGTTGCTGTCTTTGGTTTTGATACAATCTTTGGATATATGCATTACCATTTTCCACACACACACATTACACTACTGACCTCATTGACGTACACATACATATGATAATTTGTTATTGTGAATATTGTTTAATTAAACTTATTTTTGTTTAAAACCTTTAAATTCTGTGTGTGGTCTATTATGTTTGTATAGGACTCAATAACCACACCGTGTAGCTCCGTTCGTGTTGCGTTTTTTACTGACCTGCCGCACACCTTACATTTTCCAACCCTGCCGTACATCACCGCTGTGAGCCTTAAAGGCACAGTAACCTGTCACTCGCGGTGCATAACATATAGACCAACAGGCCACAATACTGCACATTTCAGACATAACATGGTCTCCCTCCTTTGTCACAAGCCTAGAGCAGGTTCATGACAAAGTGGAGGCTTGTCAAAAACTAATAGTTTGGTAGTTTTTTTTGCTTAGTTTGTAGTAGTGACAATTGTTTTTGCCTTTCCTGATGTTTAACATTGTGGAAGTGTTTTGTTTTGGTGCCATTTGTTCACTTGGGTAAATTGTTCTGGGAGATGCACATAGACTTTTGAGTTTTGGTTTTTGAAGATGGGAAGCTCTCATAGCTCGTTTTTGTTGCAGTCTGTGTTCTTAGTAAATGGACAATTAATTTTTTTTGGAGTCCTTTTCCCCTGTTAGGTTTTAGACAGCTGGTTCTGTTTAGGGAATCCGTTGGGTTTTGCTTTTGTAGTGTAGTGGTAAACGTGGGTAGAGCATTGCTTGGGAACACCTCAGTGGATTCTAGGAGGGTCGCTGGTTAACCAGTTGCTTTCCCACCCCACTGATTTCAAGTGTATAAGTACCCCCCACAATTAACCACTTGAAGACTAGGGTTCAGTTAGTTTGAGTGAGATAGACTGGGGGATTGGACCATTCAGGGTTTAAACCTACACTGTTCAAGCTGACACGTGCTGACATGCAACTGTAAGCGTAATTTCCAGTTAACTTCCTGTTCCTGTGTACAGTATTTGCTGCTGTAGCTCTGTCTAGTGAACGCTAAAAACATATTTTTACTTGTTACAGCGGTTATTTACCCACTTAACATTTAAATGTAGACTAGTTCTACTTAAGCCCTCGCAGCCAATTCCTTTTTGCGACTTTTCGCTAAAAAATTACAAAGTTTTCACACATGCTAGCTTCATTAGCATTTAAACGCTCAACGATGGCTTCTCCCTCTTCCTCTGCTGCTTGTTATTCACGTCGGGTGTAATGACACCCAATTACACCAATCGAAGGTCACTAAGATTAATGTGGAGTCGGTGTGTAGATTTGATAAAACTACGTCGGACTCGGTAGTTTTCTCTGGACCCCTGCCCAATGTGACCAGTGATGACATGTATAGCCGCATGTCGTCATTCCACCGCTGGCTGTCGAGGTGGTGTCCAGAAAACGATGTGGGCTTCATTGATAACTGGAAGCCTTTTTGGGGAAAGATTGATTAGGAGAGACGGCATCCATCCCACTTTGGATGGAGCGGCTCTCTTATCTAGAAATATGGCGAAGTTTATTTCTAAAACCTGACAGTCCAGAGTTAGGACCAGGAAGCAGAGCTGCTGTCTTACACACTTCTCTGCGCTTTCTTTAGAACAGTCACCCACCCAAAACCCCATAGAGACTGTGTCTGTCCCCCGACCACCTAAATTATTAAAGAAATAAAAACAAGAGGAGTTAAACATAAAAATCTAATAAAAATTAAAACCAACTCCTCAGTAGCACAAAATAAGAGAATGAAATGTGGACTGTTAAATATCAGGTCTCTGTCCTCTAAAGCTGTTTTAGTGAATGAATTAATATCAGATTATGATATTGATTTACTTTGTCTTGCCGAGACCTGGTTGTCCCACGAGGAGTATGTTCCCCGAGGCACTGGCCGAGGAGGTGGAGTAGCAGCCATATATAATTTGAGCGTTTTAATTGACCCTAAACTATTACTCATTTGAAAGCCTTGTTCTTAGTCCTTCTCACCCATCCTGGAAAACACTGCAGCCAGTTCTATTTGTTATAGTGTACCGCGCTCCTGGACAGTTTTTAATCAAGTTTAGTCCTTAAATCAGATAAAGTAATTATTGTAGGTGATTTTAATATTCATGTGGATGTTAACAATGACAGCCTTAGTAATGCATTTATATCATTAATAGACTCAATTGGCTTCTGTCAGAGTGTAAATAAACCAACTCATTGTTTTAATCACACTCTTGACCTTGTTTTATCATATGGCATTGATATTGAACATTTAATAGTCTTCCCACATAATCCTTTCCTATCTGACCATTATTTAATAACTTTTGAATTCATACTATTAGATTATAAGCCATTAGGCAAAACTTCCTACAGCAGATGTCTATCTGACAGTGCTGTAGCTAAATTTAAGGAGGAGATTCCTTCAGTGTTTAATTCAATGCCATGTCTGAATTTAACAGAGTCCTATAACGACTTTAGTCCCTCTGAAATTGATAATCTTGTCGATAGTGCTACAGGCTCACTACAATCAACTTTAGACTTTATCACTCCTATAAAAAGGAAATTATTGAAACATAGGAGACTAGCACCGTGGTACAACCACCAAACCCGCCAATTAAAGCAAAAAACAAGGAAATCTGAAAGGAAATGGCGCTCTTCCAAATTATTAGAATATCGCTCAATTTGGCAAGATAATCTTAAAACTTATAGAAAGGCCCTCCGTAATGCCAGAGGAGCCTATTACTCAGCACTAATAGAAGAAAATAAGAATAACCCTAGGTTCCTCTTCAGCACTGTAGCCAGGCTGACAGAGAGTCACAGCTCTATTGAGCCACATATCCCCATAAACTTAAGTAGCAATGACTTCATGAGCTTCTTCTATAATAAAATTATTACTATTAGAGAGAAAATTAATCACCAACTGCCATCAACAGTTATCAGTGGCTCTCCAAGTTCAGGGACTTTAACTAATGTAAACTTAGATATATATTTAGACTTCTTCTCTTCGGCTTTTGATACCATGTAGAGCGTTGATTCTATGTGTACACATGCATATTTTTATCTTGTGTGGGCAGTGCTTTTTATTTATTTCTGTTATTTATTTTACTTATTTTATTTTATTTTATTTTATTGCTTTTATCTCTTATTGTGTATCTTCGATTGTGTTATTTATTTATTCTGTATATCTTTTTGTGCAGCACTTTGGAAACCTTGTGTTTGTTAAATTCGTGCTATATAAATAAAGTGGATTGGATTGGATTGGATAGACTGTTTTTCTGCTATCGATCTTCATCAGTTAACTTCAGTAATTTCTACATCGAAGCCATCAACCTGTCTATTAGACCCGATCCCAACTAGGCTGCTTAAAGAAGTTGTTCCCTTAATTGGCACTTCTTTACTGGATATGATTAATCTTTCTTTATTATCAGGATATGTACCACAGTCCTTTAAAGTAGCTGTAATTAAACCCCTTCTTAAAAAGCCCACTCTTGACCCAGGGGTTTTAGCCAACTATAGACCGATTTCTAACCTCCCCTTCCTCTCTAAGATTCTGGAGAAAGTAGTCGCCAAAGAGTTGTGTGACTTTCTACATAACAATAGTTTATTTGAGGATTCAGAGTCAGGATTTAGAGTTCATCATAGCACAGAGACAGCTCTGGTTAAAGTTAATAATGACCTTCTGACTGCTTCAGACAATGGACTTGTCTCTGTACTTGTATTATTAGATCTTAGTGCTGCATTTGACACCATTGACCATAATATTCTTTTACAGAGACTTGAGCATCAAATTGGCATTAAAGGAACCGCACTAAGCTGGTTTAGGTCATATTTATCAGATCGCTCGCAGTTTGTACATGTTAACGATGAATCTTCATTAAATACTTCAGTTAGTCATGGAGTTCCACAAGGTTCTGTACTTGGACCAATACTGTTTACTTTATCCGGATGGCTAGTGTGACGTAAAGAATCGTTAGGAATCACTTCCGTGTCCATTAGCATTTTTAGGTCACGTAAACAACAATGGCAACAGCACAGGAACCGGTCACCTTTTATACAGTGACAGCCTACTTTACTGACATCCCAAAGTCTGTTCAAAAGGGTCTTAACTCCTATAATTCAAATAGGGTAATAACAGTTAGTTCAATGTCAGGTGGAAGTCTAAATGAGAAAGTAAGGGTGTTGGCTAGCTAGCTAATGTAAACACGGGGCGTTGCTGACTGTCTTTTAGCTGTCTTAGGGTTTGGCGAGGGTTAGCTAGCTTAGTTGTTTTCACTCAGATACACGTTGAGGGACAGGAGGTGAAGGCAAGTACCTGCTCTTGTGCTATCAGGAGGGCCAAGTGTCACCATGTAGCAGCCCTGCTGATTTGGGTTGAAAAGAACCTAACCCGCATGGATGTGGAGTGTGTGTGGAAGAGGGCCCCGGCACCCAAAACAGATGAGGTCACAGCGAAGAGGGTGTCTGTGATTGCACCTTCCACATCTCAAGGTCAGTACATAAATTAATTCAGAGTTATCAATCATGATTGCAGTTTTATTATTGCAGAAAAATCATGATCCTACCTAAGTTTTCTTTGAATACTAAAAGCTAAGCCCTGTCTGGCTTTAGTGTTATAAATGAATGGTGATGCTACTGACAGCAGTTATGTGAGATAGGAGATGGTTTCAAGGAGATGGTATAATCTATTTTATTAACCCTTTTATGCTATTATTTCAGCTGGAATTAAACAACCTGTCACCCAGGAGGACAGAGAATGGACACTGAACTCCTTGGCACAGCTGGGCCGTTTTTACAGGTCTGGGTTGGATTTTGGCAACAGAAATACCTCAGGTTTGACTTCTGTCCTTTGTATTTTTGATTTGTCACGTCCTGCTATATTAGAAACATGACAAGTACACTACATTAAATCAGTTACAAATTAGCTAAGTTTGATTGTTATCCCACCACACCATTTCCCACTGACAATGATACCAATAGATATAAACCATTGCAAATCAGACATCAAACACACTTTGAATGTATTTTGTTTGTACTGTGTTGCCAAACAACATATGTGGTCCATGTCTTACTGAACATCATTGACCAACATTTTCTGTCTAATTTCATGATATTTGTCTGTTTTACTTCAAATTTAGACCGTCCCTATCAAGACCTTTTTGATGGGGTAGTGACCAGCCCAGGTTATGGCAATGCAGAGGACAAAGCTCTGTATGTGCGTTCATTGCTTGCGGTCAGCCCACACGAGAAAGAACCCATTGAGAGAGCCACAGTTGGGCAAACTAAGAATGCCTTATGGTAATGATACATACAAAGATAGTCTCTATTGATTTCAGGTGTACAGTATTGACTAGCTTTCTCTCCATTAGTGCTGGAAACATCCCTGTGTGCTACATGGACAAAATGCACCTGTGTTGCAAGTGGCATGAGGTTAACTGTTATGGTTTTCTTTTAACAGGACGGCATATCGCCAGAAAAGAATCACAGCCAACAACTTCGGTTTGGTGTTTGCAGCAGTGAAGCGGAACTCTTACCCTCCCTTATTCAAAACCCTGCTTGGCCAATACAACCTTAAACAAGGATCTCATGTAAGTGGTGGGCACTAAGTGATTTTAATTGAAGCATACTTCCATACTACCGTAAAACTTCCAATAAAAGCAGGGTCCCTAATAGACGCAGGTCTCTTTTAAAAGCCTGGTGTGGCTACATGTTTTGACAAACGCAGGTCTCCAATAGAGGCCTGGTCTGGATTTTACAAAAAATTATCTTGATGTATAAAACCTCTTAAAACCCACCAGGTCGCCTGCTTGAGCGAGTTTTAAGTTGTTTTGATGTCCTACACAGATATAAATGTTATACAACAAAGTAAAACGTTAATTCATTCTGACTTACCGGTAACACGGTAAACAAGAGAGACGGGAAAAAAACCTCGGAAGCGATCATAATAATCATGTTAGTTGTCAAATTTGCTGAACAAAACTCAAGAGAAGCAGCAGTTAGTTTAGTTTAGTTTTGTGCTAAAGGAATTAAAGGCCTGTCTCAAATAGAGGCCTGTCCCCAATAAAGGCAGGGGGAGTTCAGTGATTAAAGCAAATAAACGCCTGGGCTATTATTAGAAGTTTTACGGTATACATAGAATTGTATTTGAAAAGACTAAATAAAAACATGAATGTATAAATAATTAATACTACTATGTCAGTGTTATGCCTAGAGTATAGGAATGCATACTACATCCAGTCAGATTTTGTAGTGTGCAAAGCCACCACTTTTGTGTCTTTTAGTATGGATGTATGCAATACGGAATGCAGGGATAGTCTTCAAGATTACACCTTTTTCCTTCCCTGCCCCCAGGCTTGTGATTGGGGAGTCCTCCATGAGCCAAAGGCAAAGCAGGCATACATGGAGCGCACTGGTGTGACCATCCAGGAGAGGGGAGTGTTCCTTTCTGACAGCGGCCTGCTCGGTGGCTCTCCAGATGGGATGGTGGCCGATGACTTCATCATTGAGGTGAAATGTCCCTATTCAGCCAGAACCAAGACCAACCTGCAGGCAGTGGAGAAAAATGACTTTTCTAGAACTGGATGAAGTCACTGGCTTACTGAAGCTCAAGCAAACCCACAACCACTGGCATCAGATTCAGGGCAATCTGCACCTGACAGGAGCCAACAGTTGTCATCTTGTGGTGTGGACTTCTCTTGACCTTGTAATCCTGCTCATCCATAAAGACCCAGCATGGGCTAACAACATTAACATTCTAGAAACATTTTATAAGGATTGTTTCCTACCTCGCATTCTGTCAGAAATGTAAAATGGTTAGTGTATTGACCCTGCATTCATGACCTGTTCTAGTACAGGATTTCATTCAACAATAAACTGACTGGGAGTGGGAGCAACTGTGTGAAGACTGTGTGAATTTTTGTCTGCTAGTTCAGCTTGTTTTGCACCTAGCCTGTCAAAGTGTATGTCCAAGTAATTCCCTCAATTATACATCCAACTGATGGTGGCTTAAACTGAATGATTTTGATGTGACAGACAAAAATATAGACATGAGTAAGACATGAGTACAACCATGACATTTATTTTTAAGGATTTCCGTTTCAGGCATGAATTGGTGTGGTGTCTTTCAAATCACAACCATTGTTCTAATGATTTAAGCAAAGACACTTGAAAATGTTGTGACAGACAATTCATGCTATTTCACGGAGAATGGGCTTCCGTGAATTTGTAAGACAAACACATACTTTCAGGATCTTGTTGACATGCATCTTATACTGGTATGGGATGTAGGTCAAAATGTCAAACGTTTTCAGACGTTGTATGGAACGCTCGACATGAATCCTTGCACTGCCAACGAGTCTGTTGTGGTTAACTTTCTGCACTGTGAACTGTCCATTGACAAGGAATGTTGGGATGTTCAGTGAAACTCCCTCAGGCAAAATGTCACGAATAGTGAATCCCTTATCTGCCATCACCATGTCACCTGGTTCTAGCTGTTGGAGTACTCCGCAGTCAGCTGTTAGCTGTTATCACCTTGTCCGAGGTACTTCCACCATATAGGTCACTGGCAAAGGTTATAACTCCATTGGGAGCCACACCGATCAGAACTTTAAGTGTGGTGCGTCCTTTGTAATGACTGAACAGATGACTCTGGGTGTCCAGTCTTTCTGTGTTGGAGACGGCCACTTCAGTGCAGTCGAGCACAATCCGACAGTCGGGAAATGGCTGGAAGCAATCTGGCAGGGATGTTTGGTTCTTGACTCTGGAAGGGATGTTGTTTTACATCATGCCGACATACAAAATGTCATACAATGCACTGCTGATGGTGGTGAAGATGTTGGTGACTGTGGCACGGCAGCAATTAAACCTTGTTGCAAGGTCTAGGATGCCACAATTCAGTCGGAGCTTCATCAAAGTCAGGAGTAGCTGATCGATAAGGGGCATAATTTGGACATTCCAATCAAAGTGATACTGGAGATCAAATTTGGAAAGAAGGGCTTCCAAAAAGAGGACAGTGGCAGCATCTGGCAAGCCAGTGTAGTGATTGACTTTGTCAGGGTGGGAGGAGATTTGACTGAATGAAAATGTTTGTTTTGGTTTCTCAGATTCTCGTTTCAGTTGGTCATTTTCTTTTCTGAGCATATCATTCTCAATTTCAAGCACCACAACACTTGAAGTACCAGGGGTCTGTGTAGCAACATCAAGGTGGTTTGGGCCTGGTCCAGCTGTTCCTTCATCCTCCACGCTCGCAGGGACCATTCCTTTTTTACGTTTGGTGGGGATGTGGTTGGGGAAAGCCTTTCCGTTATTCCATGCAAACCGTGTTGGTCCAGCTGCTTTGCCATCAGGAAAATGCCACCCACAGACCCTCGAGTTGTAGTTCGGGGGGAACTTGTCACGCCTGCAAATAGAAAAAAAAATTAACAATTCAAATTAGCAATTAACATCTTACATCTCAGGCTCCCTCCAACTTGCAGAACCAACTTCTATTATCAGATGTGTTGTTTAGCTACCGTAAATCCTCAAATTATGGCCGGGATTATAATAATAATCAATTAATTAATAATAATTATTAATAATATTATAATTGCCTACCAGTAGGGCTTTCAGTCTACGAGCACTAGAAGACATTGTTTCGATTCAACTCAATGAAATAAAAGAGCTCTTCTTAATGTTTTATGTTATTGGTTTGTTTAATACTGTTGCCAATGAAAAGTCGTTGTAGCCTACACCATGGGTCTCCAACACGTCGCTCTCAAGCTACCAGTCGCTTGCCGCCCCCTTCTGGGCTTGCCAGAGGCTGAAGCAGTTACTAGGCCTAACCTATTACATTTAAACACTATTGTTGCGGCGAGGCATTCCAGCCTACGAGTTTAATGAAAAGTAAATCATACATCATTAAAAAATAACTCCATTTAGGCTACTTGGCTACGCAATAAGATTTCCATTAAAGCACAGCGCACGTTCAATGAATGAATGAAAGCGGCTGCCTTGTCTGCAATAAACGCATTGAACTCTTTCAACTACATGAAACTTAATAGTGAACCATCAAATACCCCCCAGATTTCCGTGCCCATCAGTCCCAACATTTAGCAATATAATCAGTCCAAAAGTAAATTAAATCCCAAACCAAACCTAGCTAGTAATGTTAGGCTAGCTAGTAACCGCTAGCCTGTTATTATTGTTATTATTGTTATTATTGTTCATCATTTGAGATCCAACTTACCGTATCAACTTCAGCCATCACAAAACAATTATTGTACTTCGCCCCATAATCCTTAGAGACTCACTGTCTAAAGATATAGTCACTCTAGATGGCATTAACTTGGCCTCTAGCACCACTGTCAGGAATCTTGGAGTTATCTTTGATCAGGATTTGTCATTTAACTCCCACATAAAGCAGACCTCTAGGACTGCCTTCTTTCATTTACGTAACATTACAAAAATTAGACACATCCTATCACAGACAGATGCAGAAAAACTAATCCATGCATTTGTTACTTCAAGGCTGGATTACTGCAACTCTTTATTATCAGGTTGCCCCAATAAGTCCATTAAAACGCTCCAATTAATTCAGAACACTGCAGCACGAGTACTGACAGGATCTAGAAAAAGAGATCACATCTCTCCTGTACTAGCTTCTCTGCATTGGCTCCCTGTAAAATGTAGAATAGAATTTAAAATCCTCCTCCTCACCTATAAAGCTCTTCATGGTCAGGCCCCTTCATATCTTAAAGAGCTCATAGTACCCTATTACCCCACTAGAACACTACGTTCTCTGAATGCTGGGCTACTTGTGGTTCCTATAGTCTCTAAAAGTAGAACAGGAGCCAGAGCCTTCAGTTACCAAGCTCCTCTCCTGTGGAACCAGCTTCCAGTTGTGGTTCGGGAGGCAGACACCCTCACCACATTCAAGAGTAGGCTTAAGACATTCCTCTTTGATAAAGCTTATAGTTAGGGCTGGATCAGGTGAGCCTGAACCATCCCTTAGTATGCTGCTATAGGCCTAGACTATCGGGGGGATTTCCCATGGTGCACTGAGCTCCTCTCTTCCTCTCTCTTTCTGCACTCATTCATGTCCCATTAATGCATGTTACTAACTTCACTTCTTCCCCGGAGTTCTTGTGCTTTCTCGTCTCGCAGGTTCTTATCGATCCTGGTGGAGCCTCCTGCCATGGTCCTGCTAGATTGCCATTGCCAATATCACTGATATTATTGTTATTATTATTATTATTAATATTATTCCTCTCAGACTGTCATTAATATCAACAATCCATCACAGCCTCACTTCATACACAAATGTATATATCTATAGCAATAACTGCCCCTCTATTGTTTGTATATTGGGAACAAGTTTGCCCCACATCCTGTCACATTTCATTGGTTGCCCTTTAACATTGTACAGGATTGTTTCTGGGGGGCAATATGACAATAGTTAATGTACATTTTGTTGCTGCTGTCATTATTAATCATATTAGTTTCTTCTCCTCATTATTAATCTCTTTGAGCATTTCTGCTTCACCCAGAATAGATATTGGGGGGGTCCAGTGTAATTACTGGCTGCAGTATTTCTGATATATGTTTATAACGGTTGTTCCAAAAAACTTCAATCTGTACATTTCCAAAACATGAGCACAAGGTCTGCATTATCTGAGTTACAACATATCTGGTTACTCATCTGGTTACAATATGTGAACTTTTGATAAGAACTGAGAGCCTTTCCACTGCCACTAAGAAGAGTGATGGTGAAATTGGACAGCCTTGTTTTCTACCTCTGTTCACTGTAAAACGAGGGGAAGAACCACCTGATAAAGATATTGAGCTGTTGCTGTCGTGATAAAAGCATTTCATTACGTTTCTGAAATTCTCTCTAAAGCCACTCAGTTCCAAAGATCTGTTCTACCACATCAACAGCTTTATACAAATACAGACAAAGAATAAAGCCATCATCATTGATATAATCACTGTATTCAAGCAGGTCTAGGACTCGGTGCTCGTTGTTATACATTGGTCAACCTCTCATAAATCTTCTCGTCTCCAACTTGTGCAGAAGCTGCTGCCCGATTTTTAACAAGCAGGTCCAGAGAACAATTACCCCTGTGCTGTCGTCACTCCACTAGCTTCCAGTCCATTTTAGAATTGATTTTCAACTTCGTTGTTTGTTTTTAATGCCATTAATGGCTTGGCCCCCTCTTACTTGTTAGAGATTTTAACTTTGCAATTGTGACAGAGCCCTGCGCTCTTCGGGTCAGCTTCTGTTAGAGGTCCCTAAGTCGAGACTTAAACAGTGGGTGATCGTTCTTTTGCCATCGCTGCTCCCAGACTGTGGAACAAACTGCCCCATGACATTCGCACCACTACTGATCTCAGCCTTTTTAAATTGAAGCTTAAGACCCACTTTTTAGATTAGCATTCAATTCTGACTAGGGCAGTACTGTCTCCTAGGTGTACTCTTTCTGTCTGCTCTTTTCTATGCATTTCTGGAAGGCTTTTAATACCCTGCAGCGCCGCAGCACTTTTAATTGTATTTGTATGTTATGTATATGTTATGTATTGTTTTATGGCTTTGTTGTAAAGCACTTTGGGTACCTTTCGGCTATTGTAAAGGGCTATACAAATAAACTTGATTTGATTTGATAAATCCTGACTGGGTGTCACTGAGGGTTTGGGAGATTCCTTCTTTGAGACAATTTGAAGATATGAGAGTCAGTATTTAGTAATCATTGTTGAGGAGCTTCCGCTATATACACGTGTACATTGGACACTGTTTCTGCTGCTGTCAGTGTCTCTGTACTCGTCCCTCACACATACACATTTAATAAAAGATCATTTTACTATTCAGAGACTTTTACCTTTAAAACATGATGAATATGGGCGCCCAGTTATCTCAGTTGGTAGAGCTGGTGACCCATATACGGAGTTGCTGCAGCGGCACAGGTTCAAATCTGACCTGCAGCCCTTTGCTGCGTGTGTTCCTCTCTCTCCACCCACCTTTCCTGTCTCTCTACAGCTGTCACTATCAATAGAGCCAACAAAAGGCCAAATAAATAACTTTGAAACAAACATGATGAATATAATCATCCTCTTTATCTCTAACTGCTCTGTTCCACTGTCACACTGACCTTCACTGGTAATATCTTCACTTTATTCACAGTGTTAATGTATGGAAACATCCTCTCAGTGAAAGTGTGTGTGAAGGTGTGTATGTGTGTGTTAGTATCAGGATCAGAGAACGACAGCTTTCCTCTGTTCCAGTCCAGATTCACTCTGATCCTCTGGACCTTCTTCTGAACTACGAGACCAGTGGATGGAGCTGGTGGTGACCGTGCTGAGTATTTACCTTTATAGAACTGTATTCTCCATAATCCAGACTCTATGATTCCCTTCCTCTGGACAGACTCTGCAAACACACCGAGTAACCAGACTGTACTGTATCCAACCTCGACATCCCAGCTGTGAGTCCCTGAGTTAAAGCCCTCAGAGCCCAGAACAGAGCCATAATAATCAATGTTGAAGGTCAGGTTGCCCAGGTGTTTGGCCTCGTCTATCAGAGCTCCTGAGGGCAGCTGTGGATCCTCCAGCAGGGGGCGCTGCTGGACTCTTTCCACTTTCTTGTAGTTGTTCAGGAATGAGACGTCTTCAGCTCTCAGCTCCTCCTCTGTGGCTCTGACTGTGTCTGAAAGAGCTGCTATCTCACTGCTCAGAGCCTCCATCTTCTCCTTCATCATCTGACTCTTCTGCTCCTCTTCCTCCCTCAGTGCAGCCAACCTGGCCTCCTCTTCCTCTTCTAGAAACTGGTGAAGCTTCTTAAACTGCTCCTCAATCAGCCTCTGTGGCTGGTGGGCTGTAGCGGCTGTGTTTTATTGTGATTCTGGTGCTCTCTAAAGCGACATCTAGTGTCAGTGAATTTCATCAAGAAGTGTATAATAACCTTTAACTGACAGCTGATATTAAGAAGAACAAAGATTATTTATTCATAATAAAGTTATTAGTTACCATCTGCTGTCTGTTCATCTGTTTGGCTCTTTGACTTCATTTGGATCCCAGATTTTAAACTTTAAAATAATGAGTTTGACCAAAAACTAAATAAAATAAGTTGATTGAATTTATCCGCACAAAATCCAGAAGCTGCAGCTGATAAATGGTTTGTGTTTACTCCATAAATGAGTCAAACTGATGATGAAAATAATTGTAATTATTATGATTGGCAACTTTATTTGTCACATACGTTTCCTGTGGACAAATGTTCAGCTGAGTTAAAGGCGTCTCTACTGTCTCTATAATTACATCATTCTTTGTGGTTAAACACAGAGGAAATCATTCTGAAATTACAGACAGAAAATAAAGCACCGGCCAACATTTTAATGATCATTTAAATTCATGAGCAGTAGTGACGTCTCCCGTGGCCCCAAAGTTTCAATAAAAAACATGAAAGAAACATAATAACACAGATGATGTGACCAGAGAAACAGCAGGAAGTGAAATACAGACACACAGCGCTACAGGAGCTCCCATGTTGTTCAATAACAGACAAAGTGATTAAAAAATGTACCAAAATGTCACCTTGAGGAGATTCACCATCAGACAATAATCCCTCTTTCTTCTAAGAGTCTCATCAATTCTTTCTGCGTTAAGACGAACGCGAAGACAAACAACGAGGCGTCTGCAGTTCGAGTCCGATTGTTTCCGTCTGTCCATCTTTTGTTGATCCTCTCGTCTTTGTCCGTCTTCCCCTCGCTGTCCACAGGGAGGACGAACAGCACCGCTCTGCTCAGACTGAACGGGCCAATGCAACGTGGAAACACAAGTTTGGTAAATGAAGTTTTGTATCAGGTTGGATTTGATGCAGGAGCTCGTTGGTCCCGAGCGTCGACCACCAGGGTTGAGGGTTCAATTCTCAGACGACGTCTGGTGGTTCACGAGGCCGACGGCGTGCAACGTAGGAATGATTTATGCTGATGTACAGAACCAGGAGAGGAGATCTGATTGGGTTTCCCATGATGCTCTGTTTCATCCCGAACATCTGGGAGTGTGTGTGGCTATTAAATATCGGCACAGGAGCGTGGATGGATGACCAGACAAAGTCGCGTTGAGTCTCCGGGGTCGCATTGAGTCTGTTAGTGACACTTTGCAGTGACAGTTCTCAGGTGCTGCTGATGGTTTAAATGCTGCAGCTGAACTTCAGTATTTAGATGAAACGGACATAAAAGAGACTTCAGAAGAAATTCATGCTGCTACACCAGAGTTGGGCCTTTTAACGACATTACTGGAGTTTGTGTTTGGCTGCAGATTCTCGATATGAAGAGACTCTGATCAGGACAATAGGAAATGTTAATGGTTTCTATAAACAGGGGCCCTTTATCCCCAAGGGCCCCTGGGTCTGTGCCTGGTGGACCCCGTCACTAACCCATCCACAGACTGCAGATACACACTGAAACAATAAAAGAAAACGCAGCACACTGGCCTCAGGTCTGCAGTCTGACCGCTTTATGTCTGTATATTGTTGTACTTGAAGAGTTCGAGAGAAACAAACTCCGGCGCTTTCTTCCTCCGTCGTCGGTTTCAGGCGTCCGAGTCGTCGCTGCTGTCGCGGCTGATCTCGATCTGCAGCGACGGCAGGTTGTCCAGCCGGCTCTTCTTCATCTTGTGGGTCACACGCTCCTGTTTCTGTTTGATCATGGCGCCCCACATCTTCTGCAGCGTCGAGTCGTCTTCCTCCTCCACCTCCTCTTCCTCCTCGCCGTCGCCTCGTCTGCTGCCGGCGGCACTGCTGCCAGCTTTACTCATGGCCGAGGAGGAAGAGGAGGGGGAGAACAGGCCAGACGACCGGCTGCTCGAGCCTCGCTCATGACGCACGGCGCCGCCGCCATCGTCGTCAGCGGAGCCGAGTCTGCTCCACAGGCCGCCTGCAGACAGGAAGGACGTTAATTAACACTAATCAATAAATAATCAATCAGAAGTGATGCTAACTTTGATTATTGATTAATCCGCCTCCTACTTGTCTTTCTGTCTTTGGATGAGTTGGAGAAGAGTCCTCTGTTGTCCTGACTGACCACGCCCAGTCTGCGGTGTACGTCTCTGACTGGCTCTCTGGCCGGAGGCGTGTCCCTGGGGGAGGCAGGGGAGGGGGAGCGCCGTCCGTCGGGGGAGTAACGCCTTTTCCCGAGCCGCTGCCGTACGTCTGCAAACACCAGAGAGTCACCGGGGTCAGTTATTGTGTCACAGCAGCAGCTGAACCAATCACAAAGCTCGGATCCAACAGACCTGTCTTCCCGCTGGCAGCCACCGGGGGGGGCTGTACGTGCTGAGAGAGGCCCTGTCTCTTCTCCTCCAGCAGCTGACGCACATCCGTCACCTTGGCAGGCGACGTGGATTTGGGCCTGCTCTGTGATCCCGACCCCCCGATCCTGTTCCTGCTCGCAGGACAAAAAACATCATCAGCTGATTAAACCCATTAAAGACATATGATGATTATTATTATTATTAGTATTAGTATTAATATTATTATTATAGATGTCTGTCTGTCTGTGTCTGTGTCTGTGTCTGTCTCTCTCTCACCGGATGCTCTTCAGGTGCGTGTCCAGCTCGTCGGCGTACATCGTCATCTTCTTGCTCTTCTTCGGTGACGGCGTGGAGATCATCTTCAGCTCCAGGTCGTAGTCCATCTCGTCCGACTCCGACCAGGGAGACGGCGAGCGCTCGGCCCGGCTGCGGAGCCCCGCCCCCACAGGACGGGAGCCACCGCTGCTGGCACCGCCCCTTTCGCCTCTCTCCCGGTCCCCTCGCTCTTTGTACTCCACCACCCGGTCGTCTGAGTCCATGTCCTCGTCGCCGTCTTCCTCGTCCTCGTCCTCCTCCTCTTCCTCCTTGATGGGCTCCTCGGGCAGGTTGACCAGGTCAGCTGAGGGGAGAGTATTAGATTGATTAATGATTTAATATAATAAATAGTTATTAATAATGTATTGATCAGTGAAAACGACTTCCAGAAGAGAAAGTGTGAACAGAGGTTAACTGGTTGTTCAGCGGTGTTGCTGTTACCGGAGTGTCGGTGTGTGTACGGCGGCGTGTGTCCCATGCTGTCTCCAATCAGAGGCTTCTTGCTCTTGATGACGTCTCGCTGGATCCGCCGGTTGTGGTACCTCCTCTTCCTGCAGAGACAGAGGACAAACAGAGGACTGTAACATCCACACTACGATGGGGGAGATAACAGACGATGCTCAGTTCACTGTGGGGGTTCATTCATACAGCGTACGGGGTTTCTCACCAGGAGTTGCTGAGGATTCCCTTCATGCCTCCATAGTTCGGGTTCCCGTACTTCATGTAGTATCTGCTGCGACGAGCGGCACCCAACTCCTTCTTATCGTCTGCACAAACACATACAACACAGAATTATTATTAATATATAATAATATTATTCTTCTTCTTCTTCCTTTGTTTCAGCTGTGGTTCAGGACGAGCAGTGAAAATAACCCCGAACCCGCGGCTGCGTCCTCTGAACCTCAGGGTTTGTTCTAATCAACGCTTCATTTTACAAACTCATATTATGAAACAAATATGTTTAGTTCCTCTTGAATATTATTTACTGTTACTATCTATAATATAAAGTATTAAGGTGTAACAACATTAGGAGGAGCAGCCTGTAACAATATGGCCGCCACGCTGACGCGTCGCTCCAACGTCTGCATATGAGTTACACCTGTTCCCTAAGAATTGTGGGAAACGGAGTTGGATGTACACAGCCGGGGACGTGACTCTTAGTACACACTAAGAGTGAGAGAGAGAGAGAGAGAGAGAGAGAGAGTGACTGTCTGTGTGTGTGTGTCTGTCTGTGTCTGTGTGTGTCTGTGTGTGTCTGTCTGTGTCTGTGTGTGTCTGTCTGTGTCTGTGTTGTGTTTCTTTTTCTTTTTTTTTCTTTTTTTTTTTTTTTTTTTTTTTTTTTTTTTTTTTTTTTTTTTTTTTTTTTTTTTTTTTTTTTTTTTTTTTTTTTGTCTCCTGTCTGTCTGTCTGTGTGTGTGTCTGTTGTGTTTCGTGTGTGTGTTGTGTGTGCTGTGTGTGTGTCTGTGTCTGTCTGTGTCTGTGTGTGTGTGTGTGTGTCTGTGTGTGTGTGTGTGTGTGTGTGTGTGTGTCTGTGTGTGTGTGTGTGTGTGTGTGTGTGTGTGTGTGTGTGTGTGTCTGTGTGTGTGTGTGTGTGTGTGTGTGTGTGTGACCTTGCGTGGCAAGCGCAGCAGCAGTTTGTTTCCTTTGAAGGGTTTGATGGCCGGTCTCAGGTCGTTCCTCAGCAGAGAGTCTCTCTCGGCCCCCGACAGGTCGTCCATCTGCGAGACATTGATCAGTTATTGGAGCCGATCAATAAACCCGATCGGTCTGTGTTATCTGAGCAAACTTCACCTGGACGCCCTCCGCCTTGCTTTTCTGCTCCGCCTCTCCGTCGCTGTCCTTCACCTCGATCTCCTCCCTGTTCTTCTTCGCTGTCTCCTCCTCGTCCTCGTCCACCTCACCCTCTTCCTCTTCATCGTCCGACCCTTGACCCCGACGACCTGCATGCCGCAAAACACACCTTCAGTCCTCCACAGATTCACTTCCTTCCCCTTTAAACACCGGCTGAACGCAGACTGACCTTTGACCGGTTCTCCAGGTGGGGCGGTGTCCTCCGTCTCCGCGGTGACGGCGTCCGGGTCGGGCATCCGGCTGCTGTTGATGAGGGCTCGGACAGACGTGTTGTCATCGAGCCAAACCACGTTACCTAGGAGACCAGCAGGTGGCGTGAGTGTGTGTGTGTGTGTGTGTGTGTGTGTGTGTGTTGTGAGAGAGAGTGTGTGTCTGTGTGTGTGTGTGTGTGTGTGTGTGAGAGTGTGTGTGTCTGTTACACTCACAGGAAGTGTCATCGATCCACTCGATGTGAGCTGGAGGATATTCCTTAAAATATCCGAAGACATCCTGAGTGCTCATGTCGTCCACGCCCGTCACGTAGATCGCCTCCAGGCGCAGACTGGGGATAGCTGAGCACCACAGAAGAAGAAGAGGTTGAACAGATGGAGTCCAAACAAACCGGCTGCTGGTAAACAACGTGTGTGTGTGTGTGTGTGTGTGTGTGTGTGTGTGTTCACCTTTCTTCATGATGTCTTTATCCAGAAAGACGTTCCTCTGACCGACGCTCTCCTCTGCACAGAAATGGAAACGCCTCGCTCGCTTCTCTTTTCTCTCAATGGCCTCCTGATAAACACACACACACACACACACACACACACACACACACACACACACACACACATTAACCACGTGGCGTCCTCTACGTTCAGCTCTTCAACTCATCCAGAGTGTTTGTGAAGCTCCAGAGCTGAAGAATGAGGCGTCGTACCTTTGAGTTGACGTCTATCCCGGTGATGAAGGCTCCAGCCTTGTTCTCGTATCTCCGGCTCGTGTCCTGCAAACATCACGGACACTTTTAATTTCAGCTTCACTCACAAACACACAGACGACACCAGAGAGCGGAGTGTAAGTGGGATGACAATAAAACCATCACTGAACAAATAATAACGTCTAACATGCAAACATTTATTAAAAAGTGGAGTCTGACATAAAATCTCCACAGGTAGCTTTACACCAAACTCCTACACAAACAAACAGCATTTTAATTCTAATTTGGCAAAGTTCAATAAGAAACATATGGCGAGTTAACCAACGGGTACTACAGAGGAACTACCTCTGAAAGTTACAAATGAATCTGAAGTCGGTGATTAGGAAGAGGCCGAATTGATCAGTGATCGGTTATGTATCAGAATCGTTGATAGTTTTCCATCATTTGCAACCAGCTGCGTTCATTTGGCGGTAAAAACATTTAACTCGCAGTTTTCTTTACGCAGTTTGGTGGAAGGACCACAGCATACAAACACGGCACGTGAGGAAGCCACCAGCAACAAGTGACTGAAATAAACAAACCAGCGGGTAAACAAACAACATCCGTTTAACCGGGTCCGCGGTAGAAGCAGCTAACTGTTATTAACCGTTAACCGGGACGGCCGCGGAGCCAACAACCAGTCCCCGAAGAGAGACAGAGAGAGCCGGGAGTCAAAGTTTCCACAGGCCGACGCTTGACGCGGCTCCGCCCGGCAGCCAGCGACGCGAGTCCCCGGTCTGACAGAGGCCTCGTCCGGACACTTACCGGCAGCAGCTCCTTCAGGGAACGGTTAACGGATATGTCCTCCGCCTCCACCTCTCCCTCCTCCACCTCCATCGGTTCGGCTTCACGGGCATCTCTGTCCGACTCGGAGTCAGAGTCCGAGTCCGAGCGGTCCGAGCCGCTGTCTGATTTCACCGACACCCGCAAGCTGCGCACTGCCGCCATGGCTGCTAGCTGCTAGCTGCTAGCTGCGAACAACGGCTGCTGCTGCACTCTGGCTCGGCTTCTTCTTCGGTGGACGCACCCGGACATTAGCGCCACCTGGCGGATGTTGTGTGTTACTGTGTCATGCGCAGTCAGTGCTTCCTGCATATAACCGCAGCTGCGCACACTGTACTTTACAGTCCCCGGGGTTCAATGTCGTTTTTAAACACATGGAAATATTAATCAGATACAAAACTGTCAAATAATAATAATCTCAAATAATGTGAAAAATCTGTAAATATCATAAAATAACTGCTTATTTAAAAAAACAACATTTCTTTTTTAATACTGTAAATAATAAAACATTAACAGTAGAAAAAGTATTTGTTGTGTAAATGTACATGGCTTTGTTTGTTAATTGACAGATATCTTGTATAATATAACAACGTATGTAACATCATGGTAGCCAGTGCCATCTTCTTTGCTGTTGTGTGCTGGGGCAGCAGGCTGAGGGCAGCAGGCTGAGGGCAGCAGGCTGAGGGCAACAGACTGAGGGCAACAGACTGAGGGCAACAGGCTGAGGGCAGCAGGCTGAGGGCAACAGGCTGAGGGCAACAGACTGAGGGCAGCAGGCTGAGGGCAGCAGGCTGAGGGCAACAGACTGAGGGCAACAGACTGAGGGTAACAGGCTGAGGGCGGCAGGCTGAGGGCGGCAGGCTGAGGGCAACAGGCTGAGGGCAACAGACTGAGGGCGGCGGACTGAGGGCGGCGGACTGAGGGAAGCAGGCTGAGGGCGACAGGCTGAGGGCAGCAGACTGAAAATGAGGGCGGCAGGCTGAGGGCAACAGACTGAGGGCAGGCAGACTGAGGGCGGCGGAGGCAGACTGAGGGCAGCAGGCTGAGGGCAACAGGCTGAGGGCAGCAGGCTGAGGGCAACAGGCTGAGGGCAGCAGACTGAGGGCAACAGGCTGAGGGCAACAGACTGAGGGCAGCAGGCTGAGGGCAACAGGCTGAGGGCGGCAGGCTGAGGGCGGCAGGGGGAAGAGATGAGGCAACAGACTGAGGGCGGCGGATGAGGGCAACAGACTGAGGCGCAGGTGAAACAGGCGACAGCCTGAGGGCGGCAGGCTGAGGGCGGCAGATAGGGGCAGGCTGAGGCAGGCTGAGGGCGGCAGACTGAGGGCAACAGGCTGAGGGCAGCAGGCTGAGGGCGACAGGCAGACTGAGGGCAGCAGGCAACAGGCTGAGGGCAGCAGGCTGAGGGCAACAGACGGAAGCGGCTGAGGGCAACAGGCTGAGGGCGACAGATGAGGGCAGCAGGCTGAGGGCAGCAGACCGAGGGCAACAGGCTGAGGGCAGCAGGCTGAGGGCAACAGACTGAGGGCAGAAGACTGAGGGCGGCAGGCTGAGAGGGCAACAGCTGAGGGCGGCAGACTGAGGGCGACAGACTGAGGGGGGCAGGCTGAGGGCGGCAGACTGAGGGCGGCAGACTGAGGGCATCTGAGGGCAACAGGCGGCAGGCTGAGGGCAACAGACTGAGGGCGGCAGGCTGAGGGCGGCAGACTGAGGGCGGCAGGCTGAGGGCAGCAGGCTGAGGGCAGCAGACTGAGGGCAGCAGGCTGAGGGCAGCAGACGCCAAGAAGATCAGCAGGATCAGCAGGAAGCCTGGCTCCGTCCTGGGGGTCCAACTAGACTCTTTGGTGGTGGTGTCTGAGAGGAGGATGCTGTGTAAACTGCACAGTATCCTGGACAACAACGCTCACCCTCTCCACCAGGTGCTGACCTCGAGCAGAAGCACCTTCAGCAACAGACTCATTCCCCCCCGATGTAACACTGAACGCCAGAGGAAGTCTTTTCTTCCTGTGGCCATCAGACTGTTTAACTCATCTACCTCCGGTCGAGAGAGGGACAGTGGAGACACTGTGTCCTGAACAAATGTCACTTTAACATTTTGTAACCAATTTTCACTTCATCACTTTATTTAGTTGTACTGTACCTTAGTTAATTTATGCTGCTACAATTTTTATCACTGTTACCACTTTATCCAATCGCTCCTTATCACTTACTTGGTTTGTACTTATTTTATTTCATTTTATGCTGCTAAACTGCACGGTGCGTATTGTTGTATATTGTATAAACTCTACCTACATTTAACTGCACTTTGTCACATTTAGTTACTTCTTTTCTTCTTTTCTACTTATGTTACCTGTAAGTGCTTGCATTTTGTTGCATTTAGTTATTGTTTGATTTATTTTATGTTAGCCTTTATTTTATTATTTATTTTATTTTATTTTATTTTAGCTTATTTTTACTCTGACCCTGTAGTACTTTACTTTCCCACCTTTGTATTGAAACTGTTGCACAGTAATTTCCCTCGGGATAAATAAAGCTTCATGAATCTTGAATTATGGAAGTTTTCACAACACAACCGTTGACACAAAACATACAAACAAAAACATACAGTTGTTATCAGTGTAAACAGCAATAATTACTGTAATGTCACAGATAATGAGTTTTATTACAGTCATATAACTGTAATACAAAATACAAAATGGATGTTTAAACCAGAAGTGTTCCTATTTCAGCTCCCAGTGGGCTGATTGTGATCAACTTGTTGCTGACAGGTGGACTCTAGATAATAACTTTTATTACAGTCATATAACTTAAAAGATTAAAATGTTAAAAATCCAATAATAACACAGATTCTTATTAAAAACAAACAAACAAACAAACAAACAAACAAACTGTTCTCTCTAAAAGCTTCATGTTGACTTGTTCAGTTTTGGACAACTTGTGAAAACAAATATTTGGTCTCAGCTCCTCCGGCTGCTCACACACACACACACACACACACACACACACACACACACACACACACACACACACACACACACACACACACTCAATGACATCTCTCCACTCAGTGTTTGATTACTGCGTCTAATAATATCCAAGCATGCTGTGGAGCCTTAAATGGCAGCTGTGACACTGACAGGGTCAACTCTCATTAATGAGTGAATTATTACTTATAACAGACACAACCTGCCACACACACACACACACAGAGAGACACACACACACACACACACACACACACACACACAGAGACACACACACACACACACACACACACCACAGAGACACACACAGACACACACACACACACACACACACACACACACAGACACAGACACACACACACAGACACACACACACACACAGACACACACAGACACACACACACAGACACACACACACAGACACACACAGACACACACACACACACACACACACACACAGACACACACACACACACACACACACACACACACACACACACACACACACACACACACACAGACACACACACACACACACACACACACACACACACACACACACACACACACACACACACACACACACACACACACACACACACACACACACACACACACACACACACACACAGACACACACTCAGACACACACACAGAGAGACACACACACACACACACACACACACACACACACACACACAGACACACACAGACACACACACAGACACACACACACACACACAGACACACACACACACACACACACACACACACACACACACACACACACACACACACACACACACACACACACACACACACACAGACACACACACACAGACACACACACACACAGACACACACACACACACACACACACACAGACACACACACACAGACACACACACGCACACACACACACAGACACACACACACACACACACACACACACACACACACACACACACACACACACACACACACACACACACACACACACACACACACACACACACACACACACACACACACACACACACACACACACAGACACACACACACAGACACTCACACACACACACACACACACACACACACACACACACACACAGACACACACACACACAGACACAGACACACACACACACACACACACACACACTTGTCAGCACTGGAGGGAAAATATGGTTCTCATAAGATTTTCATAGTCTCATTACAAAAGGTTTTTTTTCCTCTTGCTTCCTTAAAGAGTCTTAAACATTCTTAAAATCCTGTAAAGTTTTTTCCCTTTAAAAGAAAATAAAAGTTTGGTTCTTGGATTTTCAGTCTTATTGGAAATATTTTATACTAATAATAATACAGTACACAGCTTTGTACATTATATGTTCACTCATCCAATCCCACCAGGTTGTACTTTATACTTATTCATGAATAGATTCGTTAATTAATAAACCTGCACTGAAACTCTAAAGCTAATGTTTGGAGGGAGCCGCCATGTTTTTGGCCTCATGTTGAGTTGGGAAATATCTGTGGTTGTGTAATAACGAGCTCACAGTGCTTCAATGTGATTGGCTCATTTGTGTGGCTGTTATTTCATCGAACCAATCAAAATCAAAGACACGGCCCTGACGGCCCGGAACGAGCCAATGGGACCGCAGTGACGTCACGTGAGATATTCCATTTTTCCGTGTGACGTATGCGGCCTTCAGTTACAGTCGCCATCTTGTTGTCGTCGAGCGAGCGGGCAGAGAAGGACGACAGGCGGCCGACTCTCACACCTCAACCCCGGCGTTACTGTCCACCCAGTCAGGGCCTAACCGTTAGCTACATGAGTACATGGACTGCCTGCTAATCAAAAATCATGGTATCGATAAGGCTGGTGTAGGTTTTCCCGGGTCGTTCAGCTCAAAGATGGACGACAAAGCGGCGAGGGAAGACGCCTGCCGAGAGTACCAGTCCTCGCTGGAAGACCTGACGTTCAACAGCAAGCCGCACATCAACATGCTGACCATCCTGGCCGAGGAAAACCTCCACTTCGCCAAGGATATCGTCGCAATTATTGAAGCGCAAATCAGCAAGGTTTTTATAAATATAGAATACTTTCACTTTCCGATGCTTTGTGTCGCTTTCTGTATGTTCTGTAAGGAAGGCCCGCCGCTGCGCTGTTAGCTGTTAGCTCAACATGGCGGCCGGTGTCACAGCAGTGGTTCCCGACCTGTTCATTAAACTGACCAGTGTCACACTTTATCTGTATTTTATATTATATTATAGACTACAGGTTGCTCACATAGTGAACTCAGCAACTGCAAGAAGTTTGTGTAAAATATTTTGGTGAATTTTGAGCAGATTATTTACTGTTTAGGGAACTTTTATTAATATTTTCTGTCTGTTTTGTGTATTTTGGTCATTTATTAATTAGCATTCAGACGTTATAGGCTTAGTTTCTTGTCAAATTCAGTGTTTCCCTGACACATGGCCATTGTTCTAATAAAGGACTCACTGAAAGGTCCAGTGTGTAACACTGAGGAGGGTCTGTGGTCAGTAATGTAATATATAATATATATAATATAATATCCATCGGTATGTTTTCATTAGTGTAATAACAGTCGTATGTTTGTTACCTTGGAAAGAGATTATCTACAGTGGACTCCGCCATGTTTCTACAGTAGCCCAGAAGGGACAAACCCAAAACTGGATCTAAATAGGGCTGTTGTTGTTTTGTGAGGAGGGTGAAGCGAGGGACTTTCAATCTGCAGCTAGATGCCACTGAATGCTACACACTGGACCATTTATAACACCAAACATTAAGTTTAAATCACAGAAGTGAACCAAATGCTGACATAGGTAGGCCAACTGTGTAAAGATATCTTACACATTTAATTTAACGGAAACTGAAATTAAATTAAAATTGTGATTGTGTGACATTTATCGGGGTTGATAGCGAACAAACAAGATTAGTTTGAACTACAATATTTCATTATAATACTGTCACACATTTCACCTTAATTAAAAACCACATTTCACTATTATTGTCAGTAATCATACAGCCCTTTAGCGACCCCTAGTGGGGGCCCTGACCCCCGGGTTGGGAACCACTGTGTCACCGGGCTCCGTTACATTAACGAGTGGCTTTCTTTTAACTGAGGTCTTTGTGTTAAAGTGCAGACGTCGGTTCTTATTCTCGTTCTGTAAAGAAACAACTGATGAGCCGTTACTCGCTGTCCTCATTAGCTGTAATCTGGTGTTTGTGTCGGCTGAAAATCCACCGTAATAACACTTTAAAGTTTCACTATAAAGTCAGTGGGATTCACTTCACCGTCAGAATACACCAAAATAAGGTAAGAGCCAACACAGCGATAAGAAAACACACAAACAGAGATAACATAAAACAATGAGTCATATTTACAGTTTACTGAATATCAGTTTTATTGTCAGGTAGGTTTTCACATGCAATTAATCTGCATAACATTAATTACAAAACGTATAATTAAAGACAAAACAATGGATATAAAGAGACAATAAGATCATTATTGAATCAGTAAAGAGCTGTACAGTTTGTGAATGTGTAGCTTCATAGTATGGTTCCAAGACATTAAGAGACAAATCACATAGAAACAAGACAGAAGAAAGTTATGATCCAAACAGTAAGTTAGAGATCAGCAGACACTGAAAGCCCCTCTGGTTTCACAGTCGGCTCTGCTGCTGTGTTACTGGCTGTGTTTGTGAATCCTTTAGGGCTGGACAGTCGGTGTGTGAACAATGTAAATGAAACGGTGCTGCTGACTCTCATTGGATAGCAGCAGGTTGTTAGATCAGCTCTTTGTCTTACGGTGGATTTTGACTCGACCTCACAGCCGCCAACGGTACCGTGGCCCTTCGTCTGTCCTCCTGCAGATCTCCAGACCACATCGATGTGTTTTTAAAAGGTTTCCAGTCAGATCTATTGTGAATAAAAGCTGCCGGACACAGGGGGAGACGTGGCCTCTTTAAAGCCCCTCCACCTGCTGTAGAAATGCCCTCCAGTCAGCAGTTTGCCTCCGTTACTCTGTGGTCAGGGTTTGACGCCCGGCGCTTTGATCGGATCAGGAAAGGAAAAGTTTCTCTGCATTCATTCACTAGTGGATTTTTGAATTTACTTGAAATGTCATTGAATGGTTAAAATGTTATAATAAAAAATGTGAAATGTGCTTTTTGTCATTTTTTATTTCCCAGTGTAATTTATTGGTCTGACTCTGGTTTCCATTTACTGACACTGCTGAGTGTGACTCGGCCTGTTCACTGACGGTTGTAGTAAACAGCAGACTTCTGCTTTAAAACTAAACGCCTACAGATCAGTGTTGTAGTTCCTAAAGGGGGTACGGATGTTTTTTTAACAACCGAAGGGAGAAAAACCTTTTTAAGGGGTAAAAGTGAAAGAGTGAATAAAGCTCTCTGGGTGTGGAGTTAAAGAGTAAAACGTCTGGGTAAAGTACAAAGAGCGGTTCAGTGAAGAGACCCTCTTTGGAGGTAAACCGGTTCCTGAGGACTGCACTCCTTTTTTTACGCTTCATGGATGTTTTTCCTCCCCTGACTCGGGGAAGAGACTGAACTGACTGACTGAAGAGTTTTCTGCTGAATTTCTTGTTTTTGGAGCAAAGTTGTGATCAAACTTTCCCCAGGAGATTATTGGAGTATTTTTCCACACTTTATTTTTGTTATTCCAGAAAGAAGAACTGCTTTTTATATTTTTATTTTCAATCCGATGTGTCTTTTTCCTCGCCTGGCACAGACTTTATTTTTGGCTTTTTCCCCTTTTAATGAGATGTTTTTCTGGCAGCGGGTGGTGAGGGGGAGGCCGCTCAGGCCCTGTTAATCCTGTCAATTTGTTTGAATTGTTCTGAAATGTTGATTTTTAACCCCTGTTGTTTTCTAAACTTGTTGAGTTCTCTATTGCTCCAGGCCCCATCCTCCGAGAAGCTTCCAGTTTTGTACTTAGTGGATTCCATAGTGAAGAATGTTGGAGGAGAATACCTTGCAGTGTTTGCTAAAAACCTAATCACTTCATTTATATGTGTCTTTGAAAAGGTACAGTTCTCTTTGCTGCCGTTTAGCATTGTTAAACATTTAAAGCACTAAAAGTCGTTAGCAGCCCACTTCACCTCCCTCCTGTTTGTTGTGTTGCTTGCTTCTTACGTGTGATCTCCCGCCCTCTGCTCCTGTGTACTGAACTCCATAACGTAGTCCTAATAAAAGCTTTCATAGAGACAATTCCCCTTTTAATCTGTCAGAAATAAGTGTTTTAACTCTAGTCGTAAGGGACGTAGTGCTAACACTTAAAGTGCTGTTGTAGCTTTTTGCTGTGATGCTGCTGAAGTGTGTTTTTAGGATTTTGTTGGTAGCTGTGGACCAAGTCCTGTCCTCTGTTTGTAGGTGGATGAAAACACTAGAAAGAGTCTGTTCAAGTTACGATCAACGTGGGACGACGTGTTTCCTCTGAAGAAACTGTACGCGCTGGACGTCCGGGTCAACTCAGTGGACCCGGCCTGGCCCATCAAGCCGCTGCCGCCCACCGTCAACGCCAGCATTCACGTCAACCCCAAGTTTTTAAAACAGGTGTGTATGAGCTGCAAACACCACATCAGACTGGGACTTTAAGATCCTCTTCTACAGTCTCTGAGCTGCTGCTTTAAAGCTCGCCTGGTTTGTTTATTTAAGATAAAACCAAAGCGGTGAGATTAATTCAGGCTCCTCTGAAAACAGATGAAACTAATTAAAATGTATATTTTTCTATAAATGTTTCTGGATCCTGAGATGTGACAAAGTAAGGTGTATCTCTGTGCTTCAAATATATATCAACTTAAATTTACTGAGCTGCTTTAGTCCTCTAGGTAATGTGGACTCCTACAATGTAGTCACTGAGGAGGAACTAACTTAAAGTTCCTGTTGGGTGTTTTAATTTGATCATTTTGTTTGAACATGGTTTTAATCATCTTTCTTATAATAATCAGAGTTTTAGGCCTTCAATATGATTTTGACAGGTTTTTTTGATTGGATTACACAACTAACGTTAACTTCATTGATCGCGCTACAACATGAAACTGACCTGAAACTAAACAGTTTTCAGTACAAATGTAAAATAGGTAAAACATTTAATTGAACCTGAACTATCTGAAGAGGCCAATTGTAAATTTCCAAAGGTTAAGCTGCCAAATATATTCAGTGTACTGTGGTTATAAGATCAATAATGCAGAGAAACAGTAAATTATCACACTGGGGGAACCAGAGAAATTTGCTGCATTAAAATCTGAATTCACCAAAAATTAATCAATTTGTCATTTCAGATATAAAATAATTGACCATTAGTCCAAAGTCCTGTTATGACGTTAGTAGCTGACAAACACCCCATAATAAAGTGTTCACATCTGTCTTTAGTGAAATTGAAGTAGCATTATGAAGTATTGATTTAAATTCTCTCAAATGTTTACAGCTGTTTTTATCTCCTGTTGAATGCGAATCAGTAACTCACTGTTCCTCTCTGTTATCCTCTGACCCTCTTTCACCCCAATGTGTCTCCAGTCTGAGGAGGTTTCCTCTCCGACGCCTGCCCCCACCCCGCCGGCGCCTGCACCTGTACCTGCACCTGCACCTGCACCTGCACCTGCAACGGCGCCCACTCCCCCGCCGGTGCCTGCCGTCAGCCAGTGCAGCCTGACGCAGGAGCAGATAATCCGGCAGCAGCTGCTCGCCAAACAGAAGCAGCTTCTGGAGCTCCAACAGAAAAAGATCGAGCTGGAGCTGGAGCAGACCAAAGCTCAGCTGGTAGGACTCTCCAGGGTTGGGTTGTTAGCGGTTTATCTCCCTGGTGTCTTATTATCTCAGTATTTCAGTGTCCATACAAGTGCTCTGTGTTTTAGTTGAGGCAGAACACAAATGAGCACAATTTTATAGCCCTTAAAATGTCTTTAATGGGATTTGACAGGTCTGAGACATTGATCGGATTACTGACGTTAATGTCGCATTTTCAGTCTCTTAACAGTTTTTTGGGGAAAGATTTGTATTGATCACGCTGTAACAACTACAACGTGAAACCAATACTGACTCTGCTTCATAATAAGTCAGTATGGACATAAATTGGTCTTACATTACATTCATCATGGTTTTAACAGGTCTTACATGTTACCTGCTGACACCTGCAGAAACCCAGAGGAACTACGTTTGTGAAGCATCATAAACACCTTTTAAATGTTTTCAACTGTTCGTGTAGAAGAAAGCTCAGTATGAGCAGTTTGAGACATTTATTTCTTATGAGTTGAACCCGTCCAGCTTATAGAAGACGATCAGTTGGAAGAGGTTTATGGTGTCACAGAGGGACCTCTTCCTGTTTCCTGTCAGATAAATGTTGTTCACTGTGTCTGCAGGCCGGTGGGTTTGTGTTACCAACGTCGACTCCGGTCTCCACTCCAGCAGCGCCGAAGCCCGTCAGCCAAACTGCTCCTGTGGTCCGACCCTGGATACCTCCTCAGACTCAGGCAGACACCAAGCCGTCCACTAGAGACCCCCGTCTGAACCGCACTGGCCCCGCAGGCGCACCCCAACACAAAGAACAGCATGCTGGGAAGAAAGCGGACACGACCACAACAGGAAGTCCCGCTCTGACACCGGAGAAATCCTCCCGGCCAGACAAGGCCAGAACCCCGAGGAAAGAAGTGTTAGAGGAGAAACCCAAGTCCAAGTCTCCGTCTCCGCTGGCCAAAAGCATCCAGAACAAGAACAAACAGGTGGAGCCTGAGACTCAGAAGTCAGCCGCCGACGGCACAAAGAAAGACCCCCGGCTGAGGAAACGGCCGCAGGACAAGAGCGGAGAGGCCAAAGACGATGAGCTGAAAGAGAAGAAGAGATGCACCGAGAAGAAAGAGCGAGAGGAGGCTGCGCGGGGAGGAGAGCCCCAGAGGTTCACCAAGGGGAAGCTGCTCAACGGCTCATTGACCAAACACGACCGCGACGAGCCCTTGGAGAAGGTCGAGTTCAAGACCGGAGGCAACGCCCGAACACACGCTAGGAAACGCACCCGCTCGCGCTCCAGGTCGCGCTCCCCCACCTCCTCCCCGAAGAGGAAGGACAGGCGGTCGCCCAAGAGCAGAGCCAGGAGCAGTTCCCTGTCCCCGCCGCCCTCTCACAAACCCGGCAAACCCAGGAGGGTCCGCGCCGATGAACCGGAGCACGGCAAGCCAGGCCGGGAGGATCGTCTCATGCCCAAAAAGAACCAGTCGGAGAGCAGGAGGTCAAAGAGGCCGGCAGAGGAGCGGCACCCTGAATCCAGAGACTCTCACTCCCCACGGAGCCACGACGGAGGCGGCAAGGAGACAAAGGACGCTCCTCACCGCTGGAGGAGCGGCTGGGAGGAGAACAAACAGTGAGTCCATCAACTCAACTCACAATTATCTTCTGTTGTTCCAATGATGACCTTTGACTGAGTATTTAAACACCAATATCGTAGATACAAGGGGATTCATCGATCATTCAGAGGGTCCAAATGTTGCATTATATGACTAAAAGTAACTCTCGTAACTTCTGTGTTTCCTCCTCAGTCTGAAACCGGAGGACGCTCACGTGAAGCCCGCGCCTCAGAGACACAAACAGTACGGCACCCCGACTCGCCCCACCACCCCCCGAACCCCGAAGCATCGCCTCAGCGTGGACGCCAACCTGCAGATACCTGAAGTGCTCAACTCTGCCTCCAAGAAGGACCTGCTCAGGAGGGTAGGTCACAAACACCGCACTCAGATTCACACAGGTTATAGAGAATAGCCTTTATTTCCAGCCACTGCTAATCAAACAGCAGTATATAGACTAATAACTCTCATAGCAGTGGGTGGGGCCCTTTAATCACTCATATTTTCAGTATCACCATTTTAAAATGAGACTGGAGAGAAAATGTAACCACTAAATGTGAATTCATCAGTGCTGTATTGTCACCACTAGATGGTGCTGAACATCACTGAGCAGGAATTCTGTGTGACAGCTTCAAGAGTCTGGAAACGGCCGTGAAAGTGGTTTGATCTGACTCTATGTATGACTGTATGAACAAATGATTCCTCAGTATTCGTCTTACACTCGTCTTCGTCTCTCTTCAGGCCAGTAAGCGTCTGGAGAGCGGGGAGATCTCCGAGGAGGACTTCCTGAACATGGCCCACCAGATCAAACACTTCTTCCAGTATCAGGAGGAGAAGCAGCAGCACTCTGAGAGCTGGGACGACTTCTCCAAGAAACAGCCGCTGCTGACCACGCCCCCCTCCGCTCAGCCTCGCCCCCACGACGGCATGGACGCGGCAGAGCTGTCGTACTACGAACACAAGTCCAAGCTGAGGAAGACTCAGGTCACCCACCGAGCCACCGGAGAGGAGTGGGAGGGTGAGGAGAGCCCGGAGGAAAGCGAGGAGGCGGGGCCGGGTGAGAAGACGGGTGGCGTCCGCAGCATTGGACACCCACCGCCACATAAGTACAGCCGGGCACCGCGGGACAGGCAAGGTGAGCTGAGGTATCAAGTATCTGCTAGTGCTCTGTGAGCGGTGTTAGATTTGTGAAGTGACTTTATTGGTTGATGACTCTTACAGGTGAGAGGAGGAGCAAAGAGCGCGAGGAGCCCCGGCCTCCACCGGGCCCCATGATCGAGGAGTACAACCACGGCAAAGAGTTCCCCACCCTGAAGTCTCTACCCGGCCTCCGCTTCAGGAGGAGAGCCGACCCCAGAGAGTCCAGTGAGTGCTGCTCTGAGTCCGCCACCATGTGTTGATCTTTTCCAACTGAATCCGAATGTTACCTGTTATCTGTCGTCTTCACCCCCAGAGAGGTCAGAGGTCAGGGTCTCGATCAGTGATACTTCAGCAGGGTTAGAAACTCTTCTAAAGAGATCACTTTACACTTTTCATTAGGAGTTACGGTGCGTGTCCACAGGGTTCCTACAAATCCTGGAAATTAGACTAGTTTCCAATCATTGATACACCTGGAAACACCTGGATATCGCTTTAAATGACCACATGTGCACATTTAGTTTGGTGTTTGGTGGTGGTACGGTACGACACTTTAAAGTGAGTTAACCAGACGCGCAGTAGAACGGACGTGCAGCGAGGTGATATCAGGAAGTAGTTGTGTGGTTGTAGGAAGGCGTAGCCGTCTGTGAACATCCAATGCCAGGAAGCAGCGTGACCCCTGGCCGCTGTGGACACATACCATTAAGCTCACTCCTGAATTATTCACATCAGTTGATTAGTGGATCTCAGGAGGTCATGGGAGTTGTAGTCGGTGTGATCAGAGAGAAGAGTGAAGGTGTAACGTTCAGTGGGGTGAAGCTCTGATTGTCTGTTGTTGTTTCCAGGTGAGCGAGAGTGGAACTCGCCACTGACGGAGCGCCGCGAGGAGCAGAAGAGCGGCTACGATGCTCCGCGGCGGTACGGCCAACACGGCGACACCAGACACCCCGACCCGAGAAGGCCGGAGGGACCCCCGCCCTCCGGGACCGTAGTCCACAGGAAGTGTCCGAGCCCAGCCGCTCTGGACCCGCCTGCCCCGAGGTTCGAGCGGGAGCGTCTGTCCCCTCTGCACCAGAAGGACTCTGCGGAGGTGAGCCCGGTGCCACGTTTCGAGAGCCCCAACAGCGAGCACTCGGACGACGGGCCCCTCAGTCTAGATGCTCCTCCTCCTCCTCACCCTCATCCTCCCCCCTCCCCCAAATCCATCCTCAAGGCGCCGGCCCGCGTAGGACCGCTGTCTTCTGTCCGACAGCACAGCGACTCCCCCGGACACACGCCTCCTCACGATGGAGGACACCCCCCCTCCCGGTACGACGGGCCTGGACACATGGGCCCCTCCAGACCGCACCCACCAGGGTGGTACGAAGGCAGCGGCCCCGGGCGTTACGATGACTCGTCCCGGTTCGACAGTCCTCACCACCAGGGGCCCGGCAGGTTCGATGCCGGCGGACCGCCTCATCACAACATGCCAGAGAGGTTTGAGGGACCCGGGCGGTGTGACGGCCCCCACATGGCTCACGGTCCAATGAGAGGAGGGGACAGTATGGGGCGGTTCGACGGTCCACCTCACCCTCAGGGGCCCGGGAGGTTTGAGGGTCCCATCGGTCAGCAGCCCCCAGTACGGTTCGAGGGACAAGGACCCGGACCGGGCCACTTTGAGGGCCCTATGCAGCGCTTTAACACCATGGGTCCGGGTCCTGGTCCTGGATCAGGACCGATGGGCTTCCAGCAGCAGCGGCCCATGCGCTTCGAGGGCCCCCCCAACCAGATGGGTCCGATGAGGTTCGAAGGTCCCGGTCCAATGCGCTTCGATGGGCCCGTCCAACCGGGGCCCAGGTTCGACCATCCAAACGTGCCACATCAGGGCGGGCCCCCGCTGTACGAGTCCGCCCCCGGCCAGCAGGGCCCCCTCAGGTTCCCCCAGCACAACCTGCAGCCCCCCATGAGGCCGATGGCTCCGCCCATTTACGAAAACCCCATCGTCGCCCAGCAGAACTTCAACATGGCCCCCCAGCGGTTCCCGGAGCCTATGAACCCTCAGTTCCCCGCGGGGCCGATGGCGTTCCCGGCTCAGGCTAACCTGCAGCAGGCGGGAAACTTCAACATGCAGCCGGGACCGCCCTTCACCCAGCCGGGCCCCGCCCCCTTCTACAACCCCGCGGCCCCCGCCATCGGCATGCAGCAGCCAGTGAGTGACACCTGTCAATCAATTGATCAGAATCAATCAGCACAGTGAAAATGGATTTTAGTGATTAAAGATTATAAATGTTTCTCGTGTGTGTGTGTGTGTGTGTGTGCGCAGGTGAACATGATGGGGAACCTCAACCAGCCCTTCCTGCCTCAGAACACAGTGCCTTTCAGACAGCAGAGTAAGCTCCTGTGTCCGTTACACTGACCAATCCAAGGCTTTCTAACTGGTTTCTAACTGGTTGTTTGTGTCCCTGCAGCTCCACAGGTCGCCACTGCAGAGAACCACTTCGGTCAGGTTGACGTCAATGACCTGCTGTCCAAACTCATCTCCACCGGCATCATCAAACCCTCGCAGCCCGACCCGGCGCCAGGTGTGCCGAGCCCTGGTCAGTGGACCGCCTGAACCTTTCTGTTGATCTCCAGATGTACTGAAACAGATGTTACTTATTTGTTCAAATATTCTTAATAATTGTTTCAATTTCTCCAGAGTCTTGTACGGTGGCTCCGGTAGCTGCGCCTGTGGAGGAGGAGGAAGAGGAGGAGCAGGAGCCGGAGGTGGAGGAGGACGATTTCCCAGACCTCACCAGCTTCAAAATTGATGATATGAAACAGTGAGTTCAGAGACGAAGCCCATTATTAATAATTATTTATTATTATTATTATTATTATTAAAGCATTAATCAATCTGATCAGCCTTCAGCAGTTAGCTAGTGTTTCTGTAGTGGAGACTAAACGTTAACAATGATCCATATCAGCAGTTTGAATCCAACTAAAAGCTCCCTGCACCAAACTCCCTTTAAGAAATATCACATTTTAACAATTCCTAACGTGTTCGTAACAACACGTAACTCTAGAAACACGAGCTAAAGGCCGTCATATGTCCACAGTCTGACTGTCAATACAGGATCAATATCATCCATAAAGATACAGTGTATACTGATCAATATCATCCATACAGATACAGTGTATACTGATCAATATCATCCATACAGATAGTGTATACTGATCAATATCATCCATACAGATAGTGTATACTGATCAATATCATCCATACAGATACAGTGTATACTGATCAATATCATCCATACAGATACAGTGTATACTGATCAATAATCCATAAAGATACAGTGTATACTGATCAATATCACCCATAAAGATACAGTGTATACTGATCAATATCACCCATACAGATACAGTGTATACTGATCAATAATCCATAAAGATACAGTGTATACTGATCAATATCATCCATACAGATACAGTGTATACTGATCAATAATCTATAAAGATAGTGTATTCTGATCAATAATCAATAATGTCTGTCTGTCTCTGTCAGGCGGTATGAGAGTGTGGTAACCAGGCTGTATTCGGGGAACCAGTGCTGTCTGTGCAGTATGAGGTTCACCGCCGCTCAGACAGACATGTACGCCGACCACCTGGACTGGCACTTCAGACAGAACCACGCCGGGAAGGTCGCCAGCAAGAAGATCACACACCGCCGCTGGTACTACACACTCAGGGTGAGCACACACACACACACACAGTCTTTCGACAAACAGAATTTGTTGTAGAAAAAGTTTATAAAGTTTCCCCGAACAACAAAACTGTATGAACCCGTCTGTCTGCGTCTCCCCGTCAGGACTGGATCGAGTTCGAGGAGATCGCCGACCTGGAGGAGCGAGCCAAGAGTCAGTTCTTTGAGAAGGAGAACGAGGAGGAGGTGCAGAAGAGCCAGGCGGCCGCCAAGGAGAAGGAGTTCCAGAGCGTGAAGGCCACCAAGGACCAAGTGGGAGAGGTGAGAGCGCGTGACATCAGAGTTCAATCGGCCAATCAGGAACCTGGATGATAAGAGTCAGTGTGTAATAACGTGTTTGTTCTTCTGCAGACGTGTGAAATCTGTCAGGAGCCGTTTGAGACGTACTGGGTGGAGGAGGAGGAGGACTGGTTCCTGAAGAACGCCATCAGAGTCGACGACAAGGTACGACTCGCCACTGACCACAAAAACATCTTCAACTCGCCGACGTCAGCGAGTTTGTTTCTTCACCTGCTCGTTGTTTGTCTGAATCCCCGAACTCTGAACAGCTCCTAAAGTCTTTTATCTCGAATCAATAAATATCTTTGATCTGTTTGTTTTGGCTCCACAGAACTTCCATCCTTCCTGTTTTGAAGATTATAAGAATGTAAGTAACTGAATCAATAATAATAATAATAATAATTAATAATAATAATAATTATTAATCATCATTCTGTTGGTCTCCTCAGACGTCGTCATACATCGACGTCACTCCGTCGCCCAAAAAGGTGCTCACTGACCACCCGCTGAGTGCCTTCGTGAAAAAAGAAGAGGAGGAGGAGGTCACTTCCTGTGCGGTCACTTCCAGTGCTGTCACTTCCTGTGCGGTCACTTCCAGTGCTGTCACTTCCTGTGCGGTCGCTGCCGTCAAACAGGAAATGGAGCCTGAGGCGGTAGAGCTTCCTGAAGTGAAGAAGGAGAAAGAAGAAGAGGAGGAGGAGGAGGAGGAGATTTTAACAGACGAAGTGCAATCGGATCAGACGCCGGATCAGACGCCGGATCAGACGCCGGCGTAACGCTGCCGCTGCCTCGCCGTCACTCTTCCTGTTTGTGGACAGGAAATGTTTTTTAGCGTGCGAGGCGAGTCCTCAGCAACACAAACGTAAATACATTTTTGTATTTGGATCCTGCGCGACCATTTCTGGTCTCTGTGAATCGAACGACAGGTGAACTTTTATTTAAAAGAAGATGTTGTTTCTTTGGGTAAAAGCTGTAAATGATTTAATTTATAAATTAAAGTATTTTTGGTATCTCTGGTGTAACAGTGATTGAGTCCGACAGCTGCTGCCTGTTAGTCTGTAAATAGTTTATTGATGACGCTAGTTGCAGGTGTTGAGTTGTTTCTGGCTGCGTTAAAGGTAAGCATCATCCGATTGGGCGGCCACGGACTCCGCCCGCTCTTCAGGAAGCGTCTCTCCGAGGATCTCAGTCGTCTTTCTGTTGGTTTTTCTTTGAGTTGATCTTCAATAAAGAGTCTGAACCTTGTTTGTGTGAACAGTGATTGATCTCTGCCTCAGTTTTATTGTCATTTAGCTTTCAAAACTACCAATAAAGGTTTAGTGGATTTAAAGTTCTTCTTCTGCTGTCTTTATTTCGTTACCTGTCTGAACGTCCAGGTGTGAAAACACATCTGACAACGGAGACGCTGAAGGAGTTTAAAGGAGGAGAGGGAGGTGAAGCTCCAGTGTGTAACATAATGTTCATATTGCTTTCATTAGTGCTGGCGGAGTCCGCCATGTTGGACGAACTTCTGAAGACGAGCTGACTCATAATGTAAATATAATATATATATATAACATTGTGATAATGATTTAGGATGTAAATAGGAGCAGCTCGTCTTCTTCTGTGGTGTTAGTAACTGTTTCCTGTCTGTCGCTGGATAAACAGATTTATTATAATATTTTATTAAACCAATGTCTCAGCTTCAGTCACACTTTCAATATTTTCTTCTCCATAAAAACACATTTTTGAAATCTTTGTGTTATTAACAGTCAATCTTTACTTTCAGTAAACAGACACTTTATACTTTTACACTTCTAACAATCAATCAACGTTTCCACGGCAACAAACAAAAATATCCAATATTCATGTTTTTTTCACTGAAACTAAATATTTCTGCTCTTCAGTTTTAACTGAGGACATTTTGAGGTACTTGTACTTTAACTTCCATGATGAACTTCATATTCCTACTCTGAAGAAGTGCTGAGAATACGAAGTACCCTCTGAATACAGCGATAAAGAATATAAAGTATAATATAAATGGAAATACTCAAAGTACAAATACCTCAATGTGTACTGTTCACCAGTGGAACTCACACTGCCGATAATACTTCGGTACTCGTATTTTAAATCCAGTATTTGTACTGAAGTGAGCCTCAGAGCGTCACTGGAACTACTTTATGTGGCGGATGAAGACGAGTTCAACGGGTCTGAAGTTGGTTGCATGTTGGTCTGACGTGGTCTGATGCGGATCCTTCACCTCCAGAGCCGGTAGACTCCCAGAGCGATGGCGAGGCAGGAGAACACCGTCGCTGTGGAGATACACAGGGCGAGAATGTTCACTAAGCCCCACCCCTCAGCAGTGATCGTCCAATCAGCTTTAATGAGGTTTACCTGCCAGGTAGCGGATCGTCTCCAGTTTCAGAGACTCCAGGACGGTCTTGAGCGAGGCCACCTGCAGGTCCATCTTCTTGTTGATCTCCATGCTGTCATGTTCCTGGTCGGCTTTCTGGTGATGTCACATCAGAAACAACCAATCAGGTAACAGAGAGAGAAATTTACGTAACGTAGTATTATAATATTATAAGATTATAATATTATTGTAGCAGTAAAAAATCAGTATTATAAGATTATTATAACATTATAACATTATTATAAAAGTATTATAACATTATTGTAGCAGTAACAAATCAGTATTATAAGATTATTATAACATTATAACATTATTATAAAAGTATTATTACATTATTGTAGCAGTAATAAATCAGTATTATAAGATTATTATAACATTATAACATTATTATAACATTATTATAACAGTATTATAGCAGTAATAAATCAGTATTATAAGATTATTATAACATTATAACATTATTATAAAAGTATTATAACAGTATTATAGCAGTAATAAATCAGTATTATAAGATTATTATAACATTATAACATTATTATAACAGTATTATAGCAGTAATAAATCTGTATTATTTACCCTGTGGTGGAACTCTGTACTGGCCTCCATCAGCTTCTTCTCTTGTTCAGTAAACTGACAGTAAAACACAAAATCAGGACGTTTATGTTGTCATGGAAACAATGCTGCTCACACAGGATCTGGTATTCCAGATAAACAGTAAAATGTGTTTGTGAACAGATCTGAGGAGAGAAACAGTCAACAACAGAATCTGGATCCATATCTGATCAGCACTGTTTGACAGTTTGATCTGAGTTTGGTTGAGCTGGACGGACTCACTGAGAATGAGCTGTCAATCACAAGGTAGCCCCGCCCTAAAGCATACCCTGCTTTATAGTCTGTTTTACTCTAAATGGGACCATCAGTTACTAAATGAACATCATGCTGTATGGAAGAAGACTGAAACTAGAGACTGAGACCACAAACTCATTCATTTACTGAGATAATAACTCAACCATAAGACTGCATGGTATCGGAGTGGTGCTCCCCCTGCTGGCTGTTAGACAGACCCAGACTCTAGCTGTTACATAAACTGTTAACATATATCCTGTCGTTATATAAGTTGAGTCCTGTGTACTGATGGTTGCTTTGTGTGTACCATGTCAGAGACTCTGCTGCGCTCCAGGTTGATGTCCAGTTTGGTTTCTGCTCGGACTTTCAGACTCTCCTCCTGAACATCAGAAAACAGTTGGTGTGAAACTACAGATGGTTGCTAAGGTCGCTAACAGCTGCTAGCTACTGAACGTATTAATAACACTTCATTAATCCACTCTTACTAACATTAACCATCAATTAATCTGAAACACTGAATCTGACATAGAGCACGTCCTCTACACATCTTTAATCAGACTCTCACCTTCAGTCGGTTGTGCAGCTGCTCCAGCTCCCGCTTCATTTTCTACAGGAAGTAAAGATAAAGAGACTTTTATAATAAACTCTTAAACTTATAAACTACACCAGGAAGTGACGCCCAGATTTATCTTATTCATTTTCTTTTGGTAAAGATATTTGTGCTTTTATTTCACTGTATATAGTTTCTGATTGTACACGTCTGTGTCCTCTGGAGGAACCACCTCTACGCTGATGATGTCCGACTCTACCTCTCACCACAACCACTGAGCCCCGACTCTCTGACTCTCACTGGAACCACATCATGGAGGCAGGTCAACTTCCTCAAACTCACCTGTGACAGATGATCATCATCAACGGCCCCACACTACTGCTCCTGTCCACAGGGGGCGCCAGAATCATGAATGTGATTTCAGAAATGTGGTCGTACCGTGTTCTCGGAGCGAAGGTTGGCGAACTCGCTCTTCTCCAGGATCACCATGTCCTTCCTGATGGAGTCCAGATGAGCCATAATCTGCTGCACCGCGATCTCCTGCCAGACACTGCAGCGTCAAACTGAGGACTACTGCACTACTACAGTACTCTATTACACTACTACAGTACTCTTTTATACTACTACAGTACTCTATTATACTACTACAGTACTCTGTTACACTACTACAGTACTCTGTTACACTACTACAGTACTCTATTACACTACTACAGTACTCTGTTACACTACTACAGTACTCTGTTACAGTACTCTGTTACACTACTACAGTACTCTGTTACTCTGTTACAGTACTCTATTACAGTACTAAAGTACTCTGTTACAGTACTCTGTTACAGTACTCTGTTACAGTACTCTGTAACTCTGTTACAGTACTGTTACTCTGTTACAGTACTCTGTTACAGTACTACAGTACTGTTACTCTGTTACAGTACTACAGTACTCTGTTACTCTGTTACAGTACTCTGTTACAGTACTCTGTTACTCTGTTACAGTACTAAAGTACTCTATTACTCTGTTGCAGTACTCTGTTACTCTATTACACTACTGTGACAATACTCTATTACACTACTACAGTACTCTGTTACAGTACTCTATTACACTACTACAGTACTCTATTATACTACTACAGTACTCTATTACACTACTACAGTACTCTGTTACACTACTACAGTACTCTATTACACTACTACAGTACTCTGTTACACTACTACAGTACTCTGTTACAGTACTCTGTTACACTACTACAGTACTCTGTTACTCTGTTACAGTACTCTATTACACTACTACAGTACTCTGTTACAGTACTCTGTTACAGTACTCTGTTACAGTACTCTGTTACTCTGTTACAGTACTGTTACTCTGTTACAGTACTCTGTTACAGTACTACAGTACTGTTACTCTGTTACAGTACTACAGTACTCTGTTACTCTGTTACAGTACTCTGTTACAGTACTCTGTTACTCTGTTACAGTACTAAAGTACTCTATTACTCTGTTGCAGTACTCTGTTACCTATTACACTACTGTGACAATACTCTATTACACTACTACAGTACTCTGTTACACTACTACAGTACTCTGTTACAGTACTACAGTACTCTGTTACACTACTACAGTACTCTGTTACAGTACTCTGTTACACTACTACAGTACTCTGTTACACTACTACAGTACTCTGTTACAGTACTCTATTACACTACTACAGTACTCTGTTACAGTACTCTGTTACACTACTACAGTACTCTGTTACAGTACTCTGTTACACTACTACAGTACTCTGTTACACTACTCTGTTACTCTGTTACAATACTCTGTTACAGTACTCTGTTACTCTGTTACAGTACTACAGTACTCTGTTACTCTGTTACAGTACTCTGTTACAGTACTAAAGTACTCTATTACTCTGTTACAGTACTCTATTACAGTACTAAAGTACTCTGTTACAGTACTCTGTTACTCTGTTACAGTACTCTGTTACAGTACTCTGTTACTCTGTTACAGTACTGTTACTCTGTTACAGTACTCTGTTACAGTACTAAAGTACTCTGTTACTCTGTTACAGTACTGTTACTCTGTTACAGTACTCTGTTACAGTACTAAAGTACTCTGTTACTCTGTTACAGTACTCTGTTAGACTAATTTTGTACTTTGTGCTGCACTATGTTTGTGTTGTCTGATGATTTCATCCGTTTCTCTACCTGATTAAATAAAGTGAATAACGGTGTGTCGTTGATGGTTCCTGGCGTCCTACCTGGTGGGCTTTGGTCACCATGTCTTTATAAACGATGTCCATGTTCGCTGTCGTCAGAGTGACCAGAGCCGAAACGATCAGCTCCGCCTGACGCTTCTCAAAACCTGCAACACAGAACGAGCTCGTCTTTAAAACAACACAGAACGAGCTCGCCTTTAAAACAACACAGAAC